TAGCCTAAATTAATAATATAAATAACCTAATTAACTTATTATTAATATTTATAAATTTAATAAATCTTAAAGATCTTTATAAGCTTAAAATAAAGGCTTTATAAGCCTATTAGTATATAAATTTTAATATTAAAAATTATAAAAGTATTTTTAATAATAATAAAAATAGTAGCTTTATACTAGGTAATAATAAAGGTAATAAGAATACTAAAGGTATTAATAATTAAGATATATAGAATATATTAAATACTATATTTAAAACTATAAAGTATATAGATATAATTAATAAAAGAATATTAAGGTTAAAGAAGGAATTAGTATAATTTTCTAATTTTCCTAGAATTAAATATAACTATTATAAAATTATAGTTATAGTATAAGTACTTTACTATTCCTAGGATATTAACCCTATAGAATATACTAAAAATTAGTATGTTCTGTGGTATCGGCGTTAAGCTATAGTAACCTACTTTTTTATTCAGCGATTATCCGTAGAGGTTCGGCAGATATTTTAGCCCGTTGTTTTGCGTGCCTGTCTGTTCCTTGCACGCCTTGAGAACACGCATTTCGGCAGCGTGTCCGCTCTCGAAACGTGCCGAGGTGGCCACAATTCGGCCGGGTATGTCTATCTACATAGCTACACCATGCATCCATGTTCTTCTACGGAGTCGCACCTCTTGCTATCAAGAGCTCAACCCTGTCAACCGCCCTCTTGCGGCCACCGCCATTCATCATAAACTCTACCGTATTGCGGGAAAGAAAAATCAAGGGTCCCCGTTGTCCGTTCGTAAGGCGGTTCCCTGACAAGGCAAGTGTACCCGTCTCGGGGAACCCATCGGCATAAAGTTCGACGCTGCTGAAATAAACTCTGTCCCTGGAACCAAGAAAAACAGGGTGGTTGTGTGAAGCCGAGCCAACAAGCTCGACCCAGCTGATTCCCAGCATTCTGGGCACTTCAAGGCTAGTCGAGAAGTGGAACTGGTGTAGATGGACAAAAGAAGGGAAGGGCAACTTTGTCAGCTTTTATAAATCGCGTGCACGGTGGGCAGCGAAGTCTGAATGAACATGGAAACGGCCGTGCGCGGGAACGAGGCTTCTCTGTCAAACCCGGTAACTAGGAGGCTCAGGATTTTTTTCCTACTTTTTTGGAGGGGGGTGCGAGGCTGTATTATTTATTAGATAGAGGCTTTGTGAGCGGACCTCGCCGAACCGCGCCTGAGCCGTGTGTTTTTTTCTTTCGTTTTTTGCCTACGCTTACATGGTCGAGATAGTTGGCTACAGGTGGTCACCCGTGTCTGAGTCGGGCTTTGCATTTGTGCCAACATTGCACCAAAAGCCACCAGGAGACCATGAACCAAAGGAAAGAAGCAATTCTCATGCTACATATTGAGCGAAAAGCGAGTACGCCAAGCTTCACCTTACGCTGGCGGTGTGGAGGACGTACATATGGTGGCACGCCGAATCGTCGGAGCCGTTGCAATGACGACGATGGAAATTTAAAGTTCTCAAAAAGTCTTGGCAAAAGGGCCCGCTCATCATCAACGACCCCGTCCCTCTGTTCCATGTCGACCCCTTCGATGCAGCTCGAATGTTGGCGATGTGTCTGATAACTAGTCTCCGCGGCGGGTTCCCAATTCAGACAGACTGCGTTCCCCAGCCAGGACTTTGGTGCCAGAGCAACAAAACATTGTAAAGAGGGAGTCGCCGCTCCCCCCCACTACCATGTTGGCACGAGGTTAAGCGAGAAAGCGAGCTCGACTAAGCGGAGGGTCGTCAACCCCTCCCCCCCCCCCCCGGCCATGATCAAGCTCGAGCTACTGCAAGCCTCGCCTCCAGGATGCGGCGCAGCGTCGCACCACGGCGTGTAATGCTGCGAGCTTCTCTAGGACTAGTTTCATATAGCAAAAGTCTCGATCAGCGAGATTGCAGCGACCAGCCCGCGACCAGCAAGCCTCGTCCGGATGGAGACACGGTAACGATCCGGGCGCGCCTCGCAACGGCTAACCTGTCGACCCCCGGCTCATGCGTGGCCAAGGCTAGCTACATACGCACAAACCGTCGAATTATCCAACCATCCAAGTACCTTAAATTTTCAATGTCGGTGATTTCCGAAGCCCAACAAGGAGCGCGCCGCCTTCGGGGGCGGGTATGTCTGGTACATAGACTATGCGGCTGACGTTGAAATGGAGGGGGTAGGTCAGCATGTCTCAACCGCAAACAGACAAGCGATTGCTTGCCCATGTCTATATGTGAGCTGCGTTAAGAACTGGCCAGCGCATACATGTCGCAACGCATTAACCAGTCTCGTTATCATGTGGCGTGATACTAGTCGTCTTCCAGAAGTACATACATATCGGGGGCGTAAGTCATACACGTGGTTGTCCACGTACATTCTGATATGCACATGCAAGCTATATCGCGGGGGATTGAGGGGGTTGCGAGGGGACTGAGGGGGGGCGGCGAGGAAAGAGAGAGGCGGAGAGAGGGCCAAGACAGCATATAGTGGCGCCAACCAGCGAGTTCCAGCATCTTGATAGCTTTGACAGCCGAGCTCCAGACTCATGGAGGGGGATGTGCATGTGCCGCGAGCCCTGCGGAGCATCATCGAGAACGTGCGCCCCGACAAGCTGGGGTTTTGTTTGGTCAACAGTATCTCGAGCCACGCGGGGTGTGTGCAAAATTCTCCGACGTTGAAATGCATGCTTGGTTGCTTGCGGCCAAGTCTCATGCATCTAAATCTAAATAGATTAATAATTAATATGATTTGTGACTTGCATTGGACAACCACAACAATGGACGACAATGCCTCGGCTTCCGTCCGGCTGCATTGTCCAAGCCTTGCTGGTTCCCCTCCCTGACCTTGCTTTTTTTTTTCATTTATTCACTCGATTCCGTGCATATTATTCCCTACCCATGTGAGTGACAGCTCCCTGGATCCCACCTTGCAAGGGTCCGAAAGGGAGGGGGGGGGGCCAAGGCTACTGCAAGAAAAATCTCCGGCCGCTTTAAGCCCTTCTTTTCTCTTGGTTGCCTCTCGTACAGGCTCTCGGGATTTAAGATTCTGTAAATGCCCGGGGGTCGGCAAATCAAGGCAATGCGCCAGTAATGTATGAAATGGTGCCTGCCGAAGCTCAAGTCGTGATTTGTCTGTGATGTCACTGGATGTCACAGCGCAATGGAGCAACAAGGGGTGAGTGTACACGGAAAGCTCGGCACTTTTGTTAGTAGACTGTCAGGGTATTACTCAGAATTGTGAATGTTATGTCTTGCGTTTGTCGGCATTCCATTTTCCGTGGATAACTATTCATTCTTGTACAATTTTGTGTAACAGGGCAATTAGCCCATTTTAGGGCAACAGAGTTTCGGGTATAAGTGCGGCTCCGCGAGCAAAAGTCTATCTGTCGTACGGGTGTCAATTACACCGTCAGTGCGCAGCAATTTTTGCAACTTCGACTTTTTTAGGTACAAATTGGAGAATACCCTGCATCGTACCACGGCTCGCCGTCGTCGTCTCGCCACCGTTAACTGGACTGTTGCGCCATGTTCTCTGGGACGCGAGTGATGAAATATCGGAGCTTCGGCTCGGTTGGTTAGGCTTACTTTGCCGATGGTAGTCATCCCTGCCTTGAAACATCACGCAATTCCAAGGGAGGCTGTGGACTCTTACTTCCTTGATTAGGCAGGGAATACATTGTCGAAATTCGTTCTTTTGAGGAAAAGACTACATTCACACCCGCGAGTGCTCTTGACAGCCATGTAAGCATCATGGAGGGAAGTTCAAGCAAGTGTTCTCTCACTACCAACCTAGCCGTGCGGGTTTCCTTCGGGTAGGACTGAGCATCACTCGGAAAATATTCCGAAGTCTCGCCAAAACGAACATCGGCAACCCCCGGGCATGTAGACAACCTCGCTCACTTTCGCTCCCTCGTGATGTTGTCCAACGGGGTCCGTCTTGCTGGGCCCGACACCCGCAGCGTGGTAGTACAGAGTTTGGCTCTGTGTCGCTGCAGAGTTGTGCATCGGGCAATGGCAACTTACGGGCCCGCTGGGCCAGTATAAGATGCTGGAAACGGACGAGGGAGTCCGCGGGGTTTCCGGTCTATATACATTGCCGGCGAGCAAGAGCAGTGTGGGGACCAGATTCAGGGTCGTTCCCGGACAACGACCTCGGAGCCGGCTTATATGCAAACGGCCTATTCGACGGCTGTATCACCGGCCGTGTCGCCGCCGAGAAGTCCGTCGCCGTTCGGCCCCATAGCCAGACTACTACAGGGTAGGTTGGGATGATGTGAGGTTGATGAACTTGGGCGGTAATAGACGCGTAGCAACAAGAGTGTCATTGTAAATTTGGTAACGATATGGTAGTTAACTGGGTTATTCCAACGTAATTTTTGGGAGTCGCTGGCTGCATTGTCTCGAGACGTAATTAATTTGGCTGAAGTCTGCTCCGCATAGCCCTCGCTGTCCAAGCAGATGCATATAGGCTATTCACAATACGCGCATGAGAGAGCCGCGATAAGCCCCGGTCAACCGCCTCGTCTATAAGCCAGAATATGATACGGCTACAAGGAGAATATATTCATTTGCGAATCGTACCAATTTTCAGGCCCGTTGACGCCGACACTGTGGCACCGGACCGTTGGTGGAGGTGGAGCTTAGCTGAGAACTTGCCGAGGCATAAGTCGGTACGCCGGCAGGAAAGGGCCCAGACGGGCCACGGATAGGCCGTACAGACACCGGCGACGACGACAAATCAAGTCCGGACGATCCGAAGGGCTTCATCAAACTACCTTAAAAAGTCTGGGGTAGCCAAATTTTAATATGTGGTGCTGAAAGACCTCGTCCCGTCGTCTTTCAACAAACACTGTTACGCTCAGCTTCACAAGCCTAGCCAACAACCCCACCGGCCTCGTTTGTACCTCGAAGCCTTCCCCGTTGGCGCCCGTTCTCCTGATTGACGCTTTCATCATTCACGACACTACGCACAACAAACCATCGCCATGTCGTATCCCGAATCACACTACCTGAGCCCCGTATGGAGGGATGGCCTGTTTAGTGAGTAGAGCAATGACGCGTCCACGGGCAGCACGTTTGCAGCGCGCCGCTAACCGTTGCCTTGGCCTCCAGACGGCAAGGTCGCCTTCATCACCGGCGGCAACGGCACCATCTGCAGCATGCAGGCCAGGGCCCTCGTCCGCCTGGGTGCCAATGCGTGCATCATCGGCCGCAACGTGGAGAAGACGGACAAGGCGGCCAAGGACATTGCGGCCGTCCGCCCGGGCGCCAAGGTCATTGGCATCGGCGCCTGCGATGTTCGCAATGTGAGGGACAGACTCGCCCGCAGTCGGTCCGTTTGTTAGTGCTAATATGAATTTTTTCGACAGGCTGAGCATCTGAAGAATGCTGCCGACCGCTGCGCCAAGGAGCTGGGAGGCATCGACTACGTCATGTGAGTGATTCTCCGCGCAATGAGGAACCGCGTTGACAACGGTTTGAACGGGCGTTTCTGACCTCCATCAGTGCCGGCGCTGCTGGCAACTTCATCTCGCCCCTCGAGGGTCTGAGCCCCAACGCGTTCAAGTCGGTCATGGACATTGACGTGCTGGGCACCTTCAACACGATCAAGGCGACGCTGCCGCACGTGCTCAAGAGCCCGACGCCGCGCATCATATACGTGTCGGCCACGTTTCACTACACGGGCATGGCGATGCAGTCGCACGTGTCGGCGGCCAAGGCGGCGGTGGACTCGCTCATGGCCTCGGTGGCGCTCGAGTACGGCCCGCGCGGCGTCAACAGCAACGTGATTGCGCCCGGCGCCATCCAGGGCACCGAGGGCATGGACCGCCTCGGCGGCGAGGCGGGCAAGAAGGCTGAGAGCCCGCTGGCGCGCCAGATTCCGTCGGGCAAGTATGGCACGGTGCGCGACATTGCCGACGCCACCGTGTACCTGTTTAGCGAGGCCGGCAACTACGTCAACGGCCACGCGCTGGTCGTGGACGGCGGCGGCTGGCGCCGCCAGTCGGCGTTTGCGCTTGGTGACTCGGGATACAAGTACCCTGATGTGTTCCTACCCGAAGATACGGCCAAGCTTTGAAGGAGGGTTCGGAAATGGTCAGAAGATTCAAGTATTGTGTTTGAAGCTTCTTGTTGGTCCGAACATGTCGAGGAGGGCCAAATCTTGTTCTGGGCGAACCGTGCATACATATTGTGACTCGCCCATGCATGCGATTGGATGCCTGCAGTGCGTGCTCTTTTACAGTAGGAGACTGAGACGGAATGAACTGCATTGAGACCTTTGCATCTCCTTAAAGAACCCCGAAAGGACATGATATGACACGACATGCGAGGCACACCGATGACCCGGGTCAGCTGGGACGGGGCTGATACATATGTACGAATTAGAGATGATTGCCCAATGCAAGGTTGAGGTACTTGATTGGAGCTGCTGGGGTCGCAGTGCACGATTGTGCCAATCATGCGATAATGCAACAAAGGATAAGGAAACCGTATTAGGACACCAATGAATTTTGAGGCGCCAATGGCAAGGAGAATATTGTGCATCTCCGTGGTGAAGTTGGCAGAGGCAGCGCTATTGGTGTCTTCCACGTTGTTGCGGGTTCGGTGGGCCATTGGGAGCGGGGACCGGCGGCCGCCACTTGGGGGGCCATTGAGTGGCTGGGACAAGATATTTAAAAAGAGGCATGGCACCATGTGCGAGTTATTTGCGCCCTACACAGACAAGCCAGGGAGCTCGTGGTTGTGGGCGGATCTGGTTGGGTAATGGGCCCGTCTGTTCGCGCGAGCTGAATGTTCTGGGCTATTGGAGGGCGACGAACTTGGACAGTTGCCGAGGACACGATGGGACAGAAAGAGGGGAACAGGTGTAGAAGCGAGCAAATCGTAGCAGCGGCCGCGGAAAAGCTCGAGATTGCAATCAAAAGTGGCAAACTACGGCGTTCAAGTGTGAGTTGTCGGCCTGGCGGGGGGAGGGGCCTGGTCCGTCGGAAGAGGTTCTAGAAGGGAGGTCAGAAGACGACGAATGCAGAGATGGGATCAAGGTAGAAGTATTATTTGCTGTGAAAGCTGCATGGAAGGGTTGCAATGGGAACTATATTGCACGGCCAAGAGGCTGGAGGACAAGGTACATAGGCCATGTCGTTTGGTAAGAATACATTTATCAGCGAGCTAACAAGCCTGGAGCGATAAAACCGAACGTAAACGGAGGAAGCCTCCCCGGTAGTGGGGCCGACAAGCCAATCGCCAAGCTTGCCGCTCCAGCTGGCAAGGCCAAGCCATCAGCGCCCTTGTTCGCAGGGCCAGCCACTGTAATCTGTAGGTACTCACTGTAAATAACTAGGAGGTTAATCAGCGACAAACGGCAGACAGCAAACGGCAAACGACGGGCCGCTTGCCCAAAGCAGAAGAGGGGCGTTCCTTCCCCCAAATCAAAATCCTTACTAGGTAGTTAGCGATAATGGCTAATGAATAATGACAAGCAAAAGTATTTCATCAGGCTCTGACCCTCTCATCTTGCCGTCTCTCCACCGTCCTGCGTTATTCTCATCGGCCATCCGTTTTCCCCGTGGGTTCATTCAAATTGCTCCTCTCACCTCCCAGAGTTGGCAATCCGAGCTTGCCTGTTAGCAAAAGTTTTTCTCACTCAGCCAAAAGTCTCAAACAAACCGCCCCCCCCCCCTTCCCCGCCGCCAATGCATTCCAAGCTCCTCCTCCTCTCGGCCTTGGCCGCCGCCGGCCCGGCCGCCGCCGAGACGGTCCTCGGCGTCTACGTCTTCCACCGCCACGGCGACCGCACCAGCAAGTCCTACCCGCCGACGAGCCTGACCGCCCTCGGCGCCGACCAGGTGCACGACTCGGGCGCCTTTTACCGCGCCCGCTACGTCGCCCAAAACGGCTCCGTCAAGATCGCCGCCCTCTCCGACGGCGCCGTCGTCCTCTCCCAGCTCAGCGTCACCTCCCCCAAGGACGGCGTCCTCCACAACTCGGCCGTCACCTTTCTCCAGGGCCTCTACCCGCCCCGCGGCGATGCGGGTAACGAGACCCTCGCCGACGGCCGCTCCGTCCAGGCCCCGCTCGGCGGCTACCAGTTCATCCCCGTCGACGCCATCTCCGACGCTGCCACCATTGAAAAGGCGGAGAGCAACGCCTGGCTCCAGGGCAACACGGGCTGCACAAACGCCGAGGTCAGCTCCAAGAGCTACTTTTCCTCGGATGAGTTCACCAAGACCTCGGCCGACTCCAAGGACTTTTACCAGTCCCTCCTGCCCGTCATCAACTCGACCTTTGCCTCCACCGAAGCCACTTTCAAGAATGCTTACACCAGTATGTTACTTGTACCCGATTCTCAATGCTTAAAGTCGACATGCTAATAGTCCCAAGTCTTTGACTATGTCAATGTTGCCTCTATCCACAACAAGACTATTCCGTCTGGTGACCTTGTAAAACCCGCCATGCCCCGTTTGCTCACACTTGCCTCCGACCACGAGTGGAACCTGGCCTACAACAAGTCCGAGGCCGTCCGCGCCATTGCCGGCTCCGTCCTCGCCGGCCAGATTCTCGGTGCCCTCGACGCCCTCGCCAAGGGCACCAAGGGCTCACCCACCTTCAATGCCCAGTTTGGCGCCTACGGCACCTTGATGGCCTTCTTCGGCCTAGCCCGCCTGCCCGCTGCCAGTGCCGACTTTTACGGCATCTGTAACTACGCCTCCTCCATGACATTTGAGCTCGTCACCAACGCCACCGCCGGCTCCGACGGCAAGTACAAGCCCGAAGACCTCTCCGTCCGCTTCTTCTTCGCCAACGGCACCGCCACCAGCGACTCCTTCAAGCAATGGCCCCTCTTCGCCCAGACAGAGACCACCCTCTCCTGGCCTACCTTCAAGGACCGCATGAACGAGTTTGCCATCCAGGACAATGCCCACTGGTGCAGCATCTGCGGCAGCACCTCGGGCAAGTGCGCCGCTAACAGCACCTCGCCCGACGGCGGTTCCGCCTCCACCAATTCCTCAGGCGGTGTCTCCCGCCCCGTTGCCGGTGTTATTGGTGCTCTTGTTGCCCTTGCCGTCATCCTCGGTGTCCAGGCCGCCGTTATGCTCTTTGGCGGCTTCCGCCTCATGAAGAAGTCCTCTCTTCGCCCCCAGGCCAACACGGAAGCTGGCATCAAGGCTTAGATGTCGCAACCTTAATAAAAAAAAAAGTAAAAAAAAAAAAGCCATGAGAACAGAATAACGTGCAAATGGGTGTAAAAGGGTAGCGTTCTTCTCTGCATATACTACGAATCATTGAATAGCAAATTTTGGTTTATTGTATATCCCATTTTGGCCTACTCAAATTGTGCCGTCGGTCGTAGCGTGACTAATCGCCGAGGACATCCATTTCTGGTTCTCTTCCCTTGAAGCAACGTGGTACCAAGATACGCTCGGCTAGAACGGGCGCTGCGCCGGGTCTTCACCGCTCACGGATTGTCAGGCATTCTCGTTTACAATTGCATGTATTAAGGACATCTACCGATCTGCCGTGACGTAGTGATAAAACTGAACCACATACAAAAGGGGAATAATAATAAATCACCAACCATATCTGGCCAAACGCCTCGTACTCGTCTCCACGTAAAAGCAAACCATGAATGAACCAGTCTCGTGGTGCGCTCGTGAGTCGTATTATATACTTGTAGTACTTCAGGTACTCCCAGTTCCATATCGACAAGTTCCGAGGCTTGATTCGGGCGAGAAAAACAACAACAACTAGTCTACTGAGAAGGAGTGGTGGGGGATTTGCGAAAGGGACGACGCAACCAGGCATCAAATTCCTTGAGGCGGCACATGGCGATGGGGTCGTGGCGGTGGAAAAAGGCGCGGATACGCTTGCCAAACATGTCTAAGTTGTTGATTAGCCAAGGTTCACATCGTCGCAAAACACGGAACCGACACAAAACGTACACATGGGGATACTGGTCAGGCAAATGATGACCTGCAGAATGGAGATAATAACGAGAACACGGCGAATGCCGCCGGCGATGAGCCAGTCGAGAGCGTAGTAGGTGACGACGAAGCTGAAAAAGTTTTTGAACAGAATCGTGAGCGTGAATCCCTCAATGGCGAGGTCACCTGTACATGATTAGCAACGCATTCCAGGGGCGACGGAGAGTAGTATGGTGCGTACGGTAGGCATCCACAATGTAGAGTGAGCTTGCGACGGCTCCAATCACCATGCCGCAGACTTCAAAGCCGAAGAACATGAGCGGAATGATGACGGATTGGTGTTGAGACGCGACGTCTTCAACGGTGAGGGCAAAGCCGAAAAGACCAATGGCACTAGCAATGAGCATGGGAATGATAAGCAGGATGCGGAACTCGGGCTCGTAAACGCCCTTGTTTTTCGCAGTCATGATGCGAACGCTGAAGTCGGCCAACAGGCCGCAGATGGCGAACCCGACCAAGGCCCCGATGAAGGCACCGGCATACCCAAATCCCGACTTGGCCGTGCCCCAGAAGAGCGGAGGACCGATGAAGATGGATGCGACCAGGGCGCCCATGAAGATGGTCCACGCAATCATGGTGCCTTGGATCAGGCAAGCCCAGATAAAGGCAGGGTTCATCAGAAGCGGAAAGGGGCGCAGAAGCAGCGTAAGATATGGGTCGTCCGTCTTTCGGCCGTCAAACAGGGACATGGACTCGACAAACGTCTTGCGTGGCGTGTTGGCGTCACCGCAGGGCTGGGTTCGGTTGGTGGGCAGGGCACGGAAGCCCGAGTGGTGCTCCTTTTCGTTTGTCTGCGACGAGCCAGACGACGGCGGCTGCAGCACGTCTTGCTCGGTGTAAATGTCCGTGTTGAAGCGGGCTTCGCGTCGGTACGCGGTCTCGGGGCAAAAGAGGACAATGGCTGGCAATGTCGCGCCGGTAAAAATGGCGACGAAGTTAAAGGTCCAGCCGAGGCTGATGTTGGCGGTGATGACACCGACGACGATGGGTGTGAAGAAGGCGCTGCCAAAGACGGCCAGGTTGGCAAAGGCCATGCGGATGCCGCGCTCGTGGACAAAGTACATATCGCCAATGGCAGCGTTGAGCAGACTCTCAAAGGGCGCAATGCCGACGCCCTGAATGGCGCGTGCGGCAGCCATGCTCCGAAAATGACGTCGCGCATCCTCGGGCGTGTTAGATTCGAGCGGCACGGCGCCGGCCCACGCACTGGTGGCGATGACGATGACGAGGCCGAGCAGGAAGAGATGGCGCTTGCCGTAGACGCGGGCCGAGGGAACGAAGAATATGACGGCGCCACCGGCCCCGGCGAGGAGGTAGCCTGTGAGGACGACGGCGTCGGTAATGGTCAGGGCGATGTTGCCGATGAGGGTAACGGTGTTGGCGGCTAAAATAGGGCCGAGACTGGTGGCGAGCACGCCGGCCCAGCAGAGGAGAAATGTAACGAGATCGCGCTTCCGGATCGGCCAGTTGAGAGGATCATTGGGGTCATCTGACGGCTGGGGGGTCTAGAGACACTGTTAGTGGGCTGCTTGGAGGTTGTTGCGGCGACGTAGAAGCCGGTACCAAAATGAGGCCACCGGGCGTGGTCTTGAGATGCGTGTCGTGCTCGCCAGCCATGCGCGGCCTATCAGGGTCATCATAGTATCGCGTGGTGCCTGTGAGAACGAGTATCAGCAAAAGAAATGTCATGCGACGATTTGTGGTTGGAATTGCGCGGTATGAAAGCTACTTACCAGGCACCTTTTCATTGGCCTTGGGCTCAAGGACTCCGAGACCCATGGTGATTGATGGCAGCTGCGAAGCTGTCGCAAAGGCGACCTCGCTGGGCGCAATGCCTGCTGCACCAAGAGAAGCTTTCGAGAGCTCTCACAAATGTCGGACCAAGGCGACTCGACGGACGTGATACGAAACTATGAGATGGCAAGTGTGCAGCGCGTGAGCAGACGGTGTAGTGGGTTGGTCTCGAAGGGCTCCCTAATTGAAAGTACAAAATAGACTTGGCGCCGTCAGCAACCTCGAGTCCATGAAATCATGTTAAGTTAGCAAGGCACGGTACAGAACGGCTGATGCAACAAATGGGGTAACTAGAAGGAAGGGAGAGGAGAGAAGGAGAGCGGCCATGGGAGAAGGGGAATGAAATGGGGCGGAGATCCCCAGAAAGAGCGTGGGGCAAGTCGATGATGGGTTAACAGTGGGTGCGCTCGGTAGGGTCTGGGCGCGGCTCCGGGGCTGCGAGGCAAAATACGCGTGTGACCACTGGGCCAAGCCTTTTTATAATTAGTTTATTGATTGAATCTAGTTTACTTTGACCCTGTGCCGGTTTTTTGGGCTTGCTGTGGTCTGTGGCTCGTCGCTTGTCGAGCAACACGCATAGGTAGGTGCGGGACTTGCCTCGGCGCTGGTGGAGCGTCTTTGGCGCTCAAAAGCTCAGAATCGGTAGATCCATTGCTTATTCAAGGAACAGGCATTTTTCATTTTAACTGGTAACCCTGTCCTGTCGTCGATCCCATAAAAATCAGAGTACGGATTATTAGTGCAGAAATCCAACTGCGAAAGATATCCACACCACCACATAACTGCATCACCCCATCCCAAGTCTAATGCGAGAACCAATCTTGCTCCATTTCAAGAGCTATATCGGCCCCCTTGTCCAACACAATAAATTCGCCTTTGACAGCGCGCATCATCAGCAAACCACTGCAGTGGATCTGTCGCGACCCCTACCGCTCCACCGAAGCTGTCAAAACTGGCCTGAACCGCATTGCTCGTCCCCCAGCTGCCTCTCGTCGCAACTAGTCATCGCAGTCGAGCTGCGCTCGCTGCGCTCTCGGCTGTCGTTGAAATGCCGGCTGTCGTATTCGTTCAGAGCCTCAGATCCCTCCAGGTACCGCCAGGGGCCGATCAGACTGTAATACTGTTTGGCGAGTACCAGGCTGTTGCCCTGGCTTCACATGTTGCAGAAGGTACTGTACTAGCACAGCTGCCCACACCCACACAGACACCCTGACACCCTCTTCCCGGCAATGCTGGGTCCAATGACAGCCTCAACATGGCTGTTTGCTGGGCCTCATTCGGCAGTAGGGTGGATGCGACGCCTGTATATTCATGACCAAAGACTCTTGACGTGAAGAAATGAAGATGCGCGAGTTCATTTTATTGTAAATTCTACTTGAAAGAACCGAGCTCCAGTGAATCTGAAATCCAATTATTCTCTAGATTATGCACCAAACATCGCTACATGACTGTCACAAATGTTCTCGCCACTTTGCAGCCCCCAAACGCTAGCTCATGCGAATACGCGTCCCAACTCCCGATGTCACTGTACTCGTGCAACGAGACTCTTTGAACAGCGCACACTCCCGAACGATTATCAGTATAATTATTAGTCTCATGTACTTCATGTCTGAATTGCCCGCGGAGCACATTCCTTTCAAGCTCATCATAATTCTTCCTCATCCAGTTGGGTTGCACCCGCTCCAGCGGTACTGCCGTCCTCGGATGAGAGGCGCGGCTCAATGTATTTACATTTCATAGGTTGGTTGCATGTTTGCAGTCACGTAATCCAGATTCATTCATCACGAAGCGCTCTTTATAATTCAATATCTGCATAATGCCCAATCGGGGGTGGAGGGGAGGGGTCGCCGTTTGCTCGCTAACAATCTGCAAACGCAGCCCATTGCCGCAGCGCCGTTTCTGCGTCCTGCAACCACGCAAAACGGACAGTCCTAGCTTCAATATCATCAAAAAGATGGTCGAAATCATCGAATTCTACATTGCCAGCAACCCGCCTCTTCTACCCCAAGGCGTGTCTGAAGTGATACGACGCGTCCAAGACGCCGAGGTAGGGCTTGCTGCATCTCATCAACGGTGAACTCAACAGACGCGCTGACTCGATCATCTCCCTTCCCCCCAACTACAGGGTCTCCTAGAAATACTGTACGAGCCGCATGTGCCCTGGTTCAGGTGCGTGTCGCTGCCTGGTTACCAGCGGCACATCACCACCGCGGTGCAGGACAACCTCTTCGCCATTGCCGACGAGGACGTCGACACGCTCGACATTGAGAACCAGGGGAACGGCGACGTCAACATCACCGCCGAGCATCCCCGCATGACCTCCTAGTCCGAGTATGTGGGCAGGGGAAGCAAGGCATACACGTTTGCCGACGGCGACATCTTCCCGGCGGACGTGGCCGAGACAAAATTCAAGACCGCCTGGCGCCGCCTGGAAGAGCAACCAGGTGCAACTTTGCAGGACCTGCTGGACAGGGTGTCCCAAACCATCGAGGAGTTTGAGTCCCTGACAAAATGTACCATATTATACAATTCCCGACAAACAGCCGTGTACATTGGCTCGAATGAGAGCCCTGATTTGGTCAACTGGACCATTGATCGATTAGACGATATGATGGATCACTATGTAAGTTTGCGGAGATATCATCCCGCGTCTCAAACTGAGCTAATTCTTACAGACTTAGGATGTACTTTCTAATCTCCGCTCTATTCGTGAGGCGCTCCCTGCTGCTGTCACTGAGCCAGTTCCAGTCAGCCGTGATCCGTTGGACGACATCCCCGCCCGCGTCAACGCGAGTCTGCCGGACTCCGTCGCGCCCTGGGCCGATCCATTCAAAAACGAGGAGAGCTTAATTTAAGAAAAGAGGCAAACGGCTCGGGCGGTCTGTGTGCGGGAGCTTTTGGGAAGATGAGTGACATTATGCATCATAGAGAGCCTACTTTTGCTACATCGCAATGGTAGCCCACACTCAAACTAGACAAAACAACCAAATCCTCTCAAAAAAACGCTCGTAATGTGTTAAACCCCCTCCTTCTCTTTTTTTTTCTTTGTCGGAATCGATTCAATCTTTTTGCCTGTTCTATATGCCGAGTTTCTCCAGAAAGACAACAGAAAATAACCACTTCAAAAACGCACCGAAAACACTAGATGGGAATAAAAATGATAGCAACTTGAACGAGTAGAAGAAGAAGAGGAGAAGAAAAAAAAGTAGAGGAAGAAAAGTGCCATGAATCATGATACACCATGTGGTGAGTGCCGTAAAAAAAGAAAAGAAGAGGAAAAAAAGAAATCTGGCAGATATACCGTTATAAGGGCTCTCATCTGTAGCTCAAGTATTTGTCGTCGTCGTAGAGGATTGTGTTTTATATACTTGTCCTTCCTGTCAGGGCATGCACGACATGATGGATAAAAAGGGAGAAAAAGAGTACAAAGGGGGGGACTGGGTTCGTTATTGCGCGCCCTTGACGTTGTTCTTGACGTTGAGGGCCCATTTCAGCTTGTGCAGGGCTTCTCTCGCCTCTGCCAGGGTCTGTTCCTGCTCGTCCTCCCTCTGCTTGGCACTCGTGCGGATGTGGCGCAAGTCGTCGTCCTGGGTCTGCTTGTAGCGGGCAAACAGGCGGGCCATGTCGTCCTTTTGGCGGCGCAGCTCCCTGATATTGCCGTCCTGCTGCTCGCAGAGGTCGCGCAATGTCTGGATCTTGTCATCGTCGCGGCGGCGTTCGTCGACCATTTCGGCAATCTCGGCACGCATCTTGGTGACGGCGCGGGCGACCTGGTCGCCCTGGTCACGCCAGTGCGAGGCAATGGCGTTGTAGCGGCCCTCCATGAGCTGGGCGTGCGCGGCGGCCTGCTCGACGTGCGTCTTGGCGTCGGCGCGCACGCGCTGCATCTCGTCCTTCCAGGTGCGCTCCGAGGCGAGCGCGGCCTGCGTCTTGCCGCGCTCCAGGTCGACGGCGGCCGTCAAGGACTCGACCTGGCGCTCCTTGCGGGCGAGCAGCGTCTTGGTCACGCTGGCCGCGAGCAGCCGGCCCTCGTACTCGCCGACCATGCGCTCCATCTTGTCCTCGACCAGCTTGGCGGCCTGCTTGGCCTCCTCGGCGCGCAGCCGCTCAATCTGGATCTCGCGTTTCAGGGCGTCATTGTCGCTGACGAGCTTGTTGATGACGCGGCCCGTCTTGCCCAGGCCGGCCTTGCCAATGGTGGAGTCCCAGTGCCCATTCTCCGGCTCCGTGGGCTCCGAGAGCCCCGAGCTGTCGTGGGGCAGCGGCCCCGAGTGCTGGGTCTCTATTACGCGGACGCCGTTGGCGCTCCAGCGGCTCGGCGCGGACGTTGTGTGGGTGTGGGTGTCGGCGGCTGAGCGGCTGGCCGCCCTGTCGTGGTCGGGAACCCCCAGGGTGGTGGAGGCGGCGCTTGTGTTGCTGTTGGTGCTGCTGGAGAAGGGGCTCTTCTTGGTCTCGGGACTCGATTCGGAGCTGTCGAAGCTGGGGACGCTCCGGATGGTCGTGGTGCGGCCGAGGGCGTGCTTGGCCGCAAGGTTCCGCGACGCAGTCTGCATGCTATTTATGGAGCCGGTCGAGGCGGGAGTCAGCTTTCGGACGGTGTTGTCGTCGTCATTTAGTAATTGGGCCTGCTGCGTGCTGTCGAGGGCCTGGGCTGCTATGGTCGGGGAGGAGAAGAGGCCTCAATGTCAGCGTTGTTGAGAGACGATCTCGATAGGAAAGGACGGGCGAGCGTGGCTTTGTTTCTGTCAGGGTCAAAGGAGAAGGACAAGGGATGAGGCGTGCCAGGAATTGAATCAGCCTTTTTGCAGAAAAAAGCAGTGACGTCTGATTGTCTTTGCGTGTTTTCTGGCAGGGGACGTGGTCAAATTCGTGAGCAAGGGTAGTAGTGTGACTTGGTGAGTGCTTGTAACCAGCAGGTGAGGTGTTGTACCGCTGGCGGAAGCTAGGCGAAGCCAAATGGACGGCTACTGGTAGAATGTGCCGTCACCACACCTGCGTCAAGCCACTGCCACGACTCCACGACCAAAACAATAGAAACTGCCAACGCCAAACCCCGTGCATAGGTGGTGCGAGTGTGATTTATTTGTCCGTGTGTTTGCGTCTGTCACGATGTCCGTACCTTGAGATGCGTCTTGGTGTATGGCAAAGCTCTGTTTTTGGAGGCGCTTTCGCGGCATTTCCCCTGTCTCGCCGGTTGTTCAGGGAACGAAACGGTCTGATTTCCCAGGAAATACAAACCCGCCGTTGTCTTGCGGTGTGTAGGAGCGAAAATTGATAAATTGATCCAAGGAGGGAGGTCGCCTTTTGCGGACGCGTTTTTGGGGGGCGTCGGGATCGAGCGGTCTATCTTTTTTGGGGCGTCCGTTTATGCCGTCTGTTTCGTCTCCTTGAATCGCGACCGAGAGCGTACCTACTAACTAACGACAGGCAGTGCGGGATGTTTGGTAAATACGGTCCGCGATCGATTTGTGCGGTGCGCCTAGTGTCCGTACTCAGCCACACACTCAGACTTGGTCGCCGTCGCTCGCAACTCTATCAGCGCTCTCAGTTTGTTGCGGAATCGGGTTGGTGATGGATGTGTAACACGTAGCACGAGTGAGATGAAGAGACGGGAAAACAATAAGAGACACGGCGCATTATTAACTACTATGTACGGATACTGCAAGACAAAGGGGCACCCAACACGTTTCTTCTGCTCCATACTAGCTAAGCTGGACACACTGTGCTACAGCCTCTGCATTGTGAGTTGGCGTGTAGCTACGGAGTATAATACAACTAATTTGGGCTTTAAATTGCCCTCGATTTTTTGGTCAAAGCCTGTGTGTCACTGGATAAGATCGCCAGACACATACATACCCTTGATAATACGCAAGTAGTAGAGATGGAGAATCGAAAATCTCTTACTACGAATGCCAAGTTAATTTAAATAATTTAATACGGAATACTGAGTTGATTTTTATTATTACACGCTCCTTTTTTTGCTAGGAGAAACATCTTTTTGCACAATTCTACTAAATTGTACCTACATAAAACACCCCCCCACCAAGGCGTGGTGCAACACGGGGCATTTGGTGTTTCGTCTTGGCATCTACAGGTATGCGGAAGGCTGATATTTTGACAACAAGAATTGGTCAAATGACAACAAGCTAAACCGAATTAGTATAGACCCACGTAGCCACTCCACCAAGTTTTACAGGGGGTAAACGAGTACTGATTGTATCTCTTAAGGCTGCCACGATGGCTGCAATTGATAAATTCGCTATGATGAAGCCGGACATTGATTATTGATTGTTGACTTGTTCAGGCGTCGTTCTAGCCCCTGAATCTGCGATAATAACACCTATTGTATCGCCCGTATCGCCCGTATCGCCTATGTCGCCTGTATCGCCCGTATCGTCTTATCGTCTGAATCGTATCTCTAAGCCGTCCTCGGGTCTATACCAATTCGGTTAGCTTGTTGTCATTTGACCAATTCTTGTTGTCAAAATATCAGCCTTCAGGTATGCGGGCAGAATAATAGATTTTGTACATTACCAAAATTAAAGTACAGAAATATTAGTTGATAATTCAAGCTTCGAGAACTAATATATGCCTTGCGGGATCTCGTTTCCTCGCATATGCCCACTTTCGGTGCTTCTCCAGCCGGGGCTCGCGTGTCAAACAGGCATGCTGCATGCACCCCCATGGCACCGGTGTCGTATTCTGACTGTAGTATCCGTGGCGTGGCTGTAGATTGCTCTTCCAGCGCGCGTCCATACGCTCTAATGTACAAAAATCTTCTTCTTGCTCCTGTAGAAAGGACCCTCGAGAAACGCCCGTCACAATGCCATGCGCCGCTACACTCTTCGTACCATCATCAACATCACCTTGAACATCCAACCGCTCTTCATCTTGTCCAGTGGTCCACGCAATCACGCCGCAATAGCAGAGTTGGCCGATGTCCCGTCCTCTGCCCGACTGGCAGCCGCCGCCTCCAAGAACCCTGGTCGGTATTTCGACAGATACTGAGCCGCCATTGTGCGCGCATCCTCGACTGCAGAAAGGGGTTAGCATCAGCTCTACAGTATACCGAGCAAGACTTACACTCTGTCCAAATATCTTGCACAGTATCTAACGCCATGTCCTTGACCGGTGGTCGCATGAGAACAAGATATAGCAAGCTCGTCAGGGCAAGTTTGACAACGAGCGGATCGCGACACATGCGTCTCACCCGAGACAGAATCTCCTTATTCAACTCGGGGATTTCGCTCAGGAATCGCGTCAAAACCTTGTCTTGTGGGTGCACATATGGCAGGAAGCCATCCAGGAGACGCAGGGTGCACTTTTCGTACGACTTGGGGTAGTCGCGGTTTGTCTGGGTTAGTAGTCGGTCGTTGTACCACTCCTCGCAAAGCCATGATACCGCAATGTCAATGTGCTTGCGAAAGTCTTCCATTATGTAATTGTACAAAAGTTCACGGATTGTGTTTGGCAGCGAGGTTGATGAAACGTTGTCATCGTCTTCGCCCTTGACAAGAATCTCATCTAGTCCAGCAGATGCTCTCGTCGCAAGACGTGACAAAATCGTCATCCATGAATCCCTCGTGCCAGAGCTGGCGGCCAACCGCATGAAACCAGCCCTGGCCTTTTTTGCTGACGAGTCTTCGAGTGACTTCATCATATCCACAACCTTTTCTACCGTGCCGGCACCAGCGCTGAGGGCCAGTTCCGGCGTTATTTGTTGCGGCTGGGCTAGGCTAAATGATCTGAGCGCCAGGCTGTCGTCGAGATGGATAGGGTCCAGGCCGGAGGGCTCACTGTCCAGCTTGTTCAGAATCTGCTCCGTATCTTCAGCCTGGTAGAAATCCGGCTCGTAGTCATCGTCGTCGTCATCAACTCCAAGTGGTGCTGTATTAGGATTGAGTTCTGCCGCCGGCGCATTTGCCACTGTCTGAAGTCTATCACGAACGCCGTCAACAGCCTTGGCCAGTAGTTGTGAATCTAGCCTGGCAAGGATTGTAACCGCTAATTTTGTGACCATCGCGGGCGGTACGAGCGATAGATCAAATGTCTTCAAGCCATCGTTGCTGACAAGGCTAAACAGATCAGCGAGGCTGTGAGGCCCAGCCCCAAGGGCGGGGATTTGGATCTGGGCTGCTGTGATGCGTTGACGTTTGGCATCATTTCCGTCATGTTGCGGTGCGTTTAGCGCCCTCTTCTTTCCACTGTCATCGAAAGCCTCGGCAATCAGGCGCATATTCCGTTCGACATGTTGCTGCATTCGTGGCACAATAGGGTTGTGAGGATCCCTTCTGCTCAGGTTGACCAGGAGTGATCGCACAGTCTTTTCCATTGACCTAACCATGACTTTGCCCCTGGGGGTCAACGGTGACGGTGCAAAGTTCAGAGGGTTGAAGGCGAAGATGGCGTTGATAATTCGGTTGGAAGTTTCTGGCCGGGTTCGAATGAGAATGGATAAGCAATTCAGAGTCGCATCGACAACCAGGGCATCACTACATTGGTCAGTTATTACTGCTCTACAATTCAAATGTTCCCGTGTCGCATACTTGGATTCCTGCAATGCGCTAAGCATACGGTCCAAGAGCCCGGATGCTTCAGCCTCGAGAGGTCGAGGGTCGAGTGTTTGGTGGTTTGGGGGGATTTTATCAAGAGAAATATCGAGTCCACCGGCATACTATGTCCAATGTTAGCAAAATCGAAAAGATCATAGACAACAACATACTCTGTGGTCTCCCATGGAAGAGACAGTCTGTGCCAGCACCACGCGCTGCGCGAACTTGATACAGCAGATTCTGACTGTCGGCGTCGCTGTGTCCCAAATCTGTAGAATTCTTTGTTTTATGGCCACCATCCGTTCCCAGGTAACCGTATCATATGAATTGTTGATTCTGTCATCATGCATTAGCATAAGCACCCCCTGCCGTCGCTTCTCTCTAGCTACCTACATCCATCTCAGCGCCAGCGGGTAGATGCTAGCCGCTGTCTGTATGACACCCCGCAGGACGTAGTGGTCCTCATCTGGTTTCTGCACCAGCAATTCGAGGGTTGCCAAGACGTACGGTGCCAGTGTCTCCTTTTCGCCGTTGGGCAGCACCGGCGTAGCAAAGGCTTCCGCCAAAAAGTCGGCGCCCCATCGGCGCAGCTCCAGCGGCGCCGAAACGCCTATGCTCGGAATTAGACCACGCACGACGCCAGGGTACAGCTTCACATCGCCAAGGACGTGTTTGCGGGCATCGTTGAGCTGCTGAATCTGCTGCGACAGCGACAGGTCCCCGTTCGGCATCGTTGCGGTGGACGTGCAGACCGCTCAGCGAGGCGAGGCAGCAAGAATATGATCGCTAGTGTATATATCGGTCGACGCTCGATAGAAGCCGCTGAATAATGGCTGCTGCGAGATATTTGCTTCGACAGCTACGTCGAGATTGGCGTCGCGACCTGAAGAACTTCAGCTGTCGGAAATTCTATCTCTGTGTCATGCTCTGTTGCATCGGATATCGAGTCGAACAGCTCGGGTATCGGTATAAGAGTGCAGGTCCGCTCGTTTGACAGCGCGCAGTCGTGATTGCCGCTATTGCGCAGAGTTGCTCGCTTTTCAATTGTAGGCGCGCTTGGATGCTAAATGTCAAGATTTGGCGGACGTCAGTCGTGACGCGGGCCCGCAGCTCAAGGGCCAGGTACAGGTAAGGGAGAGGGCTCAGGCTATTACAGGGCACGACAGCTTGACTGGCGACTGAATTCCAGCGCTTCCTTGCCTGTGGCACGGTTTAGCCGGTAATGACCCGCCCTGCCAATCCATAAGTATGTATCCAGGACTTGACGACTTGACCGATGGCTGTTTCTCAACTTGCCTGCTTTATCAGTCCATAAGGTACTTTTCAGAGCGACATCTGTTATTCTCATCCCCGTTACCAATATGATCACTCCTTTTCGCAGTACCGCGGCCGCCATGTCGCGCACGCAGTTTGTCGCTCCTCCGCCAAATTCTGAAGAAGAGCATCACATGGCTAACACAAAACAGCAACCCGCAAGCGACGTACTACGACGGCCGACTTCGCCAAGGTCCTGCTTTAATCCGTGCCCGCCGACCATATCTCTTCAAGAATGCTTTTACCGGTCTTGGTTTGCTTGCCATTGTCGGTGGCATCTGTAAGCATTGCCTCCAGACCACGGCCCATCATACTTGTCGCAAACCTAACCACAGTCCCATGTAGACTACTATACCCTGAGCGCTGTCGGTCAGGATGACTTTGAAGATGTCAAGGTTCCCGATATTCCCAGAAAACCGACCGAGGCCAAATAAAGAAAACCAAATATCCTTCAGAAATTCACGCGCTGGCTCCGGCGCATTTGTACACCAATTATCACACACAGAGGAGCAAAACGACGCGGGACAAAAGGTTGGTTTTGATAAGCCATTCCTAACGGAGGAGGAATGTATAATAATTCGGCTGAGAGGAGCAAGTCCTTTGCGGTGCTATGGATTTAAATGACATCTGCACACCATTGTATACAATGAAAAAAAAGAACAAAACTCCGCCAGAGCACTCCAATCATCAAATAGACCAACCAAGCGTCGTATGACGACAAGCCCCGTATCCCTAAAAAATCCCAGTCCCAATAAAAAGAATGCAAGACAAAATGTTTCGTTTCCGTCATCAAAGAACCTATATGCCCGAGGGTATCACAAAATAAGGGCGCCTATATCCATGGCGTGTTCCCGAATGCGCCACCGACCCAAATAATCCACCCGTATAAATTTGATGTGCCTTTATCGGTCAGACAGCAGTTGCCTTAGGGGTCCTGTTGGCGCGCGGTACGCTGGCTACGCGCTTCATCTGGTGCGGTGGGGGTTTTAGTATTGGCCGCGACATTTCCGGTGATTCTGAGAGCCGTGCCGGAAGTGCTGGGGATTTCAATGACGAAGATGGTGTTTCGTTTTGGAAGATGGGCCCTTGAGGAACCGCGCGATTCTCATCTTGCGCCGCTCCTTGCCGCGCCACCTTGTGAGCAGAGTGGTTTGGATTCGCCCATGGTGTATCTTTGAGGAATTGTTCTCCCGCCGGCCCAATTTGATTGATATTCGGTGATTGATAGTCATCTCGCTGCTGGAAGGTGCTAGGCTTTTGGCGACCTCGTCTAGTTCGCTGTCCGTCGAGTTAGTCGTGGCCACAGAAGCAATGTGACCTTCAAAGACGCTCAACGTACCTCCATTGCGCTCAGATCCGACTTTAATTCTAGGGAAGAAGCCCCTTTCATCTCTGGCCCGGCGGGGAAACCTTCAAACTTCGCCATACCCGCCAAAGTGGACACTTCGCTGTTGTAGGCGATGGCATTTCGGAGCCTTTGTGTGGGGTCTTTGGGGAAGAGGAGGCCGTAATCTTGAAGATGGTGGGCATTTCGTCTGGCAGTCTGTACATCGTACCACTGCTTGTTCATGCTTTCTAGCGTTTGTTCTCGCTTTTCTCGGACAGCCTGGAAGAATTGGCTCCATATTTGTGCTCGCTGTGCCACGGCCCATCGTTCGTTCGCCTTGAGCTGGAAGTCAAACTCGGTATTGACTTCCTGGAGCTTCTGATTGAGTCGATTGTCGAGGCATTGTTTCATATTGAGATATTCGCGGTGGGTCGGTACGTCGGCGAGCAGAGACTGCTCCTCATCCTCGACGCGTTGGAGTTTCTCTGCGTAAAGTCTGTAGGGCGGTTAGTATCGAGAGAATGTGCAAGTCGGGCAACTTCTGCTACTAACCTATCTCTGAAGATGCCAAACATTTCCTCTATATGAGACCATTCCTTGAACGCAGCCTGTTTTCGTTCCACTAATAAAAACGTTAGCATCGTCGGTCGGGAAATATTCAGAGCGGGAAGAGGGAATCTTACTCTCTTCTTGGTTTTTCGCCGCGATATCGGCCTCATCTTCGTCGTCAATTTCAGGCTCAGCTTCGTCCTCGTGGTGATCTGTAGCCTCCTCGCCGGGTGTTTCTGTGGCGCCTTCGGCACCAGTGTCATCTTCCTCGTCCTTGACACCGTCCTTGCTTCGGAGGCCATTCCGAGTGCTTTTTCGGGATGATCGGGAGGAACGAGAAGAGCGATCTTGTGCTTCTCCCTCAGTACCGGTGTCACGATTGTGCTCGTCGTCTGCGTCAGACTGGAGGGCGCTGTTGGCGTTGGTAGCTGCTTTTTTATCAATGTTAAGCGGAGGAACCTCGATAGAGGCGGCGCCGACGGAGCCATTTCTCTTCTTCTGGGGCTGATCTGCCACCGGCGACCGTTTGCGCTTACGATCCTGCGAGCCAGGACTGAGGCGCTCGACAAGGAGTATTTTCGTTGTGTCGACGTTCTTTGTAGGAGTATCGTCTGCACCGTTAGCGCTTGAGGCACCCGATCCTTCGTCGCCAGAGACAGACTCGTGGTCAGCGTTCTCATGGTCAGCATCGTCGGCTTTGCCGTCCGGCTTGGACGTCCGGCGGAGCTTGCTTGGGGTGTGCTCAAAGACTTGGCCGTGGTTGTATTGATCAACGACAACATCCCGCTGCCGCTGATGCCTAGGTGTGTCGTAAAGACGCTCTGTTTCGGCCTCAGTGTCGTTGCCGTCGGAATTCGCGTCTGACCTAGCGTCGGAGAGGACGCTGGCGGAGTCGGAGGGGTCATCGTCGGCCGGATTCTCGTCGCCGCTGAGGCTGGAGTTATCGCCCTCATCAGCGTCAATTTGCATGCGGTCAATGTCCTCGTCGTTATCGTCCTTGTCGTCAACTTCGGTGAGGGGACTCGAGACGTTGCTGTCCTCGAGGTCTGGGTCCACTGCCTGTTGAGCCAAGGCGGCCGATGCAGTAGCAGTCGCCGCCATTGTCAATCCGAAGCGGTTCAATATTCGATTTACGGTGAAGAGTAGAAAAAGATCGCAACAAGAGTGCGTGTAGGTGGCGACGGGGCGTGACAAGGTTTTGCCTGAGTGCGGATGGTTAGCGAGGGCGACGGGAAAGCGGCGCAGAGCAGCGGCGCGACAGCATGAGCTGGGAGAGCAGGGCACACAAACCTCGACGCCAAAGGCAAAAGCTATCGCTATTCGTTGTAAGAGCTGCGGCGATTCCCAGTGTCAGAGACGCGTAGTGACGAGCTAGGACAGAGGGGAAGCATGAGGAGAGGAGGGCAAAGTGGTAGAGGTCTGGTCGGGGTTTGGCTGGGTCGGCGCAGTAGAGCAGGTGGTCAAGAGACGGCGGGCGACTGAGTGCTAAAGGTGCCGGGGCATGTTGCCAGGGCGAGCGGTGGTGGGTGGCAGGCACCTTTGGGTGCTTTGGGGGTGCTTTGGGTGCTGTACTAGGTAATCGCCAGAGGGTGTGGGTGCTGTAGGCAGCTGGGCTGGTGTGGGTGCTGGCACCACTGCTGGCAGCCGACGGCACACCCACTCAAAGAAAAAAAAGGCCACCACCAGCGGCCTCTGGAGAAGCAAAATCCGAGAACGGGCAACGCCGCCAACAAGAGCCAGAGCGGTCACACTCGGCAGAAACACGATCATGGGGGGCTTGGCTGGGTCCAGCCGCGGTCGGGGAGCCAATGACGCAGCACAAGGCTATGAGCAAAGGTAAGCTAGGTAATTTGTACGCAGTAATAAGTTGAGGAGGTGTCTCGAGAATCCGTCGGCATGGCTCCTTGTCACTCTGGGCGCGGTCCTCATGGTGGCGGCACAGTGATGCTTCTTACCGAGATACCGAGTTACGGGCTGGTAACATATATTCTTCCCGTCTAGCAACGCTGTAAGGCGGCTAGCACATGTTGAAAATATATTTCCATATGAGCTGTGTCAGACACCTGATGTCGTTACTAGACAGAGAATATATGTTAAATTCGGGACCCTATTAGTGTCCAAAATATCGTCGGTGTTGCCAGCGCTAAACGGCGCTACCTACCTCACAGCAAAGCACCTATACATGTCTGCACGTTGTTGTAGTTACAACCGTGACTGGGGATTTGGAAGGCAGAATTTTCCATACATATCTAGGTACCAGGTAAGAATTAAGAAACTCGTATCCGGGCTATCAAATAGTCAACGAGTTAACCTTTCACTACCTGACGTTTCACATACCAGATAATACCTTCACAAGTTCGCTGTATCTCAGGCTGGACATTCCGCAGAGCTAGGTATCATCTCACCCACACTACCACGCCGGCTCCTCCAAAGCTTCTACGTACTACAAGGCCCAGCATAGAGAGTTTCCCGTTAAACTAAGTGCGTCTATGATGCCATTCACAGCTGGCGCTCCTTCACACTTATCGGCCGCAACTTAATAGCGGTATAAGCCGGCAGAAAGTCGATTAGCGGGGCCGTGGCGCTCAGACAGCCAATGAAATCGCCTGTTGCGAGCAGGCACAGACGAACAACCAAAAATTTCGGGAAAGGGTCGCTGCAGAATTCGGTTGTCCAGATCTTGCGCTCAAGAGTTCTGCCTAGGCAATACATAGAGACTCTACTTGTCGGCAGAAAATCATTTCGATATGGGCAAAAAGTAAGTGATGCAATTGAATTGTATGTAGCGAGACGATTCCTCTAACACACATGAAAACAGAACTTCATTGTTGGCTTCGTCCAAGGCGGTTGACCCCCACCTGCAGGCTCTCTTTGCCTCCAGTGTACGTAAAGACTTGAACTGTCCAGTGAAAATACAAAAAATGTATGCTAATCAGCTGCACAGTCTGGTCCTGTTTCTACCCCTCCCACATCGAGATACCAGAAGCTCCGACTCAACAAGCCCAAATCGAGGTCGGACGACGAGCAGTCTGGCGACGACGAAGTCCTGTCCGAAGCCAGCGACGAGCTCGACTACGAAAGCGACGAGGAGGACGACGAGGTTGACGGCGAAGATGACGACGAAGATTCCGGAGAGGACGATTCTGAGAAGGCTGCTGAGGAAGAGTCCAGCGCTGACGAGGAGGCAGAAGAAGAATCCAGCGCTGAAGCGGAGGTAGAAAACATCGCCGCGCCCCGCAAGGAACGCAAGCGCAAGCGCAAAGACGACAATGAAGATCTGGAAGGGAAATATCTTGATAGCTTGAGCAAGAATGACGAAGACGAGCCCTCCGGAAAGCGCGTCAAATCCGCAAAGGACGGCTCCGACTCTGACAGCAACGACGAAGCCGAGGACGAAGACGCCGACAAGGAAGACCTTCCCACACACGAGTCTCTGAGCAAAGATTCCGCGGCCGCTGAAACCAACAAGGCCGCCAGAACCGTCTTCCTAGCCAACGTCTCCGCCGAGGCCGTCTCCTCCAAGGCAGCCAAGAAGCAGCTGCTCGCGCACCTTGCGACTGCGCTCGACAAGGAGGCACAACCCCTCCAAAAGGTCGAGTCGATACGCTTCCGCTCCGTCGCCTTCTCCACGGGCTCGATGCCCAAGCGCGCCGCCTACATCACCAAGTCAGTCATGGAGGCCACGACGCACTCGACCAACGCCTACGTCGTCTTCTCGACCGACGCCGCCGCCCGCCGCGTGTGCCAGCAGCTCAATGGCACCGAGATCCTCGGCCGCCATCTCCGCGTTGACAGCGTCGCCCACCCGAGCCCCACCGCCCACCGCCGCTGCGTCTTTGTCGGTAACCTCGGCTTCGTTGACGACGAGACCGTGCTCAACACAAACAAGGACGGCGATAAGGGGACGAAGAAGCGTAACAAGGTGCCCTCCGACGTCGAGGAGGGTCTCTGGCGCCTCTTCTCCAAGAACGGCAAGGTGGAAAACGTCCGCGTTGTGCGAGACCCCAAGACTCGAGTGGGCAAAGGCTTTGCCTATGTTCAGTTCTATGTACGTGCTCCACGCTCTCATCTGCAGCTCTTTCCCCGCCATTTTCATTTCGTAGCTAACTATTCTTACTCCAGGATGCCAACGCTGTCGAAGAAGCGATTCTCCTCGACGGCAAGAGCTTCCCGCCCATGCTCCCCCGGAAACTCCGCGTCACTCGCGCCAAGGACCCGCGCAAGACGGCCCAGGCCATGGAGCGTACCAAGTCCAAGTTCAACAGCAGCACGCAAGGAAGTCAGCATGCCAACAGCAAGCCGCTCCGCAAGGGCGCCGCGACCTACGTGCCCAAGATAACGCCCGACCAGCAGGCCGCCGCGGGCCGTGCCCGCAAGCTCTTTGGCCGCGCCCGTGGAGGCGCCCACGGAGGCACCAACAGCACCGGCGTTCTTCCCTCCGGCGTCAAACCGCCGGAGAGAATTGTTTTTGAGGGCCGCAGGGCGTCGTCCAGGGACGCGCTCCCCAAGGACCTCAAGAAGAAGGTCAAGACCAAGCGTGCCCGACCTGTGACGAGAAGCGCACGCCGCGGTGCCGATTGGAAGAAGAAGTCTGTTAAATAAGAGGGAGGACTAGTCTTTATTAAGCACATATTGTCGTTTTCATAAGTGTTTTGTGTTTCACTTTGGGAAAATTTGGCGTCAATGGCATCAAAAGAGAGGGTTCATTACACACAACAAGCATGCATAGACTCTTTAGTGATGACTAACAAAAGCTGTTCATCACAAGAGAAAAATTTGGAAATTTGAGTCCCCCAACAGCAGAGGGTCGTATCGTAAATGGAAGGAGGATATCAACGTGAATTTTAGCCTGCTTGCATCTCAAAGTAAAAAACTAGTTGCCGAGACAAACAAAGTAAGAAAAAAGGGAAGAGGGTAGCCTGTCGCGACTTTTTGTCTTTGGGACCCGAACACACCCAAAATATTAAAAAACCAGCCCGTCCAAGACAGTCATCATACACCCACCTTAAAGCTTCGCCCGAAAACAGGACAGGAACACCACATGCGGATGGGTAGAGGCGTGCGTACACTAACTAGGTAGGTACTACTCGACAGTTTCGTACCCATAGATGACCATTGGCCTCAAGGATCTGCTTGCTGAGAAATCGACAGGGGATAAGGGCAAAAGGTGACAAGCAACTTAGTACTCAGCCTCCTCCTCAGCCTCGAAGCTATCTCCGGCGACCTCCTCGTAATCCCTCTCCAGGGCAGCGAGATCCTCACGGGCCTCTGTGAATTCACCTTCCTCCATACCCTCACCAACGTACCAGTGAACAAAGGCACGCTTGCTGTGCATGAGGTCAAACTTGTGATCAAGTCGCGACCAGGCCTCAGCAATGGCAGTGGTGTTGGAGAGCATAGATACGGAGCGCTCGACCTCGGCGAGGCCACCATCTTCAGCAGCGGCGGGGACTGTCATGGGCTTCTGGTAGTTGATTCCAAGCTTGAAGCCAGTAGGGCACCACTCAACAAGGTTGAAGGTGGCCCTGGCCTTGACGGCAGCGATAGCAGCGTTGCAGTCGCGAGGAACAACGTCACCACGATAAAGCAGAGCGACAGCCATGTACTTTCCGTTTCTGGGGTCGCAGACAACCATCTGGTTGTTTGGTTCGAAGCCTATAGAGTATATCAGCAAGGAGCAGCTCGTGCGTGCTTAGAGGCCAGCGACTTACACTGGAAGGTGAGGTCAGAGACTTTGAAGCTCTCGTGGGAGCTCTTGGCAGCTGAGACAACTGGCGCGTAGCTAATGAGAGGGTAGTGAATACGGGGGTAAGGGACCAGGTTGGTCTGGAACTCGTTGAGGTCGACGTTGAGAGAGCCGTCGAAGCGCAACGACGAGGTGATGGAGCTGACGACTTGAGCGATCAGGCGGTTGAGATGCTCGTAGGAGGGGCGGGGAATGCCGAGGTTGCGGCGGCAGATATCATAGACGGCCTCGTTATCGACGAGGAATGTGCAGTCGGAATTCTCAATGGTGCTGTGGGTAGAGAGAACGGCGTTGTAAGGCTCGACGACGGCCGAGGCAATGCTAGGAGCAGGGTACACGGCGAATTCGAGCTTCACCTTCTTGCCGTACTCAGTAGCAAGACGCTCTTGGAGAAGAGCACCGAAGCCAGAACCGGTGCCGCCACCGAAAGAGTGGAAGATGAGGAAACCCTGGAGGCAGTGGCAGTTGTCTATATAGAATAGCTGTTACTAGCTTGTTCTGGCGATTCTTAATGGTTTCCGATGTGGCTTACCAACGATGCGGCGAACGCGGTCCATGACGGAATCAATCTTCTCCTTGCCAATGGTATAGTGGCCACGGGCGTAGTTGTTGGCGGCATCTTCGTTGCCGCTGATCAGCAGCTCGGGGTGGAAGAGCTGGCGGTAGGGGCCGGTACGGAGCTCGTCAATGGGCGAAGGGTCGAGGTCAACGAAGAGGGCACGCGGAACATGCTTGCCGTTGCTCGACTCCGTGAAGAAGGTCTCGAAGGAGCCCGGGTCGCCAATATCCTTTGCGTTTGGGTCGGGGCGGCCATCGGGGCCGAGACCATGCTCAAGCAGATACCTAGAGCACGGCTGTTAACGGAGAGCGTTCGGCGTCGTGGTAGTTGGTTGTGATACACTGGGGGAATGCGAGTGACACATACAGTTCCCAGGCAGATTGACCAAGCTGGACACCAGCTTGGCCCATATGAACGTGAAGAATCTGTAACCATCACGTCAATTAGCAACGCGACTCTCCAAGACGGTGTCTGAGTATAGCTTCAGGGGGGAGCGCGGCGAGGCTGAAATAGGCGGGGAACAAAACGGAGTGGCCAAAGATGTATAGAAGCGTTTTTTGGACATAGGGGATTTTTACCTCGCCCTTGGTCATTTCGGCGGCAGACTGAGGCAGAAACGGCAGAAGGTTATCGGGCTGGTGATGTTGGATGTTGACGGCGGGAAAGGTTGGCTATCGACCCAGCGCTGAGGGGAAGGTAACAGTTCCTGGTGGTAATAGGTAACTAATTCTAAGTAACCCAATGGCGCTGCCTTGTGGGCTACTTTTTTTTTGGCGGGGTCTCGATCAACAATTTGACCTCGGGCGCGTTGAGCAGGGGTCGCCAGGTGAAGGAAGTCAGGCACTAATGTCACTACTACATATCCACCTGCAGCACAACAGGCATGACAGTCGGTGTTTTCTACCTCTCACCGCTAAATGAGGCTCATCGTGGTGTTCATGACCACGGCGGAAACGACGAATTGTCAAAAGCCAGATGCTACATCTCGGTTAAGCGACCTCTTGTTACGAATTACTATGACCCAGTTTAAGATAAGGTCATCTTCGGTATTTTGTTGTCCTAACGACTCTATACCTATGTGTTTGCGTCTTTTTAGTTATGTTGGTAACCTGCGCATCCTCTTGAGCCGCACCAAAGACCCCACAACCAGGAACGCTACTCCCGGCCGCTATAACCTGGTAAGAACGACCCCTGAGACAGTTCCCAAAATCTCATGCAAGCATATCAGTGCGTCCAGCAAGCCATCATCTATCTCCATCTTCACCGCGAGCTCCGCATCGAACTTATTACTGCCGGTAGGCCGGCTACCCAGGCACCGTTTAATAATCACAGCCCAGACCCATTCATCTCTCGTTTGCAACCCCTAACATTTTTATTTTACCCTTTTCCAACACGTCCGTTTGCTCATCGAGTTCTGTTGACTGTGACAGATGTACCGGGAATAGCGGGGTACCGCACAACTTCCCGTCCACCGATTTACCTTCGACTATTACTAGCGTTCCCGAGCCCGACAATGAGTAGCCTTGAATAACTATACGGATGCCGCAAGATTAGATCGTGACATAGACCCTCCAGTATCCTAGACAGTACAATGTAGAATAATGAGAGTGCTTGGGAGTTTCCAACCTCACTCGATTTCTCTTCACAACAGGGTACTTCAATACACATGGCTAAGCATAAATTACTTATTATTCATTGAAGAACCGCAGACTGCCCGCTAATTATACAGAATGAATCGCACGTGTCGTCTCTCCGTCTTCCGTTGCCTCTTCCGTTCGCCAGTCTCCTTCGATTATATCTTGTGACCTTGGTCTTTCGCTCCCGCTCCCGCTCCCGCTCCCGCTCCAGCCCGGGTCTGCCCTCAGACTGCTCTCAGCTCGCACCGCGTCGGTGTCGCATGTACTACACCGTGATATCGGCTTTGGTCCGTACTCTTCCCGCATCTCATACTGCACGCCGGATATCTCCATTGAAGAGCTGTCCTCTGCATCCAGTGGCTTTTTCCTGCAGCACCTTATGCCCACATAGACAGCGCCAATAAGAAGGATGGCAAAGGTTGCCGCACCAAATCCGATTCCGAGCCGTATCCCTCGCAAGACATTCTCGTTGCGCCTGAAGATCTCACTCGCGGAGTTGGAATAGTTCCTGCTTAGCCAGTCGTCATTGGCATCGTGCACAAGTTCCTGTAGGGTGCTTGTGACAGCCGCATGATGTGAGCCAATCGATGTTGGCTTTAAAGTAAAAGTTGAGAATGTTGATGGCGATGTTGGAAACGCATCATTGGTGAGGGAGGGAGGAGCAGATGTTATGACGCCTTCAACAAGAACGTCTGACATCATATGAAGCCTCCACGTTAAAAGAAAAGTAGCAGCCGAGGACTCGCAGCGTGTGCACTGCCCAACTGCTATAAGCAGTTCATGTCAGCCGAACGGAGCTATGCGCGCGATCGGCAGGGCCGATGATCATTCGAGACTTCAGGTGCGGATGGGGCACCGTCGACGTCCAATATCGTTGCTGGGATGGATTGAGTTTCCCGAACAGCCTTTGGCGGCTGATTTCGCACGGCTGCTCTAGCGCCACCCCCGGCTCGGGATTTGAAATAATAATCTGTTCCCGCTAAGCGCTGCGCTTCAGCGGTCGTGATGTTTGAGCGGAATAGATGCCGTCACGATGTAGAAAAAAGATTGAGATGAAAGATGCGCCAGGTGAGAGGAGGAAATATCCTGCCTACCTACTGGGGGGGGCTGCGGCCTCGGGGGCAGAGACAGTGCCAAGACCGTTTGTAATGCGAGTCTTGGCAGTCATAGGCGGCCAGTACAACACTGTGACGCGTTCTTCCTCCTCGACATGGCACAATAATATCTCCAGAAACTCTGCGCGAAGAGCGACGTCTGAGGAGAGAACAGAGGACTCGCTTGCGCTACGATCTGGCGCTCAACACCTCGCTGATCTGCAAGCTCAAACGCTTTGAGGCTTCAAGCTATTTACGCCCCTGGAACAGTCTACCCATGTACAACTATCGCAGGAAACCAATAATTGACATGAGGTATATGTTCAACTAAATTTCAACGCAACCGCCAAAGGTCTGGCGCACAGGCCCTGGGACCGAAGACAGAAACATCTGATGGCCCTTGTTTTTGGTCGTTCGGTCGTTCGGACCACTTGAAGGGATGCTGCACAACACGATGGCAGAGATGCGACGGTAGAATACGACGGCCAAGCAGGGCACGTCGTCACGCCGGGCTGTGTAGCACACCAGCGAACGCGTCACAGCTTCGTATACGGTTGTCGCGATGCCCACTCTGTATCACCAACCATGCTTGATGAATCTTGAAGGACGTTCGGATGTCGGACCAGCCCTAGTGAAAGACGGATACGCCGCCAATCACTGCCCGAAACAATCTCGTCGACGCTGCGCAGCTGCAGAAAGCACCATGACTGAACGCTAATTGGGCCCGCGCCGGCTATATCCACTCTTCCGACGGCATTTCATTTCGCCGCTCCGCCACGTCAGGGGAGTAAGTGGAGTGAGTGGGCCGCGTCTCCTCGCTTCTCATTTTCGCGGCACCAGCCCAGCGCACAAGTCACCTGATGCGAGGGGCGAAGGGCACAGAAACCCTACTGGCGAAAATTAGAGAGTCGCTCCGCAGCAAACCAAGCGCAACACTTCGTCTGTCGATACGTACCCATCGATTCGCGAATTCAACACACATCCAACCGCAACCATGGCTGACGAAGAATACGTACGTCTCTCGACATTTGATGCTGCTCTTCACAATTCGAACCTCGCTTTCTCGCTGTTTTGATCCCGCCGGTGTACATAGTCGTTTCTCTCCCGCCCGCCTTGTGTCTGTCTGCGCTGCCGGTCCGCCTCGACCACAAACTCCTCGACATTGCCAGAACACTGGACAACGCAAAATCACGATCTACCATGTGTTTTTTTTTTCGGGCAGCAGTTTTCCACGGGCGGAATTCCGAAGCGGGAGAAATGACTTTCGCCAGATCATCAGCGACGGACGACGACGACTACGAAATATGTGACGTGGTGGTGGTTTACAGCGAGGACACAGTGCTGACATTTTTTCTTTGACAGAACGCCGTGGAGGCTGCCGAGATCAAGAAGCGCCGCGCTTTCCGCAAGTTCTCCTACCGCGGAATCGAGCTCGATAAGTACGTTTAAACCATGACCTGCCCTCTCTGCTAGCGCAAAGCGCCTCTGCCGTTGGATCTACCGAATTGCACCCTAAGCGCCATAAATGAACTCATTCTGGGGGAATGTCTTTTCGAAAGGCCGGGGGAGGCAGTTGCTATACACACGTCAGAGACGGGAATGCTAACATGAATCCTTTTTTTCCCTCCTACCAGCCTCCTCGACCTCACCTCCGACCAGCTCCGCGATGTCGTCCACGCCCGCGCCCGCCGCAGGATCAACCGTGGCCTGAACCGCCGTCCCATGGGACTCATCAAGAAGCTGCGCAAGGCTAAGCAGAGCGCCAAGCCCAACGAGAAGCCCGACACCGTCAAGACCCACCTCCGCAACATGATTGTCGTCCCCGAAATGATTGGCTCCGTCGTCGGCATCTACTCCGGCAAGGAGTTCAACCAGGTCGAGATCAAGCCCGAGATGGTCGGCCACTACCTCGCCGAGTTCTCCATCTCATACAAGCCCGTCAAGCACGGTAGACCCGGTATCGGTGCCACCAACTCTTCTCGTTTCATTCCCCTCAAGTAAAGAATGGTTGTTGTGGTCTATTGGGTGGGTTCTGCATTCACGGACAGTTATGGGCGAAAAGGATTGATTTCGATAGGATGGAGAAAATAACTCCATTGAAGTCGCTGATGACATTGGCGATCATGATAGTGAAATAGAAACTAGCATTGTTCGCTGTTCACATCTCCTGTTCAGAGCCTATGTGGTGTGTATATCTATCTATCCGTTCGCTGGCCCAATTTTCTTGGAACATGGCAGGGCAATGGCCGCAAAACTACCTAGGTATAAAAAAAAGTTTGAAAATCAAGAGCTGTGCCCCAATACCTGTGCCCCCAACGTTGTACCAGATAGCTTTAATGGTTGTGGCAGTCCACTTGCAGCGCAAGCCTTCATAGGCATTATGCCGAGGTAGGCGCTGGAGTTGTCTGTGGCGGGCTTGTTGCTTGCGACTTCACTCTTCAAGTTGTTACCACTTGCGTTTGTTCGTCCTGCGCCAAGGAAGTTGGTGCAGGCCCGGATCATGGCTTTTAGTAACCGCCTCGACTCACAGACCGCACATCCGAAGCCGAGGTTGTGCCTATTGTAGAAGATGAATATTTCGTCACCATCCTTGACGTCGCGGATGAGTTTGACCTGGATTTTCTTGGTGTCACCATCCACCCAGAACTCGGCGTTTGCACACCTCTTGCAGGCATGATTAATGTATGATGCCAGCCTGTAGATGTGTGCCTTTTCCCTTTGGGGATCGTGAAAGGCGTAGTCGTCAACAAACTTCTCCAGTGTCTTTTTATCTTTTTGTTGAAATGTGTCATTCCCACCGTGTGCCATATTGCGTAGCTTGCGGTACCAAACACGCATTTTATCTCTATGGCCGTGGCGTAACTTCAACCACTCCTCGGCCGCTGTCCTCTTGCCTGGCCAGTGAATGCAGGAAAAAGTCGGAGGCTCGTCTATGATTCGGCGGCCTTTACGTAGATCTCGTCCGGCAAACACGCCGAGTCCCCTGGGCGTGCCAGTCTCGTGGATGTAGAGGATGTCGAAGTTTTGTTTCAAAGCTCGATATCTTTGCCCGTCTCGTCTGGCATCTTCTTCGTACCCGAGTAGACTGTCATCGACCTGAGTTTGTGCATGTACCATTGCTTTTTTACCGGGGCTCCACGGATCTGGGCGTGAATTGTGTCAGTCAGCGCAAGGTAAACGACATTCCATCTGATTGAGAAAGCATACTGATGCTTTGCGGTGGGGGCGCAGCAATCTGAAGTCTGAGCCGCCTTTCCTTCTCCATATCTATAGATTGGGCAAGTCTCGTGGTCGAGCCTGTCCCACAGGCATGGGAGCATTGATGTGTCTCGGCCATCTTGTAACGCCGCCTCTTCGTACAATCACAAACTCGGTCAGGAGCAACGGCAAGGTTGGCAACTCCAGCGTCACACAATTGTTGTAGAGTGGGCGCGGCAAAGGTAGAAGGATTGGCATAAATTTATATTAGAGGAGTGCCGACACGATAGCTCCAAGGGTTTTTTTGGTGTAGCAGGACTCAAGGTTGCAAAACAGCGAGGCCTTGAGAATTGTACCAACGCCAAGCGCACTTGGCAGGTGCCGCTTCCGCTGCATTACACACACCTACTACCTCAACACCGTGCCTCCTTCGTCGGCAATCGAGCTTGCCAAGTAGGAGGTACTTTGTACCATGACGGCCACACTGATAGTGCATATGGTTGAGCATTGATCTACCTTGATTTGCCCTGCCAATCATTTCGAAAGCTCATCTTTCGGTGAGGGCCGATGCCACCGATATCAGAAGCGGACGTGTGAACAAAAGAAATGCCATCTTTATTGACTGAGCCTGGTCGCGAAATTGATACATTATTTCGCCATGAGTTTTATACATAGCCCCTCCCCTCTTCCGCCCCATCGCAATTAGTTTTGCTCGGCCAGAATCTTCGCTTTCCGCTCCTCGTCCTTGAGGTGCTCCTTCTTGTAGTGCTCCACGACGTGGTCCAGGTTGACAAGCTGTCCGGCTTGGATGTTTCGGGGGGCGTGCGATTGAAACGCTCTGTTGCGAGAGAAGTCGCGAGGTTAGCAGAACGTAGCTGTGGAAGCGTGGCAGTCGTAATTGTCACATGGGAGAAGCTGGGGGCGTACTCGGGATACGTAACATTGACGTATCTGTGCTTGTTGGAGGCGTTTTCAAACAGGTTGCGGTCAAAACCGGCCTGCTCGGCGGCCTTTGTGTGAAGAGCATTGGTCTCAGCCCAGTCCTCGGCGCGCGAGCGGTACTTGTTGATCATGCTGCTGACGGCCGACTCCTCGCCCGGGGCGGGCTTGAGGGTGAAGACGGCGGCGGCCGCGAAAAATGCGGCGACGGCGGCAATCGATCCTGTCTACACAAGCAGAGGTCTCGTTAGCAAAGATTCGGCCCCTGCGGCTCTCGTCCCGCGCAGGCCCAGCGGCCGCATAGCTCGAAGATGGGGAAATCAGTATTCTCGTACCCCGAAGGATTCGTTGACCGGCGCGGCGGGCTTATGGTGGGCGTCGGAGGCATATGTGCGCGCCGTGCGCGGCAGCTGGCAGGCTGCTCGGCACACCCTTTGTCGTGCGGCGTACATGGTGTCGGGGATGTCAATTGGCGATGGGGGAGGATGACTTCGTCAGCTATTTCGACAGCCAAACGACGCAGGTCGAGATGTTGCAAGCTTACCTAATGCTAGTTGGCCAATCACACGCGCCGTATTTCCAGGTCCGACCCCAGCATGTTCACTCGTCAATGTGACCAGGCTCGTGAGCATCGGGGCTGAAATATAATGGGTTTCTTTATATGGATTGAATCGATTTATTTTTTGCTGAATTATGCTGCAAAACAAATGTCTAGTTTTTTCCTATTCCATTCGAGTTGTTTTGTCTCTCATTAATGACCTCGCCTGCACCCACTAAGCCGCTAACGCGAGGTAATAGCTCGGCCTTCAGCAGGACGGCCGCTGCTAAACATCTTCCTTCCGTCATGGGCAAATGAATAAAGAACGATGGATATCGCTAAACGCACAAACCGTTGGGCTTTCTCGCTGAACTCCACCGCGGCGTCAGCCCCTCACCGGTGAAGACGACAGTCGGGGGGGGGGTGGGTGTATTTCTTTTGTGCTGGCACTGCCTGCTCCATGCGCCCGTGGAGAGGTTCCGTCTCACGAGGATTCTCTGTGCTCGTACTACGTGTAGGTGCATGTCGCCTTTCCCGTCGCATTGTTTTCCGTGCAACCCTTGCACAGAGCCCCCAAAGACGTTGCGAGCCCACCAGTTCATGAACTGGGTTTGGGCATCGCCACATCCAGCCGCTCGGCTACGACAGCCCCTGGCTCTATAGCTTGCGCATTGCTTGACAAAGGAGCACTTCAATCTCCAGTATTTTGGCCCCGAGAGGCTTTTCTTGACGCTTGGAAATTTCGGTTTGTAATGGGTTCTGGCCTTTCGTTGCTGACAGGCTCATCTTCAATCGCTCCAGCATCGCTACCAAGGCTCTAATTGGATTCCTACAAACTTCCAATGACGTATATACGGCAATTTACAGTTCATCATTCTAATGAGTGGCCTCCCTGAGGACTATGAGTTGTCTGGGGTGTGATAAGCACGAAGAGGACTCGAAGGGTATCCATTTGAATGCTGCAGATCTCGTATAGTCAACTTAATCACTGGAACGCGACCCCAATTAGGTACCCGCGTCTAGTCTAGTATCACAAATGACGTTATATAGCTTTGTTGCATTTGTGTAAATCCCTTGAGACTTCTTTTACAACCGGGGCTCACGGAAAGATTCGCGTATCGCTCCCATCAGATGTATCGTGGGCTAACCCCATTCACCCTTGACTCGTGACAGGCTGTCGGCGCTCAGATATGCACGTAACGGGCTAGATATGTAACGGCTTTGACAGCTTCGTATAGACGTAAAGGAGGCAGAAACACTCCTTCGGGGCGAAGACAAAGCCGGAGGACTCTCCGGATACCCGAGGAGTGGTCGCGGCGTCGTCATGTCGTGCACAACGTCGTGATGAACTGTTGAATGGTGCCTTTGGGCCGCCATTGAGGAGTACGAACCATACAAAGAAGTCTAGTTTATCACTAAAGGTTGAATGAGGCCGTTCATGTATATATATCCCTTATTGATGACCTCTTTTGCTGAATGTAGTCCAGACGACACTACCACAAATCCAAAATCGAGCAACGCAACCCTTCAATCGTTTACCGCTTCATCCCATAAATCGAGACCTATTTTTGAATCAAACTACGCTGTTTTTATTGAAGATAATGGCCCCCAACGGTTCCGCAGCCCAGGCGTCAGCCTTCCACGCAGTCATCGACGCATGCAACAAGTTCGACGGCAACCCAAACGACATGTGGAAATTCTATATTCTCAACAATTCCCAACCGGTTGGCTACATTCCTGAAGAGTTTATGGCTCAGATCAGTTGGAAAGACACCGATTTCATTGTCAAGAACAAGACGAAGAGCGTGATCCTGAGCCCGGCTCTCCGCACTGACATGACTGCAGTTGAGGCCTGTCAGCATCACTTTCGAAAGTTCTGTGAGGTCAACAGGGCCCAATTCAACGGTTGTCTTGACAAGTGGCTGTTGTCCAAGAATCCTTCTTACCAGGCTATTCGATGGGTTGATCACCGTGAGCCCATGTTCACGATCCCCACGCCTCTGCGTGGCATCTTCGGCATCGCAACTGCCGGTGTCCACCTCAACGTCTACACCACGATCAACCAGAAACCCTTCATGTGGGTGTCCTATCGATCCCTCACTGCCTCTTATCCCGGCATGATGGATCAGATCGTGGCTGGTGGCATGGACCCCGAGGACGGCTACGAGGCCTGGAAGACCCTGGAGCACGAAGCCTGGGAGGAAGCTGGTCTTGTTCTCGACAGCAACTCCTATGAAATGACCCACAAGGGTGTCAAGGTGGGAACCGTCCAAGGGCCATCTCGCATCTCTTTCTATGATCGGAAGAATATCCAGGCGGGTGTCGCAGAGCAGGGCCACATTGAGCCCGGTGTGCGATTCGTTTTTGACTTGGAAGTATCTCCCGATTTTACTCCCACTCCTGGTGGCGACGAGCATGTCGGGAGCTTCCGGTTGAAGCCCATGGATGAAGTCAAGGAAGACCTCCTGCGCGGAAAGTGGAAGCCGAATTCGGCTCTCACGACGCTGGACTTTCTCTTGCGCAAGGGTTACGTTACGGATGACGGCAACGATGAAGTTAAGAAGCTTCGGGCGCGTCTCCAAGTCGAGCTGCCCATGGAAACTAGCTAGAGGAGATTCAGCATCAGTGCTAGAGGCCTATGGCAACCAGCTAGGGAGGGTTCAGCAGCAGTGCTAGAGGTAGAGAGGGTTCAACAGCAATGCTAGAGGTAGAAAGGGTCCAGCAGCAGTGCTAGAGGTTTGGAGGGGACTGTTTTCAAGAATGTGATCGCCGCCTCAGGCATCTTAGATAGATTTAGTTTAGGTAAAATCAGTTTAGATAAAAATTAGTTTAGATAGAAGAATCGCTCATACTATCTATATCTACCGCGGTAGCATCTTGTGGCCGTAGTCGATCCGACCAACGTGTTTCTCTTTATACAATCACAATCTAAAAATAACCCGTTTCATTGTGAGTCGTCGCCAACATTCTCACTCCACCACTGCGGCCAGTGCACAATCTTTTGCTCTTTGCGGGCCTCTTCGGCAGCAAAGACCATCGCATGGCTGCGAAGCGCCTCGTCAAGCGTACAGCCAATGTAGTTGTTTTGGGCCTGCTCAGCGGCCCAACCCTTGTTCTTGACAGCGTCACAGGCGGCTACAAATTGGACGGTGAGACCCTGGTCGCCACTGCCGTGACCGCCGGCGACGTATTTGGGATCATGCTCCGTCTTTTCGCCAGTGGCAAAGTTCTCGACGGTTATCTTGTAGCCGTCGGCGTAAATCTCGCCCTCGTCGCCGTAGTAGTGAGTAAATCGCTCGCAAATCTTCTTGGTCTGAGCGACCATGTGGAACGTGACCTGCTTCGCGGGTCTGTTCGTCTCGGGGAAGGAGATGGTGACAAACTGCTCGTCATTGACGTTGTTGTCGGCCTCGAAGACGCAGCGGCCGTACCACTGACGGGCAGCCACCTCTTCCCTGGGAGTGGCCTTGTCCCAGTCGGCCTCGAGTGCCCTGGTCATGGCTGCCTTCTTCTCGTCCATTGTCTTGTAGTCTTCAATATCGTGGACGACAATGTTGACAGGCATGCTCAAGTTGCCACCCTCCAGGCTGTATCGGTGGGGACCGATGTATAGGTTCTTGGCGGAGTATTTGCAGCCAGAGTCTCCAAGAGCGCATTTCATACAGTTGGTAGCATCGCCTGCGCCGGAAGGCTTGCGGCTCTTTTTGAAGAAATTGAGTCCGCCCTGGGATGAAACGGTAGAGGGAATATGAGACTCTCCCTCGCCAGCTTTTTCGGGAGAACAAAGCATCCAAAGAAGGAAATCGATATCGTGACAGCTCTTTGTTAGAAGAGACGGTCCGGAAGTCTGTTCGTTTCTCCAGTTGCCACGAACAAAGGAGTGCGTAAAATGCCACCAGCCAACAGGTTCGGTATGCACGACGCTGCTGATATTTCCAATTGCCTTGTCCTCGACGATGAGTTTTCTGAGGAGCATGTTATGCTGAGTGTAGCGGAGGACATGGCCAATGGAGAAAACATTGGTGACCATTGTAGGCTTGAGGGCCCGATACATCTTGAGACAGGACTGCAGCGTGGTTGAGAGCGGCTTCTCGCACATAATGTGCAGATTCAGAGGAGCCAAGCCAATAACGACGGCTTCGTGCATGGCATCCTGGACGCAAACAAATGCGCCATCAGCTCCGGGCGGAACATTGTCCTCGCCCTCAGCGACCCGTTTGCGACGGGCAATTTCGTAGTCCAGGTACTCGCGCCAGCCAAGAAATGACTGGCCTTTTTGGGGCTCCTTATCTTGCCAGATGAACTTTTTGCCCAGGTTCTCACGGCTAAACTTGAGGGGCTCGGCAACAGCAGAGACAAGGCCGTTGGTGAGCTTGTGAATAGTGGTGGCATAAGCGTAGCCACGAGCACCGGCACCAATAATAACAAAGCGAGGGGAGCTTTCGGTTTTTGTGCTATTGTTGGGCTCGTCCTCGTTTCGTATCTTGATGCCATTGGTGGCAGTGCCTTTCGTGCTATTAGTACTATTGGAGACGTCCTTGTTTGCCTCGGCGATGGGCGTGACGAGAGATGAGGGGGCCTTCATGGACCCTATGTTAGTGATCTTGGCGGGCGTATCCTTAATAGTCATGGCGATTTGTTTATGCGACTCTTGTTGCTCTGAAGACGCTCCGCATGAAGTATTAAGTGCGCAGAGGAGGGGTAGCGCGGGGTATATATGACAGTAAAAGCAGGCCGGGACGCAGTGCCTGGGTGCATCTCCATGTCCCACGGCTCACGGTGCCCGAGACCGACATGACAGCGGCTGACAGCTGTAGTTTGTAGGTAATAGTTTGCAGATAGCTTCGCTGCTACCTGAATTGGGGGCCTATCTGGACGAAGATAGCCAAGCATGGACGGGCTGCCGACGATCCCCCCACAGCGAAGCTGGGGAACTGGTGAGCAGCTGCCAGAAGAGGTGAAGCTCGCAGGGGAAAAGCAGGACAGACCAATGAAAAGAGAGAAATTGGGAATACGAAACGTTGCCTCGCCCACAGTTACAGTGGGTTCAGGGCTCATCGGGACAGTACTGTATTTTAGGTGGAAGCCCGCTGTAACATCTCGGTCTTTGGCCTGCGGGTCCATTTTCAGTTGAGAGGGGCCGCTACGAGACAGAACAGCAGAGGTCTCACCGCCCAACACCACCTTTCGCTCATGACAATCCCACCAGTAGCGCTTTGGCTGGTTCATCTTCACACACACACGCCACCACCCAACTGACAGGATTCCATCCCAGCATCCTTACTCCATCGGATCTTCTGACCCCTGTATCCCATCCCCTCATTGGCTCGGTCCTAGCTCCTGAATCCTGGGAATCGCCACTGCGACTGCTGTTTCAGCGATATTTCAGCAACAGCGAGCGAGCGCCATCCATATAGGCGCTGGTATATCACTCACAGCCCGATACGCCATGTCCGCCAAATCAGCTCCGTCCAAGGGCAATCCCCGCGGCGGTGTTACCGACGATCCTCTGGTATGGATAGATTGCGAGGTATGTCCAACCCCCCCTCCCCTGCCAAGAGCAGTAGCCAACACGCCACGGTAATGTAGATGACCGGCTTAAACCCGGATACGGAGGAAATCATTGAAATATACTGCATCCTGACAACCGGCAACATGGAGGTCATCGACGAAGAGGGTTTCCATGCCGTTATCCACTGTCCAGAGGCGCGGATGGACCAGATGGACGAGTGGTGCACCAAAACGCATGCTGGCTCGGGTCTGACAGCGGCGGTACTCGCATCTCAGTTAACTCCAGAGGCTGCCGCAGACGGTCTCTATGAATACATTACCAAATTTATCCCGGAACGAAAAAAGGCTCTCTTGGCCGGCAACAGTGTCTATGCCGACCGGGGGTTTCTGCGCAAAGAGCCGTACACAAAGGTCATGAAACACTTGCACCATCGCATTCTCGATGTAAGTGCAATCAAGGAAGCCGCCAGGCGATGGTGCAGCCAAGATATTCTGGCCAATGTGCCCACCAAAAAGGCCAAGCACAAGGCGAGAGACGACATTTTGGAGAGCATTGAGGAGGCCAAGTACTATCGCGATGCAATTTTCAAGCGATAGGGGCAAGCCTCTTGGCAGCAAAATACATGTTTGTAACAGATATATGGCATAGAAAATCGGTGCATAGGTAGATATATACCCGCCATACTCGGCCAATTGTTGTCTCAAGCTTACTATTAGTGCGTCGTTGTCGCCACATTCAATCAAAGCCAGCCTTTTATAGCGACGCCCCGAGCAGTGTATATCAACACCCTCCAATAATCTGGAAACATATACGAAGTACTCTCGGTCCATTTTACAAGCATGCGACTCTGCACCGCCAGTAGCCACCACACGTGCACTGTGGCGGTGTACCAAGAATTCCAGCAGCTGTACAGTGCGGATGCTGGTGTTAGGCTTCACCGCACGGCACTACTGGCGTCTGCCCCCTCCTTCATCCCACCTAATGCAACCCCACCATTGGATGATTGACGACCCAAGCTAATGATAGCTTCCCTCCTCCTTCTCTTCTCTATCTCTCTCAATTAATCCCCAAGCTCCTATTCTCCTCTTCTATTCTTCTGTGAGTCTTTTGTCCTACTGTATATCTCTTTTGCTCCTTTGCTCACCGACTTTGCCCTATGTAGCTACTCAGCGCCGACAACTCGTCATGGACGTCAAGACTGTTGAGTTTAAGCCTTTCCAGGACCAAAAGGCTGGCACGTAAGTGGCTGTTAGGCATTTCGACGCCGTTGAACCGTTTCTCTAATACTTGTACAGCTCCGGTCTTCGCAAGAAGGTCACCACCTTCCAGCAGGCCCACTACAGCGAGTCTTTCGTTGCCAGCCTTCTCCTCTCCATCCCCGAAGGTGTCGAGGGTAAGAGTAGCTTCCAGTAGTCTCTCAACGCGTCGGAGCTAACCCAACTACCCGTTTTAGGATCCTTTCTCGTCATCGGTGGTGATGGCCGCTACTGGAACCCCGAGGTGATCCAGCTGATTGCCAAGATTGGTGCCGCGTACGGCGTCAAGAAGCTCCTCATCGGCCAAAATGGCATCCTGTCAACCCCGGCTGCGAGCCATGTCATCCGCCTTCGCAAGGCTACCGGTGGTATCCTTCTGACTGCCAGTCACAACCCCGGCGGTAAGTACAGGCCCTGTAAGATATCCTTCGGCTCTTTGCTCACAATTGGCGCTTCCAGGCCCCAAGGAAGACTTTGGCATCAAATACAACCTGGCCAACGGTGGCCCCGCCCCCGAGTCCGTGACGAACAAGATCTTTGAGACTTCCAAGACTTTGACCTCCTATAAGATCACCTCTATCCCCGACATTGACATTGTCACTATTGGCACCCAGACCTACGGTGCTCTCGAGGTGGAGATTATTGACAGCACGGCCGACTACGTCGCTATGCTCAAGGACATTTTCGACTTTGGCACCATCAAGAAGTTTTTCGCTTCGCACCCCGACTTCAAGGTTCTCTTTGACGGTCTTCACGGCGTCACTGGCCCTTATGGAACCGCCATTTTCGAAAAGGAGCTTGGTCTTACTGGCGCCACCCAGAACTGCGTGCCTAGCCCCGACTTCAACGGCGGTCACCCCGATCCCAACCTGGTCTACGCCCACTCTCTCGTCGAAGTTGTCGACAAGCACAACATTCCCTTTGGCGCCGCCTCGGACGGCGACGGCGACCGCAACATGATTTACGGTGCCAATGCCTTTGTCTCGCCCGGCGACTCCCTCGCCATCATCGCTCACCACGCCAAGCTCATTCCCTACTTCCAGAAGCACGGTGTTAACGGCCTGGCCCGCTCCATGCCCACCTCGGGCGCTGTTGACCTCGTCGCCAAGGCGCAGGGTCTCGACTGCTACGAGGTCCCCACCGGCTGGAAGTTCTTCTGCGCCCTCTTTGACGCCAAGAAGCTGTCCATCTGCGGCGAGGAGAGCTTCGGCACGGGCAGCGACCACATTCGTGAAAAGGACGGTCTCTGGGCCGTTGTCGCCTGGCTCAACATCATTGCCGCCCTCGGTGTGCAGAACCCCGAGTCTACCCCTTCCATCAAGCAGATCCAAAAGGACTTTTGGACGCAATACGGACGCACATTCTTCACCCGCTACGACTACGAGAATGTTGACTCCGACGGTGCCAACAAGGTTGTTGGCGAGCTGCAGGCGCTGGTGGCTAACCCCAACACTGTCGGCAGCAAGATTGGCGGTAAGTTCTCCCAATCCTGTAGAAGAAGACCCTTGCTAACTAGGTTGCAGAGCGCACCGTCACTGCCGCTGGCAACTTCTCCTACACCGACCTCGACGGCTCCGTCTCGTCTAACCAGGGTCTCTACGCCACCTTTTCCTCTGGCAGCCGCATCGTCGTTCGTCTCTCCGGCACCGGCTCCTCCGGCGCGACCATCCGTCTCTACCTCGAGCAGCACAGCAGCGACCCCGCCACATACGACCTGGATGCCCAGGACTTCCTCAAGGCCGAGGTCAAGTTTGCCACGGAGCTTCTCAAGTTCAAGGAGCATGTCGGCCGCGACGAGCCTAATGTCCGCACTTGAGCTTCCTATGGGGTAACAAGGTCTATATTATGAAGAAAGAGAACATGTATGACGGGAGACATTTGTTTTACGAGAAACATTATATTAGCCACGAATCACACATATAAATCGCACGCATGCTTTGGGGTTCCTGACGATGGCATATTCTCTTGAGCTGTAAAATTACAGGACGCGCCGACGGAGAAACGGAGAGGGAGAGAGGATTCATAATTCGTCAAATTCATAAGTATCGAAAGTGTAAAATAGAGGGGAGTGATGCGCTAAATCAAGATGCGGGGTATAACTAAATCATAAAACAGGCTTGATAAGAAGAGAAAAAAAAAAGGTCATTCAAATTCAGTCAACTTTTTTGCCAATGTGCCCCCTTTGAATATTCCCACCAAATTTTCCAAATCATTTCGTGGGCATTTTTAATGTCTTTCGTTTTGGAAAGTCGCAGTCGCTTACCGAGGATTTTTGTGTGTTTGCCTATACAAGTCCTCCAAAATGCGCTTCATCACGCGATTCTCTGCGTAGTAGTCAGCACGACCACGTCTCTCCAAGCAACGCACACAAAGGCCGCGCTCTCCAATATATGTCTTACCTCGAGGATGCCTGAACTGGATTTCAAAGTGCCGTGGCTTGTGTCGGGACGTGGTGTAGCGATCGGCAAACTTGTAAAGAACCGCGTTGTGGACGATGACGGTGTAGTCGTCGACGCACTCCATCCTTGGTTTCGCGCCGCGGTCGGTGACTGGGTGGCACATCAACATGTTTGTTCCGTCTGGGTGTGAGAGAGGAAGGGAAGAAAAAAGAAGAAGAAAACATACAGAATATTGTCCACGCCGGCATATAGGCTGGTAGTCGTTGGCCGCAAGCAACGTAGGAATAAAGGCGCTTCGTGCGAGTCATCTCATCTCGGTAAATGGCCAGCTTGTGCCCGACGCCGCAGTCTTTGATGTCTCTATCCGATTGAGTACATTGTTAGCTCTGTCAGGGTAGGTGCTTTTGGTTTGGCAGCTTCGAGCTATACCTTTCCCATATCTTCACCTCATCTCGAACGACATTTTCATCAGGGCTCAGAACGTTGGTCAGAAGACTACTCTGAGCTTTCAGAGCAAGCAGAGTGCAGTGAATGACGACGAGCTCTGCAAACGACCGGTTTATTAGTTCAAACCCGTGTACATGTTTTCGTTGCGGGGCAGTTTTCCTTACCTTCAAAGTACCTGAACTGAAGCACAGCCCAGAGAGTCCAGCAATATTTCCGATTACTCCATCTGGTCAGATGCAACGCCGTCTTGCATCGCGTGATGCTGATTGCGCTGAGCGGTCGGCAATCGTAGTACGGAGTTATTTCAATCGTGCTTCGCAGCATAAGGTATGGCATGTTGTCATGACAGTTGATAAAGACTATGAGGGCGATGGCATCATTGTTGAAACTCCTGGGAGGGGTTAGCCGTTGAACCGGACAGAGCAAGGAGACAGCGTCGGGCACCTTCGGAATAGCAATTTCGAGTTGTCTGGAATTTTGAACTGATTCCATCGACCATACGGACCAAATGATTTTGACCTACTAGGATTAGCACAAAAGATCGATTGTAGACGTGGTACATTTGACCTACTCGCCGTGCGACTCAAAAGGGCTTGCAATTTTCGGGTTAAGGTCCACAGTCTCAATGGCCCAGTGTGGAGGAGAAGGAGGCTTTCAACAAATTAGAGGGAATATAGCATGTGAGAACTGCGGGGGACATACCTGTCGTCTGGTTCTTGCGGCGGGCAAGGTGCTGAAAGAAACGAATACGGTCTTGAGGACTGAAGGGACCCCTGAGAAGCACATATCAGCAAGAATCCAGAAAGAGAGTGACGAAAGTGTACCTACTCATGCCCTCATGTTCTCTCAAGTCCATTATCTGAACTCGAATACCTTCTGCCTTTCTCCATGTGAATGTAGGATCTCTTGAGCGGAGGGTGCAATGTCAGCGTTACGAAACGGCCAGGACGGAGGTGACACGCATACTGTACCAAGGCGGAGTATAAAACGTCGAAGAACTGGGTGAAGAGCTTGAGGCGGTCAACGAGTTCTAAGCCAGGGTTGTCACGGCCAGCACTGATGTAGAGGAGGCGGTCCCAGATGGCATCGTCAAAGGGGTAACGAGGGTCACAATTGCGTTGAATGACGTCGAGGGCGACGGATAAGGAGGGCAGAGCCATATCAAGGTGATTGAGGTGCGCTTCAATAGCTTTAGTGTGCAGAGGGAACATGTCGGCAAAGGCGATCATGGTTCTGCGCAGCAGGTACAGCTGGTTGACGACATCGTCGAGCTCGGCGGATGTAATTTGAGAGAGGCCAGGCTGCACGCAGCGGAATAGGTCCATGACCTTGAGGCACTTGTTCGACTCCCAGAATAGGGCTTTGAGCAGCACCCAGTCGGCTCCCTCGACGGAATGCATGATGGGAGCCATGACAACTTGACTCCTCATCGTGTGAAAATGCATATGGCTAGCCAGTGATAAGAAGAGTGAGTGTGCGGGTTGTGTCTGGCTCAAGTGGGCGTTGGTGAGAAACTATATTGGTACTTTTTTTTTTTTTTTTTTTTTTTTTTGCTTTGTTTTTCGGGATGCAGCTCTGCGGTTATCCTCTTCAACACAGCATGACTTTGTGTAGCCGGTGGGATATTGTGAAGCCTGGCGTTGTGCAAGAACCAACTGGGGGTGGTTCGTGATGGCTGGGCGTGGGGGGTAAGGCGGAGATACCAGGGACGTTGTCGCGATCTGGGCAGATGAGTTGACCAGAAGACGGGACCTATATAGGTAGGACGGATTCCGAGAGCAGCCTTTCGACTGCCAATGGGCAAATGGCCGTCAGAGAGAGTAGCCTTTGAGCCGTCCAATGGGCAATGGCTGTCGGAGAGAGCAGGCCCAAGAGATGCAAAAGAAAGATAAAGGCCAGGGTTGGGAGAGACCAGAAAGTACACCAGTACTACCGGCCGGCGGCTAGCTAGTTATTACCAGTAGCCTCTTAAAAAAAAAAAAAAAAAAAGAAGCGAATCAGGCGGGATCTCGACAGTAGCCCCACGACAGCTCTCTCGTACTCGGAGTACCTATCCTCTGTCCTGACAAAGGAAAGATGATGGATTCCCGAGAGGAAACCAACTCACCTAGCCAAATAGCTAGCGATAGCGGCAAAGAAGGTAGAAACGGGGAAGGAAAGGAAGGGAAAAGACTCGCGAAAGCGAACAAGTGCGTGATCAGTTCTTCATATGGCAGTCTTGCCTTGTCCCACGCCGCCACGCACCCGACGACTGACCGGGGGGGGTCCAGCGACTTTTGCAGCACCAATATGCAAGGCCAACAAACATGGGAGCCACACCGCCCGCTCTGACGCCGGTCAAGGTGAAGAATGATTGGGCAAAGGTCCGGGGGTGGGCGGGGGAAAGGGTTAAAGGGTCCGCGTCGAAGGGGGGAGGGGGGGGTGAGGAGAATTAGCAGGGTATGGGCGGCGTCATGTACAGTGATGTGTGATGTGTTGTAGTTTTGTCGGTAGGAGCCAGAGTGGCGGCGGGAGCAGGCCAACAAGGAGGATGGAAGAGAGGATGGAAGAGAAGGATTGGAATTGAAAAGGGTGAAAGAGGAGTAATTAAGAGAGGAGAATAAAGTAGAGGGGAAGGAGAGACGTCATGTAAAAAACAGGCCTGTAATAACTAGAGAACAACTATCCGTACGTTCCTACCTACATAGGCAGCATCTTTCTCTCTGTCTTGCTGTGTCTCGGTCTCTGGCGTTTGATACATTATAATTTAGTCAGTAGTAATACATAAATATCTTTGGCGCTCAGTGACAACTTTGCGAACCAGCCAATGTGGGGGGGGGCTGCAGGATGCGATATGGTGGTATCATGCCACCCGTCGACGGCTGGAAGGAGGGGGAATGGAATCCAAGACGAGACGAGACAGGACTGAAAGAGGTCCGTCCTTCTGAATGATACATGTCCCCAGAAATTGATCCCTTTTTATCCGTCCTGCCCTTTGACCCCAAAGGTGGTTCCGTTTTCGCGCAGGGCTGTACGGGGAGGCAGGCCTATTCCAGACGTTGACTACGGGATAGGGATAGGGAATAACTATGCCATTACACGGCCTGTCAGCCTTCCCCTCGCCGCGAGATGCGGGTGGACTGCCAAACGAGCCCAACCATGTGCTTTTTTTGCTGCCCTGTCACTAGGTACCTAGTTGTTTTTCTTCAGTGACCACCTCGATGTGGCAGAAATAACCACGACATCATGCATATGCCGAGTCCCCCCCTCTCTTCCATTCTGTTTGCTCATGGGCTCTCATGACAGGCAAATGTCTTGTGAAAAAACCAAAAAATCTTTTTTTTCCCTTTGCCAACCCCATGAGCTGCATTAGCTTGCCTTGTTGGAAGCTGATGGTGGGCTTGTCAGAAGCCCTCAGACTCAGAACAACCCATGTCCTCGCAGATCGGGGGGTGGAGGCGGCGGAAGAGGGGAAGCGAGTGTGGATAGGTAGGTAGGTAGAGAAGAAAGGCATCCGTAAAGAGTTATGGCTTGCAGGTTATTTTATTCTTTATATTTCATTTGCCCAGTCTGTCTCTCTCCTCTTCTTCAATGGCCCCTCCCTCATTCGTCTTCCCTTCGTCTACCATAAGGCCAGATTGGTGGTGGACCCTGGGCATCGAAAAAGGCGTCCATCGTCTCCAGAATCAAGGCGGCCAAAACGCTTTTTTTGACTTGCCATCCTCGCCTAACCTTGTTTTTGTATCTTTCCCTTGCTCCTGTTCTTTTTGGCAGAAAATTAAAAATCATGCCATGATGTTTGAGCTAGCAAAAGATCTCATTTCGCTTGCGTACGCCGCAACCATGATTTGCATAACATCAGCCACACCTGTTCATTGCACCGCCTCAAAGCCTCGTTGTGGCTTAAACACCTTTTCATCTCGAGGCTGACACGGAAAACGACGATAAATATTACAAGGTAAACAAGAACAGCAAAAAAAAAATTGGTGGCGAAAAGCGCTACACAAGAATGATTGGCGATCAATCAATCCATTCCTCCTTCACATACTCGAGGCATGAGCAATTGCGCGGCCCGTGACCACAATGTCGTGCGACCCCTACCACGTCGTTGTTACCCAGACTGTCGGGAGGATGCGAAACGCGCCAAAAATGAGCCGGTCAAGGGAAGAGGGGGCGGGGGGGTTAAGAGGCCCAAACACCATCCATCAATGTAAGCGCCTGCGTTGACGCCTGCTCAAGGGAGAGGGATCCGCCGCCACCTCTTCATCCGGCAATGCCTTTGTCCCTTGCATTGGCGCCGTTTGACATGGCCACTGGTTCCTCGAATGCATTTGTTCCGAGAGGACGGGACCAGACGTTCGAGGACGGCAACGGGCCAGCAAAGGACAGGGGAGAGAAGACCTGGCCGCGTCCATGGGCGACCACGACGGAGCGCGTGTGGCTGCATGACGATGGCGGCGGGCGTATCAGGTCAACTTTGACGCCGTGATATTTTTAGACTACCTAGGCTTTCCGTCGTATATAGCAGCGCAAGATAATTCGACCTCGTGCGGCATTGACTCGAGTCATTGACTCGAGTCCAAGAATGCGTCTACCAACAACAGTAAAATACGACATGTCCAGGCCAAAGCAGCATCATGACTTGACAAAATAACAAAAAAATGTTGATACAAGTTTCATTCATAGTCTCGTTGCGATATTATAGTGAGTGGCCCATTGACAGACCTTCCTGTCACGACATCAAAGCTAAGAGACCCTGTCCGTGTGGTTCCGGTACCTGATAATCGAAAAGCAACCAAAAATACAATCCTTCCCGTTGCGGTCATACAACACCTCCCTTCCCAGTACAAAGGAAATTAATAGGAAACCGACGTGGCTAGTAAATACAAAAGGCAGATACATTTAGGACGAGTTGTAGGCAGCCTTCTCATCCTCGTAGCGCTTCTTGTCGGCGGCAGCCTTGGCCTCATAGGGGACGCGCTGCTTCTCCGAGAGAGCCTTCCAGCGCTCACCAAGGATCTTGCCGACCTGTCCAAACGACACGCCGGGGTTCTCTTCGCGGACATTGTCACGCTGCTCGTTGGCAAAGAACATGTAGGCGGAGAGACCACGCTTGGGGGCGTTGGGGTCTGCGAGAGTCAGCATTGATTCATCATGGGCAGATTGCCTCTTGGTGACTTACCCTTCTTGGCGCGCTTCTTCTCGACGCGAGCTCCACGCTTAGGGGCAGCAGCGGCCTTGGGCATATCGGCGGTCTGAGAAAAATGTTAGAGTCGCGAAAAGGAGGAAAATGGAAAACGCAATGGGTGATGTGGAAGGGTGATGGTGCTGCGCGCATACGATACTGGCAGCTGGCAGGCCAAGTGACGCGTTGGTAGGATGAGTGTTTGTCACATCTCGATGTTTTCACCGTAAGGCACGCGCGAGCAGTAGGAAAAAAAAGAAGGCAAGGCGACAGGTTGTGTCAAGTGGCGAGTGACAGAGATTAGATAAAGCGCCAGCCGCCATAGAGCATGAGATGCATTTGCGCGGGCGCGCGCGCAGGGAAGAGGGCAAATTGAGGTGCAAGGCTGGAGGACAGAGTAGATTGAGTGAGGAGACGTACGTTTGAGGGGTTTTTGAAGGGGAAAATGAAGTTGTGAAAAGACGTCAAAGTTGCACTGCGAGAATCGCGTGTTAGTGAGGAAATCGTTGGCGCAGACGCTAAGCGGTCTCTTGTGTGAGGCGCAGGTGTAAGTTGAGGCAGCAGAGGAAGCGAGACGAGATGATTGAAGCGCGACCGAGGATGGGAAGAAGCAGCAAGTCGTGTCTGTCTTGATGAAAAACAGGGCGACGATGATGCAAAAAAACGCAGGGTGCGCAAAAAAAAAATCTCGGTGCTGTCGCCAAACAAATGCTGCCGTGGCTGGAGCCGTTGCCGTTGGGCGCGTAGAGGACGGTAGAGGGGACTCACCAAAAGGCGTGCAGTGTGTTGTGTGTGTTGCGAAGTTACGCGGGAGCAGATTTGTATGGGAGATTTGTATGGGAGAAGGAGAGGAAGTGGGAGAGAGGGCGGGCAGCCTTTTTACTATGGGGGGAGTGATTGAGCGCGAGGGAACGCGGGCGCGGGCCAGGGCGAAGGCGAGGGCAAGCCAGGGAAGCAGCCTGGGCTGGGCCGAGCTGGGCTGGCTTGGGGGGGGGGTTGGATTTTTGGGGGGGAACAAGAGAGACGCCCCTAGTAACCTCCTAGGTAGGTAGGTAGGTAAGTTTCTAAGGTAGAGAAGGAGGAGGAGGGGACGACGGACAAGGAGACGAGAGGGGGCAACGCTCCCACGCTACAATCTGCCTGCCACACACAAAGTGGCCCAGCGACGGAGCTACTGCCGCAGAGTGCAAGGTTGTCGAGGTACGACTGGGTCCTCCTTGTACCAGTACCAGCAAAGGTACCTGCACTTGTTGCTTTCTGTTCTGCCAGGTGCCAGGTGCCAGTTGCAAACACCACCGCCGGTTAGGAATACTAACTAACCTTTTCCTTATTCTTACTATTTTCTTTTTTCTCTGTTTATTTTTCTTTATTCTACTATCCCTCTTATTTTACGTATCTTACTTATCTTACTTATCTTACCTATCTTACTTATACTTATTCTAATTCCTCTTATTCCTATTACTAGTTTAACCTTCTTAATAGTTAAGTATAGACTTATGTGCGCGTCCTTTTTTTTGTCGCCCGCATGGTAGGCAAGCAGGCTAGAGTGCATGAAGGTCCATTCTGCGTGGTACGCATGGTGCTTGGTGAGTGGCCAGCGAAAACGGACACGGGGCATAAGTACTCCGTACACTGTGCGAAATCAGCGGCTCAAGGGGCACCTGTGCACCGTGCTTTGCGGTCCGAGACGGGGGGCAGAGCAGGTAACTACCTGTACAGTAACGGACAAAACCGACGGGACCGTCCAAGCGCGTCGTGGTTGGCGTGGGCGTGGTTTGGTGGGCAAAACAGTACCTTGTGGGCTGCGGCATTTTAGGTGGAGGAGCTTGTACCCGGTTCAGCCGGTCAACCTGGTAGCCTTCTCAGTGCCTTGTCGCAGACTGTGCTTGGTGCTTGGTGCTGCTGGGTGAGATGTGGTGCTGGCGTGTTTGAAGTGTTGCGTGGGAGAGGAAGTTGTGGATGAGCGAGAGGTATCTGATATCCATAGTACTGGCTGACTGTGCAGTATAGGTAAGCATAATTCCGCATCTATTTTTTTTTTAATAGTCTTTTATTTAAAGAACAAACAAGACGGGAGGGAACGAAACGAGCCGAGTGGTCACTTGCGAGGGAGCAGCTTGCACTTGTAGGTTGGCAGCTGGCACCAGTTGATCTACACCCACCAAACGGACGGCGGACGCCTGCGCGTTTGACTGTTGGCAGCTGGCAGTGGCCACGTAGTTCGAGGGAGCTTTCAACTACCGATGCTAGCGGATTTGTGGCCTCGCGAAGCCCAGTACATGCCATAATTGAGTTGTTGTGAATAATTAACAATTACCTGTTGAACTAGGTTTTTAAGTAGGTATTTAGCTAGGTAGGGAGACGGAATTACCAAGCGTTGGTACAAGAGGGGGCGTGCAATACTGCAAGCAAAAGGTGTGCGTGTTTGTGTGTGTCTATCCGTGTGGTGCGCGCGTGTGCGTTGTGTGTGTGTCAGTATGGCAATTGGCAAATAGCGTGCGGCGAGGTGGGTTTTTTGTCCCCCTGGTGCCTACGTGCCTGCTTGCCGGCTTACCACCTTCCCGCGCCTGCACTCTACTTACATAGGTAGGTACCTACTAAGTTAGTAGCTGCCTCTCCTGGTACCGTCACTGCACAGAGCCCGCATACGCGCTCTCCTCGTCCTTCTGCCTGTTAAGCGATATGACACGGTTCTACATATGCCATCGGGAAGCCGCATCTTCTCTTCTTTTTCATCAGTCCCTCATACCGAACCCAGCGGCACCCTCAGAGCCTGCTAGCCTTACCCTGGGCCCTGGTATGCGCTTTGCGTGACCCAGCAAACATTCGCGATCGATATCAATGTTTTGCATACGGTCTCCTGTGCCACGCATTCCCGACAGCTCCAGCGATATTGGTGTTTCCCAGTGCCTCGTACAGCCGGCCACGTTGCCAAATCTAGACCAGTTGACGATAACTACTCTGTACTCCGTCCTCACATCGACAAGTGCCCCACCATAGCTTCCTCGACGCGTGCGTCTCGCCTCGCACCCTGGATCGATGCCCATCTGACTCTCCAGCCGGTATTTTCTCGATGAACCCTCTGCTGCCAAGAACTTATCAATGGCATTTCCATGAGCTTCCACCCTCAATGGCCACCAGTCTGACCGGCTACTAGCCAGTGTTGACTGACCAACCCGATATTGATCTCCCGACTTACACGGATGGGAAGGGGAGTAGTCGAAAGAGCCCATACAAGGCTAGCCCGCTTACGGACTCAATCGAGCGTCAGGTCTCGCAGCGATCGCAAGCGCTGGTCGTCGAGTGATCCCTCCTTATCTGCCCATCGTGCACGACTTGCAGTCTTGCAGCAGAGCCTTGCCGTGCAGAGAGCCCGGTATGTCTGCGTCTCCAATGTACAGTGCCCGGCATCGCTGGTACACGTCAGTAGTAGTTGCAACTGCAACTGCAACGGCCATGTTGCAAGCCACGAGACCCATAGCTTCAGCCACGATCAAGCGAGCACGGTAACTACCGGCGACTGGCAAACTGGTAACTAGTCAGCTGGAAGATGAGAAGCGACCAAATTGGAGGTAAAGAACCGAAAGTGCAAGGGCTGGGCGCTGCCAAACTATCCCACAATGCGCGGCGCTCATCAAACACACCCACGCCGTCCCTCGTTGATGGCAAAAAGCAAGCTAAGCACAGGCGGAGCGGGGTACTTGCCCACTCGCATTCCCCCAAGTATCGTCATACGAATTTTCAAAGTACTGGTACTTGGGCCTTGGTACCTTGCCTATTCCGTCTCCCTCTTACGCCACTCCCCCCCCCTTTTTGCTGCGATTTTAGGCTCAATGTTTTTTTCATTGCACCCACGTCGCGCCAGACAAAACAAGCTGCTTTTGGGCCCAGATCACTCGCTTCCCAGCCCGCCCTTTTTAAGCTCAGCGCTGCCCACACGGTGGTGGTGCCCGTCAAAACGGCTCTTTCGGTCATCAAGTGTATCAGCATTGCTCGTATGAGAATGCGCCTACGGTGCTCAAACTAGTCGAGTGACGCAGTATCTCCCTCTTTCGGCCATTACAGTAAAACTCACGAGTCCCGTGGGCACCAATGGCGCTGGCAAAGCTGCATATCGCCTGCCGCCTGCATGCTGTACGACTTTCTGATAGTTATAATAAGTCAAAAGAGTGTGTCCTGTGGCGTGTCGGCACCAATTATGTACACCGTCAGCCCTCGCAGCGCAGGTTCCAACATAGCGGTGCCGTACGTAACTGATATTCATTACCGTGTATCATGCTCAACCTCAGTGGTGCTTGGTTGGACCTACTCTACAAACTATTTTTCAACATATCAATAGTACTGAGTTTACACAATATTATGAGTCCCAATCTCTAGCGCAGCGTTTACTGCTAAAGGTTATCTGCACAGCTAGGTAGTTAGTTATGTCCTTTATTATTCTGCCAAATGTTGAGGTACCGAGCCATCTGGCAACTGGACCTCGGACCGTAGTTAGTAGTTACGGTACGCGGTACCAGCCAGAGACTTTTGGGCGGGTACGCGGACATGCACCGACGGCGTCTTGTGCGAAACACGCTTTCTGGGCAACGAAGTGATACTGTGCTAGGTACATCGCCACCTTGCTGCCCACTTGGAAATGTGATTTGCTCGCTTCAAACCAAACCCCACTGTAACACAGTAGACAGTCTTTGACCAGTTTTGAGTGGTGGGCGGGAGCCAGCTTGGAGCCGAGCCTGCTTTATTCGCAGGGTGGGCGTGTGAGTACAGACACAGCAAGTCCCCCTTTCAATGGGGAATTTTCGAAGGAATTTTCTTATTGCCCAATTTTCTCTTTTCTTAAATTGGCGAGTGGATGTCTTTTTTGGTTTGCCCCGAGCCTCCGTCGCAAATAATCTTACACTCTTCCTGCGTGGAACCGTGTTGCTGCGCAAAACGCGACCGCACAGTTTACTACTCCACCCAGAGTAGTCGCTCAGCACCTAACTACTAAATTATAATAATGTTTCTTCGAGTCGTTGCTTCAACTTTGACGAGCACTGTTGAACTACATATCCGGTACTACAGAGTACATGTAGTTAGTACAGATGTATTGTCAGTGGCCTTGTAGGCGGTGGGGTAGCTCAAGAGTCATACTTTACTATTTAAATAGAAATCAGTTATGTTCTGTCAAAAGATTTTGGCCGACGTCTATTCACATTGCTCCAACTGATGTCGAGAACGGGGCGGTCGTAGTAGTCTGTGGAAGGAGCTGGGGAATGTGCCACGGGTATTATTGCCAGACTTCGCTCATGTGTCTACTACTTAGCTGTTGTTGCACTCTAGTGTCGCGGCTTAATATAATCAATTTATTACTCTAATAATACGTATTAGCTGGTACCTTGATCGCTCGCGTACCTAGCTTCTACAGGGTTCCCATCGTGACTTTGATAGACAGGTGGGGGGTCAACATGACGAACACGCCTACCCTACCCTGGACTGATCATTCTATACCTATCAATTGCGCGAATACACATCTACTATTGGCTTTCTGCTTTTTTTTTACTCTTTCGGTTGTATGTGCATGTCTGTATGTTCATGTGCCGCTTTCCCTGTGGCTTCGGTCGTTTTCGTAGCGTGGCTAAATAACTTGGCTGCTGGTGGCTACTCAACCACTGACACGGAGATGCAAGCGTTCGAGTAAAAGACAACGATACGATGAGCATCTGACACAACGAGATACATGGAATTTTACACGACCCATCAGTAACGCGTCACTTCTAGCCATACAATAAAATTGTACCACGCGACTAGTCATCATCCTCCGGATCGAGCACCATGTCGCGCAGCGCCTCGTCCGACGCCCAGTCGACGCCGCTGCCGGCGACGATGCCGCTCGCCGCGCCTTTGACCGCGCGCCACTTGCGCTTCTCGTCGCGCACCCGGAGCGCCTCCTCCCCGCCGTCCCAGTCGACAGCCTTGCGCGCCTCGAGCTGCGCCGCGAGCTCAAACACCCGGCTCGTCAGCTGGACGTTGCGCCGGCACGCGCGCAGCGTCTCCACCTGCACGTCGGTGAGGGCGTCGCGCGTGGCCTGCGCCTGCGTGGCGGACCGGGCGGCGTCGACGGCGGCGTCGTCGCGCTGGACAATAAAGGGAAGCAAATCGCTTTGCAAAAAAAGTTGGTGGTCAGCTGAGAGGGCGAAAGCCGAGTAGGGGGGCGGCGCGTACCGGTCGATGGGAGAGGCATTCGTGCCGCCGTGAACGGCTTTGAGGACGGGGTTGGCAATCACGACGAGCTCAACGGCGTCATTTCGCAGCTTGTAACGGGATCGGGCCTGCAAAAGGGCCTCTTGCGCGGCGGCCAGCGCGTCTGGTGAGTCGTCTGCTGGGGCTGTCGTTTCATTAGCACAACTGGTACAGTCTCACGGCGGCACGCTGAAAGGCGTGCTGGCGGCCGAAAATGGCTCAACGTACCTGACTTATATGCCTTCTGAGCCTTGATAATGGCAATCTCCAGGTCCATCTGGTGTAGTCTGTCGTACTCCTCGAGGATTTGCCTCTCAGCGTCAGACAACGCCAGCGGTGGCTCGCCTGCCTCCTCGAGGTCCTCCATGCGTTCATCGTCGTCCATGGTGATGAGATGTGTCGCCCATTAAGACCGAAAAATCATGAGGGTATTGAACAGTAGACTGCATACATGCCCGCAGATGAGATTCGCTGCACTAGCTGGATGCCTCTCATACCTGATGAGTGAGTCGCTGTTGGTGCGAGCCTTGATGAGAACGCGCTGAGGGAAGCAGCGCCACACTTTTGAGAGCTTCAGCCACTCGTGGCTGACATCGACAGGGACCGCTCTGCACAGTGGAGTTGCGGTCAGCAGCAGCTGGCGAGTCACAGGGCTCTCGTCACGCTGCTGCACGCCAGCCCCCGCTGTAAAAAGCAATCGCTCAAGATGCGATAGCGCACGAATGAGTGACCGATAAGCCCCAGAAAAGGACCGCCTCCCTCCACACTCACGAGGAGCTGCCTGAACCCCAAGCTAGCGTCACTGCGTTGCAGCCAGCCACCAATCTAACCATCTACCTTCTTGCCTCTCAATCTCGGATCGTGTTCCTAGTTATTGTCTCTCCTCTTCCCGTACCCTGCCTTTTTTCCTTCATCCATATCCTGCATCGTAAATCCTCTGCATCGCGACCGCGCTTTCTCGACCCCGACCCGATATCGCCCTCCCGGAGTGTTTTTGCACCCTTGTTTCTCAGCTTCCTCATGGCCAATGTCTCGAGATGGCTACGCAGGTGTTGATTGCCCACACGGGCCAGCGCCTGGAGGTCGAAACCTCGCGCTTTTCAACGTAGGTTAGCTTCCGGCTGTCAAGAATTTGGCCAGGGAGGAGGGTGTCGTGTGCTAATCCATCCTCTGCAGGCTGGACGACTTGAAGGCCTGGGTTGCCCGCAATAGCGCCGTTTCGTTGCAGCACATGGTCGCACTGACGCCCCAAGGCCGGAGCGTCAAGTTTGCGAGTATGCATGCCGAGGTACGTATAACTGCAATACACCCGTAGACGACGCCCCGACACGTTGCTGACGTTGGCCGTTATCGGCTTGAACAGAAGGAGCTCTACATTTACGACATCCGAGTCAGCCAGCAGGCCGCCGCCGGATCTTCGCCTTCCCTCGGCACCAAAGCGCAACTACCCCGACCGTATGCGATCCCAAACGCCCCCAACTCCATAGACGACGTCGAGGATATGGAGTCGTGGCGGGAGCTGTACAAGGCCCGCCGGTCCTGGGCCATCCGCCTCGCCGAGGACTGCAGCCGGCTCGACACGGCGGCCCGCGCGCGCTATGATGAGACCGACGTCATGATCAAGTGCCTCGACGCTGCCCTGGCCAACCTCGAAATTAGTATCAAACAAATTGAGCCCAAGTACGTCGAGCTGAAGAAGTGGGTAGACCCCGCGCTGCTGGAGCATGACCGCCTAGCCGGCTCCTGGGAGCATTACCTCAGCCTCGCCCGGAACACGCCCATAGCACCCGCCATGGTCCAGTTCATGACCAACAGAGCGCCTGTCAAAGATGACCCGACGCTAGAGGACCTCATCGAGCTTGAGACTGCGAGAAAGGCCGGCAAGCTAGCACCCACCGCGCGGCGCCGGTTCGGCGACAAGGCGGCGGACCTGGAAAAGGCGGCCAAGCAGATGCATCAAGGCCTGCAATCGCTCATTGCTGACTTTGAGACGCTCACGAATCGATCTTCCCTGACACACAACAACGACACGGCACAGCTGCTCGAAGACATCGAGGTTGTGGTAAAGCAAATCGATGAAGATTACCGCTCCGCATTGACGTATGGATCTTCACAGAGGGACCTGGCTCAGGCGTCCAAAGTTGCCTCCAACCATACCGAGCGGCTGGTTCCGAACCTCAAGAAGCGAGCAAAGGAGATGGACGAAATGCTCTACTACGCCACATCAGCCAGAAACTCCATCGCAGCCGAATCTGTCCGCTTCATGAAAACCATCACCGGGATTACTGCCCAGCACAGCGGTGTACGCAACCAAATCAATGTCCTGAACTCTTCAGAGGACGATATGACGACATTTGACTACTTGCGACTCATCTACCAGCTGCCGTACATGTATGCATCCTTTGTCGTTGAGACAATCCGCCGTCGAGAGTGGACGGACAAGGTCAAAATGGACTCGTCGACGCTCGCCAATGAAATGGCCCTGTTCCAGGACGAAGAAGCCAAGCGGCGGCGACGATGGCAGAAAATGGTTGGCAGCACCTATGGGCCTCAACTAGAAACCAAAGTTATGGGGCTCGAGGTCAACTTGCTTGGAGACGAAGAAGCCTGGCCACCACTCACCAAAGACGACCTCGACGACTTTCTCCAGCACCTCAAGGCACAGCACACTGATGAAACGCTGCTTGACGATATTACAAAACTAGTGCAGGAGCTCGTGAGTCCGACAAAACAGCAATCGAAGCGCCTCAAGGCTTTCAAGAATGGGAGCATTCACGAGGCAGCTTTGGGAAGAAGTGGCCTGTTGATTCGCGGTGACGATGATTTGCTACGCTCGCTCCAAGATGACAAGTCAAGGCTTGACAGCAAACTGAAGACCGCGGAAAGCCGCGTGCGGCGTCTCGAAGATTTGCTACACAGACAAAGCCAGGCCTCCCGACATGGAAACCTGTTCCAGCCCCCGGCCATGCAACTCCAAGAGCGACCAGGCTCCAGTGCGTCCATCAGATCAAATCGCCTCGATGATCGCAGACGATCATCCGATGGCGCTGATCCTCTTCTGCGGCGTATTGCACAGCTCGAGAATGACCTGCGTGAAGAGAAACAGCGCTCGACTAACCTCCAAAAAGATGTCGAGTCCAAGTCCACGCAGCACAACGAGATTCAAAGCCAGATGGAGGAGGTAAATTCTACCAAGAAAGATCTTATGGAGAACATGGAAGCGTTCAAGCGTGAGTTTATGGAGGAGCGCAAATCTCTAGAGGACGAGGTTAAAGCTCTCAAGGCTCGTTTAGAGGAAACGGAAGACGACATGGATCATTTTGGAGAGTCTCGCGAGAACGAGAAAGCCTCATACGACGAGAAGCTGCAGGCGCTGGAGGACGAACTTCAACGGCTGAAGAGGGAGCACGATGACGAGAGCCTCAAAGCACAAGGCCAGGTTGAGTTTTTGCGCAAAGAAGCTCAGCTCCAGCGTGAGAAACTGGATGTTTCGGAACAACTCGTACAGACTACCAAGGACGAGTATCACAGTGCCATGCGTCAGTTAAAGGAAGCAGAAGCGACTGCAGAAAAGCAAGTCGAGCTTCTGAAGAAGCTTCACGAAGACATGGCACTGGGTAGTAAAACACCCGATAACGCCATTGATTTGACAGAGGCTGTTTCTAACTATGCTGCGAATTTGCTCTGCAAACTGCGAGATTCTGAAAGCGAGGCGTCCATGCTCAAGACGAACCTGGATCAGGCAACAATCAACGGCAAAGAACTCCGCACCGAGCTCGCTGAAACGAGGCTGATGCTTGCTCAAGAAGAAATGGCCGCCATGCATCTTCGAGAGAACCTGGACGAAGAGAAAGCCAAGATCACTGCTCTGGAAGGGGAGCTTAACGAAGGCAGGGAGCAGCTTAGCACGCTGCGCGGCCAGCTATCCGATGGCGAAACAGGCTCAGAGACGCTGCAAAAGAATTTGGAAGCTACTGAACGCAAGGTGTCTGAATTGACCGAGGATCTTGCCTCTCGGCAGTCGCGTTTGGGAAGCCTCGAGGAGGAAGTTCAAATGTTCAGAAACAAGATGGAGTCTGTGCAAGAGAAGCTATCGTTATCGACCAACCAATACGAGGCACGAGACGAGCGAACAAAGGACCTGACTCAAAGAGTGTACTCGCAAAACGACCGCTTGACGCGCCTCTTGGAACGCATCGGCTATTCTGTAACCAGAGATGGCACTGACATGACTGTAACCAAGATTCCGCGCGGCGAGAGACAGGGTCAGAGCGCACACGACTTGTCGGACCCTTCTTCATCTGTCAAGCGATCGACAAGCTTTAGCAAGCCCGCGAACAATAGCTTCGATCTCGAGCTTCTCCACTGGATACATAATAGCGATGCTGTGGTTGAAGAACGACAATATTCCTCCTTTATTCAGTCGCTCGGCTCATTCAATATGGAACTGTTCACTGATACAGTCTATCACAGAATTAAAGAGGCCGAGCACAAGGCTCGCAAGTGGCAGCGTGAAGCCAAGACTTACCGCGACAGAGCTCATCTGTATCAGAGGGACGCGAGCGACAAAATTGCCTATCGGCACTTCAAGGAAGGCGATCTTGCACTCTTCCTGCCGACACGTAACCAGCAGGCTGGAGCCTGGGCTGCATTCAACGTGGGCTTCCCGCATTTCTTCCTGCGCGAGCAAGATTCGCACAAGCTTCGACACCGTGAGTGGCTTGTGGCTCGCATTACCCGCATCCAGGAAAGAGTCGTGGACCTCTCCAAGAGCCTGACAGGAAGCAGCGTGGGCAATGTCATGCATGATGAGGAAAATGACAATCCCTTTCAACTTTCCGATGGATTGCGTTGGTATCTCATCGATGCTTCCGAGGATAAGCCTGGTGCCCCCTCAACACCGGGCATGGGGAAATCCACAGTCGCAGCGAATAATGTGGAGGCGACGGCGAATATCCAGTCTCAAGCGGTCCGCGTCAAGGGCAAGAATCGCGACAGCATCAGCAGCATTGAGGGTATCAACAAAACGCTGTCCAAGAGCCTCGAGAGCCGCCGCAGCAGCTCCGCCTCGAAGAAGGTGCCTTTTTCCATTGCTGGCGGAGCGGCGCTTCTTAAGAGCAGCGCGCTGGCCAGCGAGACGGACTCGTTGCGTGCGGCGGCGCCAGAGACGCCCGCAGGCACCAGCCCGACTCAACCGTCGCCAGCGGGCGCGATGGTGGCCAAGCAGCAGGCCGGGGATGGAGCGGCCGATGCGGGCGAGGGGCCATCCAGTCGTGTGGCCGAGGTACGCAAAGTCGATACGCTTCTCGGCCCTTAGCTGCCAGTTACTGATCTTTGAGTTTTTTCGATACAGACTCGAAGCAGTGTGCAGCGAGAGGAATCCACCGAGAGCGTGGACAATAAGTCCATGGTGTGGGATCCGCTATGGACTGTTGACTACACTTACGAGAGCCTTGGGAAGTAGTGGCGTTGTATCATTTTTCTATATCCCTGGGTCAATTGTTCCATATTTTCTTGTTTATCTTCTTTTTGCTTTTCTATACAGCGTCATACGTGGAGTTGGTTCTTTCTTTTTGGGCAGGAGCTGGGCCATGCACAGCGTTTGAATAGTTGTTGGGAGACTTTGCATGGCCTTTGAAAGAATAGACTGTATCAATACTAAACACGAGATATTAAATCATCCAAGATGTCTCTTGGAATTTAATTTGTTCATGTCGCCGACATAATGGGCACCACCACCGTGTTTTGTAGTCAACAACAGTCGTTGACTAGGACGCCCCGCTTCTCCAGAGCTTGGAGTACGACTTCCTCTAAACACCATGACATCTCCCGACACTCCCATCAACATTGACGCTTGTTGCTCCTGAATTAGGATGGCCCCGAAACATCCATCCTCTGTGTACACAAATGGGAAATAGATGGAGCCCATTTTGCCGTGCACAGAGGTTGCACCGATGGCCGCGAACAGAGTGCAGTTACTCCCAGAGCTCATCCTGCAGATTGTAGACTGCGTTGTGCCACCAAACAACAACATCATCCTGCCACCGTCCCACATCGCCACAAAGACCCTGGTTGCGCTGAGCACGACGAGTCACGCCACCTACAAGCCGGCACAGAAGCTGCTGCGGCAGCGTTGCCTCTTCCTGGACAGCCGCCGGCGCGCCGCGTCCTTCCTCCAGTGCCTGCAGGCCGGCGCCAACGACACCACGCTTCCCCAAGACGTGCGCCTGGCGGCCGCACAATGCGCGCCGGCCATGTTCCTGGCGCCGTTTGACCGGTCGCAGCTCGACGCGGCGACGGCACGGCTGGTGCGCTCGCTCCTCTACGCAGCCGGCGGCTCGCTGCGGCGGCTCGTGGTGCGCATGCCCTTTCGCCGCCCGGCTGCCGACCACCAAGACCAGGGCGTGCGGCAGATCCTGCAGGAAGGGTTCGCGCAGCTGGCGGCGCTTGAGGAGTTTGTCGGCCTCGATGAGTACCCGGACCTGAACCTGGGGGCGGGGCGGCACATGTGGAACGCGTGGCCGGCGCTGCGGCGGCTGGCGGTGCTTGGCGCCAATGTCGACGAGGAGGCGCTCTGGGCGGGTCTCGCACGCTGCCCGCGGCTGGTAGAGGTGGTGCTGGCGCGGCCGCGCAGTGTCGGCATGCTGGACATGAAGCGGGCGTACTTTGCGGCGGCGGGGACGGAGGCGCGGGACAGCGGGGTCGAGGTGGACGAGCGGAGGAAGATCAGGGTCATGCTGATGGACGTTTCGTATGACGTACTGGACATTCAGACGCACGGGTGGACGGCGTGCGACCCGGAGGGACACATGACGGTCGAGGTGTACGCGGTCCCGGTGTCGTATTACGGGGACGAGACGGAGCAGGAGACGGTGACGGCGTGGCTGGATCGGGGCGTATGGAGCGGGCAGATTTGGGAGTGGCGAGGCGAGGTGGTGAGATGAAGCATGAAGCCTACCCGAGGTGGTCGGGAAGGAGGGGGGCTTGGCAACTTGGGTTGTAATGATTACGCAGTTTGGTGTGCTTGTGCCTGATTCAATGCGTGTATGCTTTACGTTGGATGAAATAACGCCGGCGAGCCGGTCTAGACGAGTGAGCTTTGGAAAAAAAAAAAAAGTAAAATAACAACAGATGGAAGATGCATTGCCTGATTTACGTGTTGTACATTGCATCATTCATTGTTCGACAAGGCTGCCCGGAGACGACGGCGGTGATCGGCGTTGTGGCTTGGTAGGGTATGCGGGAGGTGTGCACCAGGCACTCGCCATGCTTTGTTCTAGAAACCGTGGCAGCATCTACGGAATGTTTCAGAGCCCCGATACCCCGGAACGCGCTCCCTTCCCAAGTATCTTTCTTTTCTTGGTCTTTTGTTTCTTTCCAAATCTGGTCTTTGTCCGGCGCAGCCAAGCTACTTCCCCGCATTGGATACAATAGCGTCCGCTATTGAATCCAGCAAAGTTCCGGTAGCATCTTGGCTAGCGATGCGACCATTGACCAAAGTGCGGAATGTACGGAGTCATGACTTGAATTTTATTTGGCTGCCTGGACATGTTGATCGCTTGAGTGGCTGGAACAAGGGACATGGACAGGGACCGGCGACGAGTAGCGTGGAACACTGACAGCGCAGAGCCATTGGGGGTGGTTGGCGTAAAAATTGGGATGACTTTGAGTAATTGAGGCACATTCATTCGTTGTATGTAGTTGTATTTATGTATTTATCAGTTGTATTTATTCGTGAGGGTAAGAAAGTGCAGTCCACGATGCTGAGTTGAGTGAGGTATCCCAAGCATGAAAGCGCACGTCCTGAAGAACCTGAACTCCTGTGTTACGTGGCATGCACCGACCAAACTGATTGAACAATGAGGTGTATTTTCTTCAGACGAAATTCATCTCATTCCGAAATACATAATACATACGCAACACTGAAATTTGTCGGGGGTGGAGTTGGCCGGCCCTAAATCCGCCGCGGCCGCAAAATAAAAATACGCCGCATCGCCGCCGCCCGCGCCCACCCCCCTTCGGCCACCCTCTCTGGCTCTGCAAACGCTCCTTGACGTCAGTTTCTTTTCACCCTGCCACACGACGAAAAGGCTGGCACAAAGGCTGTGCAGTCGCCAACCGAGAGTCCATTTTCTCCAATCGACTTCGTTCGACTTGACCCTACACATCTACGAGCAATTCCTCCCCCCGCCGCGGAGTTTCGACCCGTCTTCGCACCTGCTGCGCCCATCTACCACTCTACGCCCCTGGCTGCAGCAACGTCCCCGAAAATCTCCTGAACAGTATCATACACGCACACGCCGGCACGAATCGACGACACCGGGCAGAAATATATGTATATAGATATCAGTAGCAGACCTTGACAGTCGCCGCCCCGGCCCTACGACAGCGTCAGCGCTTGCGTTGTGCTCCGCTAAACCCCGATTCAAACCGAGCGCGTCACATCCGCCGTCTCCCCCTCTTGCGGGCGTTTCACACAGAGGGAGCGACACACGGTGACGACAAGCGAACACATATTTTTAATGCCCGATAAGTCGGTTACGGTGGTGTCGTACGCCGCCGGGGCGTCCCTCGCCGCCGCAGCCCTCATCTACGTCTTTGGGCCCACGTTTGCCATTGACCACGACGGCGCCAGCACCAAGAAGAAGACGATTGTCGGCCTGCGCAACCAGGCCAATGACTGCTTCATCAACTCGGTCCTCCAGGCCCTCGCCGGTCTCGGCGACCTGCGCATCTATCTCATCCGCGAGACGCATCGCCGAAGCATCGAGGACCCGGCTGTCTACGCCAACCTGGTCCAGCCGAGCCTCTCGGACGAGGATGGCAGTGGCGGCGGCGAGATGCCCCTGTGGAAAATCCAGGGCCTTCAAGATGGTCTCGTCACACACGGGCTCAAGGACATGATTGACCATCTCAACGAGCGGCCCATTGCGAAAAAGGCCATCTCGCCGTTCCCCTTTGTGCGCGTCCTCGAGGTCGCCTTCAAACAGCGCATCAGCAGACAGCAACAAGATGCTCAAGAGTTCTTGCAAATCGTCGCTGAGCGCTTAAAAGACGAGTACCACGCTGGCCAGAGAGCCCGGTTACACGCCCGAGCAGCTGTCAACGGTAGTGGCAGCAACTCGACGACCAATTCCATCCCCGAGCAAAGCGACAGCGAAAAGGATGAGAAACAGGCCGCGACAAGCGGCACCCCTGACGGCATTGCCGCATCGTCCACAAACGGAACAAACTCGCAGTCAAATTCAGACACTGATAGCTTGCTACCCAGTACAGCCTCGCCGCAATCGACGCGGCCGCTTCCCATAGAGCTGGAAGATGGCTTCCCCATGGAGGGCAAATACGAATCTCACCTCGAGTGCCAAACCTGCGGCTACAAGACGAAGCCGCGCGAGGAGACCTTTTGCACAATAACCCTGGCTGTGCCACAGGTCATGTCCACGTCTCTTGGCTCCTGCTTTGATGGCATCTTTAAGACGGAATACATTGACGATTTCAAGTGCGAAATGTGCCGTCTTGTGCAGACTGTGGCCAACCTCGAGCATGAAGTTTCGCGCTCGACGTCCGAGTCGTTCAAAGCCAACGCACTTGATAGCATCGCCAAGCTCAACCAGGCCATCCGGACGGACCCAGAACAGCCACCCGAAGGCGTTGACCTCGGAGACATGCGTTATGCGCCCAAGCGTCGCATTTCCAAGACGACGCGCATGACTATTTTCCCCAAGATACTTGCCATCCACCTGTCCCGCTCCATCTACGGCGTTGGCCAGATGACGCAGAAGAACTCGGCCAAGGTCGCCTTCCCCGAGCAGCTGCCCCTTGGCGGGCTGGCCGAGCAGCGCCGGTATAAGCTCCTCGGCATGGTCACGCACCGCGGCGGTCATAACAGCGGCCACTACGAGGCGTTTCGGCGGCAAAATGTCCCGCCGCACTTTCCCAACCAAAATACCTTTATGCAATCTGAAGTTTACAGCAAGACGCCCACGCCGCTGTCAACACCCCTCATCCACGCCAAAAACGCAGACAGCCCCGCCATCTCGACGCCCGATCTCCTCTCGCCCGCCTCCACCAACGGGTCCTCGACACCCTCGCTGGACTCGGTCCCCGTGCCGGCCCCGCGCAGCGTGCCCACCGCAGCGGAGCCGGAGGGGAGCAGCCCCAGCCCCAGCATCAGCGGCCGTGACCGCGACACCGACTCTAGCAGCCTGCGCTCTGTCGCCGCGTCCACCAAGTCGGCACTGTCACGCCTCACCTCGGGTAAGTTTGACGGCGGCATCAGGTCAGAGTCGCCGAGGCTGCGTCCGCAGTCGCAACCGGCGCACTCGCTCACAGGGAGCATCAAGCGCGCCAAGCCCAAGAGGGCCAAGCAGCACCTCGATCGTTGGTGGCGGGTAAGCGACGAAAAGGTTCGCGAAGCCAAGACGAGTGAGGTTCTGAGTATGCAGAAGGAGGTGTATCTTTTGTTTTACGAATTGGAAAAGTAAAAGGGATGAACCATGCTATTGAGACCTCGGCGTTGAATTACTTAGAGTGAGGTTGTTTGAAGAAGAGAGAACCTGGCGGACTAGGACGTACGTACATAACCAGCGATATTGGACATAGAAGATGCTTTTTTTTGTCATCATGTTTCAATCAGATAACACGGCGTATCCAAAAATTAGTTTAAAGCGTATTTATTTCACTCTATTTTTGGATCCGATAAGCTTGACCATAACACGATGCACCTACGGATAACACAGTCAAGTTGAGCTGATGAGTCAGCGGAGCATTGGCTGAACTCCTAATCTTTGCGCTGGTGCTCAATTTCATTTGCCCCAGTCAACCTCGCGGGGACAAAAATTGTGAATAATTGACGCGTGGCTCATTTCAACGCTTACCGGGCCCTCTACAGCGAATATTATCGGAGGGGAAACGGATTCGCGGGTCTTGCGACCAGGCATTGTCAAACCGCGAGCCCTCAAGGGCGACCCCCCTGTGGCCGGCGGCATCATGCTCATCAAGATCTGATATATGAGAACAGGTAACCGAAGGGCATAGCAAGACGATTGATACAATTTCCACATTGGAATTTTATTCAAAACCTCCTTTCGACTCATCACTATTGAGAAATCCTGTTTTTGTTCAAAAGCCGAACCGCGCATTCTTCACACCCCTGCCGGACAGCAGGGCGATCCGCATCACTCATCATGCTCAACATACCAAGGCGCGTTCGCAAGCGGCTGCTTCAGACTGCGATCCTGGGCCTCGTCATATTGAGCGTATCTTACATCGTACTGCCACCCGACTCTTCGATCCGCCTGGCGCTGCGCTTCAATGCGGTGCGGGCATCGGCCGCCGTGCGTGGGGCGACGGAGGACCGGGACGCCTGGCTGCGGCAGCCGGCGCCGTACAAGCTGGACCTGCGCGAGGACGTCGGGTACCTGATTAAGACGGGCTACGGGACGAGGCACCGCGTGCCGCTGCAGCTGGCCGCGCTGCAGGGGAGCTATGGCGGCGGCCTCTTGGGCGAGGAGGGCAAGGACTACGTGGTGGTGGGCGACTGGACGACGGTGGACGGCAAGGATGCCAAGGCCATTGGCGTACCGGTGCACGACGTGCTTAAGATGGTGCGGGAGTACGGCGATGGGGACTGGAGGGCTCATCACCGGCTCAAAAAGTACCAGACGCTGCAGAGCGCGATACAGGCGGGCGACGAGGAGACGGCGCTGGGGATCGGACGCAGCGTCGGCTGGGAGCTCGACGCGCTCAAGGTACGTGCACTGTGGATAGTATACTTTGCGCTGTGTACTGACAGGTTCTAGTTTGCGCCGGGGATGGAGCTCATGTACAAGACGATGCCTAACAAGAAGTGGTATCTCATCTTGGACGACGATACGTTTGTTGTGAAATCGACGCTGAATCTGTTATTGACGCACCTGAATCCGGAGAACCCGCACTATATTGGCAATGCGGTGGGTGACTTCCGCGGACGGTTTGCGCACGGCGGATCGGCCATCATCATCTCGGGCGAGGCGATGCGCCAGCTCTTCCGTCGCAAAGACGTGGTGCGGCAGGCGTACGTGGAGTCGCTCGACGAGAAATGGGGGGACAGGCTGGTGGCGACGACGTTTCTCAAGCTGGGCATCTACCTGGAGGAGCGGTACGCGCACCACTTCAACGGCGAGGCGCCCGAGGAGACGCGCATCACGCGGGAAAAGTACTGCGCGCCGATCCTGTCGTTCCACTCGCTGCGGACGGCGGCGGCGACGACGCGGGTGAGCAAGGTGGTCGGTACGGCGACCAAACCCGTGCGCTGGGGCGAGTTGATGGAGCTCTTCCGGCCAGCGGCGGCGGCCCGGGGCCAGGACCACGTCGGACCGGCGGACAAGCAGGTCAGGACGTGGGGGCTGGTCAAGAAGGCGAGCGACTGCCAGCGCAAGTGCGAGGTCGAGAACAGCAAGTGGTGCCTGGCATGGACGTACGATGCGCGCAAGGAGGCGTGCCAGGCGAGTCCATGGATGGTGCCTGGGGCGGATGGCGCCGAGGGCAAGGTGTCGGGGTACAATAAAGAGGCCGTGAAACGGATGCAGGCGGGGTGCGCTTGAGACGGGTGTGTATGAGTCGGAGGGGCCGATGATGAGTTGGATGGGGGCGGCTTATGACAGTCGGAAGAGGTGCTATCCGGGGCGGACACTCGGCGGGAAGGGGGGGGGGTCCAATACTATTGAGTGAGTGTGGACCTCGACAATGCAAACAATCTGGACGTGGACGATGAATGAAACGGAGCAAGAAAGAGTATGTAATAATAGTAATCTGTACGTTCAAGAAAACGTTGGGCACTCTGTTACAGGGAACAAGCGAATGAGACTTGAAAGATGCTAAAATTAGAATGGGTGGCAGGGTGCCATGCGAGCGAGATGTATGTACAACGTATAACGAGTTGATGAAGAGAGATTGGCAGGGTACGCAGCATAAGAATGTCGGAAGCGAGATGAGGACAGGTATCTTCTTGGAGAGGGAGAGGGAGAGGAAGAGTGCTCCGTACAGCTGGAGAAGAAGTGGTGAGGTGATTTTTTTTGGATTTTTTTTGTTTGAGAACTGAGGAATAAAAATAAGAATAAAACAAATGAAAAAGAAGAGATGATGTTTGATTACACTGGTCACCTGGCTGCTTGGTGCACTTGTGCATGGAGCGACTCGCCAGGGTGGAAAGGCTACATGGGTCGATGATGGACCAGGCCCCTTGCCAGCGGCTAGGGGGGGCCAGGGGGGGTATGTTTGGGGGTCTTTTGGGGGTTTAATATTTGGCTTATCATGTCGTAGAAGGTTGGAAGGGCAATTGGAAGCCACTTTGGAAGTCGAAGCGACGGGAGCGATGTGGGCCAAGGGAGGGGGCTGATCTCTCTGTGCTTGGATTGGCCTTTTTTGGGTTGTCGGCAAACAAATATGAGGGGGAATATTTTTTTTCCAACGGCAAGGATGAAGGAGGAGGAAAAAAAAAAGGGCAGTGCGCGAGGCAGGGATGGCCAGCATCCGCTTGGCAGAGATTGCTTTGGCTGCATGAAGAAATGCTGACGATGTCGATTTAAAGCACTGGTCCGTCATGAATAAATAAATGACGGCAACCCAACTAGTGGTACCTAGCTGTGCAGACCTACTGCGTACCTATGTACCTAGGTAGGTACCTAGGTACAGCTGCACGGCTAGCTGGCTCGCTTGTTGAGGTCGGTCGGGGGAGGAACTCAGCGCTAAGACTTAGCAGGGAGCCGCCAAGGTTCGGCTCAGAGCTCAGAGCGGCCGCAGCCAAGCTTCCTCGCTAATGACAGGACCAGACCCGCCTGGGATTTTGTAGTTAACTAGGTCCTGTTACTGTACAATTCCTACGCCATTACGTTAGTACCTACGGAGTAGTCCCTTTGACTGGGTACGAGAAATAACCAAACTGTTCATCCCCCCCCCCCTTATCAGCGTTCGGAAAGTCCCCCCGAAAAGTCACCGGCAGTGATTGGTTGGGGAAGGCAGCGCATCATGCGTGCGTATGGTCATGCGACCAATAGGGAAAAATGACGGCCATCTCTGTCTCGTGTGCCAGCAACTTGCTGGGCTGGATGGAAGTGGCCTCATCCCATTCCAAATCTGACAAAGACTGCCTGGTTTGACTGCCGGATGAAATATTTGTATATTTGTATATTTGTATATTTGTAAATTGTACAAGGCAGAAATGTTGGTTACTCAGTAACTAACTAATGCATCTTCCCTTGGGGCGATGAACTTGATATCCCTGTACATATGTGCCGGGACGAGCGCGCGCGCGGCCTTTTTTTTCCTCGATACTTGGGTGCCTAGGGTACCTCGAGCAGCATAAGAAAGCTGTTTACTCTGTTTACTTTGGGGAGGGTGTGCTTGGGCGCGCCTCGCATCATCACTCCATGTCCTACCTATCGAAGCGAGGGAAAAGAAAAAAGCTTAAAATAATAACAATAACACCACCCCAAAGACCCCGCCGACAGGCCTTGCAGAATTGAGCAGCAGAATACTCTGTACATAGGTAGAACGTAAGCTTCTTATTGGAGCGGCATGCCCATCTGCATGTACGGACTCTGGGTATCCGTCTACCTTGGGTACCTAGTTACCAGGTAGGTACTTCCCCTACTTCCCTTCTGTCTATTCGTAGAAGCGACAAGTCTGGGCGCTAGCGCAAAGCTTCTCGCCGGCCCGAACAAACCAAAAATACACTGGCCCTCCTCCCTCCTCGCCTTCAGACCAAAGGCCTTGCCAGCCAACCTGCCTTGCCTAGTCCGGCATTGTACTAAATTATAAACGAAGTACCTACTGACCTGGTAGTTACCTAGTAGTTAATTATGGCCCGCATGCCTTTGGCGCTTCGTCACTCTCTCACTCACTACATCAATCTTTTGACTTCCTTCTCTTCTCTGCTTGTCTTGACGACGACTTGTTTTCTTCCCTCTTCATTCACTACCAAAAAACATTCCTCCGGCCGCCCAGCCATCTCACCCACACCCCCCCCCCTTGCAGCGGCTCATCGGTCAAAGGGGCCCCCAATCGATTCTCGCTTCCTTGTTTCTTGCCGTTTTCTTTCATCATCACCATCTTCTCTAAGCTTCATGTTAATCCTCTTGTTCCCTTTCCTGTCCAGTGTCCCTCCCCTACCCGGTTGGATTTTCCCATTTTCACTATTCATTTTCGGGGGGGAGGTGTTGCTCTAGCGTTTCTCTACCCGGCCCTTTTTTTTGCTTTCTCGCCCATGTCGAAACTTGGCTCCATAACAGGCTTCTCATTTTAATCCAGGCAAAAAAAAAAAAAACATCCCGGACCCTGGCCAGGAATGGCGCCCGACAATCCAGTTGGCGGCGACGGCGATGCTGGTACCGTGACCAACTCCACTGCTCCGGCATCGTCGAATCTTGCTACCGGTCCTTCTCCCTCTCCTCCTCCCTCTGCTGCCGCCGTCGCTACATCTGCTGCTCCAGAGCCGCAAACATCTACGCCTCCGGCCTCCCGACCGCCTCCGACCAGCTCCAACCCCGAGCCGGCTGCCTCGACCTCTTCCACCTCGACCTCGACGTCCACAGCTCTCGCTACAGCTTCTACTGTTGCTACCACTGCTGCAGCTGCTGCAGCCACCATCGCCAGCCCTGCCACCATCACACCGACCACGATACCTCACGCGCCTGCTCCCGCCGCTGAAGCTGCTTCTCGCAGCCCCCTCAACGGTACACGAGCGGCGCAGCCTTCTCCCGCCCCGACCGACGGCGAAATGTCCAACCATCTCCTTCTCCTCGGCCGCCAGGCTGCTGCTCCCCCGGCCTCGCACCCTTCTCCCTCCTCGCATCATTCTGCCAGCTACCGCACCGATGCCCAGCCACAGGCCCCGACGGCTCCCTCGACAGCCACGTCAGCTCCTCCGCCCTCGACGAACCCGACGACCCAATTCACCTCATACTCGAATGTCACGACCTCGCAGGCCCCCGATGCTCAACGAGCTGCTGGTCACGCCAACGGCCCCAATGCCGTCACACTGCCGAGCATGCGCACCATTGACGCCATGACCCAGCAGCAGCCGCAGTCTGGCCCTCATCCGCACACTATCAACGGACCTCTGCAACCCGCATCTCCTTCTGGCCAGGCATACTATGCTCAGTCTACTGTCGGTGCTACGCCGGGTTATGGGTTACACACGGAGCTGTCTCGCTACCCTCTGCCCCACGATCCTCGCCTGCCAGGAAGTAGAGGCTCCAAGAAGGTTGGTCTTATCGGTTGCTACCCGCCGCCTTCTCACCAGATGCGACCGGACCGTGCAGTCCGGCGCTGCTGGCCCTCCCTATCCTCCTGTGTGCTTGTCCATGGCTAACCACATGCGAATGACAGGAAATCAAGCGGCGAACAAAGACGGGCTGTCTGACCTGCAGGAGACGACGAATCAAGGCAAGTTGACACTATTCACAAGTTGACAATATACACAACCCTCCAAACTACACGGACCGGATTCCACACCCTACGCCATCACCATGCAGCTCTATTCACTTGACCGTGTTGCAAGCTGCCATGTTGCACCAATTCTCTATCTGTCAACCTGGCACTCCAAGTGGAGTCGGATGCCCTAGTCCGTCCAAGGATTCGATCGACCCGAGACGCACCACCTCAAACTCGACAGTCGACGTCGTGACACGATTTTATGCATGCTGGCATGGAGTTCCCTGCCAGTAACAGTCACGATATTTCTGGTTATTGGACAGCTGTGCTTTGACTAGCAAGGCTGTCGTCGCTGCATCTGCCGCTGCCAAGTCATGTCGTCCAAAGTCTTTAGCCTACTGGGGCTTTCATCAGTCAGCAAATGGGGCGCCACCACCACCACGTCAAGCTCCCCACCAAAATATACTCATAGCGTGCCTGCCCAAGTCGCGATGCATAATGGCCACCCTTGACATTTCCCTTCATCTACTCAGCACCTTGGTTTTTTAACTCTTGTCCCCCCAGCACGGCATACTAACCTGCGCCCATTTTTTGGCATTGCTTTCTTTTAGTGCGACGAAGCTCATCCTACCTGCAATAACTGCAAAAAGTCGAAACGCGAGTGTCTCGGCTACGACCCCATCTTCCGCCAGCAGCCAGCAGCTCAACCAGGCTCCATTCAGCCGGCACCGTCGCCTACCGCGTCGCTCCCTTCATCCAATTCGCCTGGATCCGTCGCCGGCAACGGCCGCCAAATTAACGCGTACACTACCCAGTCGTCGATGCTGCCGGCCTCGTATGCGGCCACTTCTACCCCTCACACTGCAACTGCCAACCCAACTCCCAACACAGCCTATCACTCGATCTCTGTTGCCGCCGCCCACTCGGCAACGTCTATTGCAGCTGATACTCGATACGAATATTCCGCCAGCGCCAATCCTGCTTCGAGAGCATACCAGCCTGCCGCAGCGTTTGACCCCGCTCGACACGTTAACCACACTGCAAATAACCAGCTGGATCATAGGTTACCAGAACCAGGTGAGCACAATTACTACCATACCATGTTTCTAACCAAGCGACTTACACCCATCAAAGCGCCCAAGATGAAAGTCCACCAAATTATCGACTCTCTCGGGCCTACCCCCACATCACCTCAAGTTCCCGCCAGCGAGGAGACGTTTAGTGAAATCACCAAAGTCTACCACGAAATGTATGCGACTGCACTGGCGGCCTTCTTCGAGACTACCTGGTACTATTTTGCCGAGAACAACATCATGTCCTTCCCCAAGCACCCTCCACTGCTAGAGCAGATGGCTTCGTTTCTCAAGGTGCTCGAAGCTGTCAAGGCGAATGACCATACGCAAATGGCTTACTCTGGCATCCTCGAGACTAGAATCGTCTGGCAGCTTGCTTGTACCGCTTTTCAGACCCCAGAGCGTGGCAACGCATCCATGCGGGTTACTTTGCCCCCGGAAGGTGACAGCGCCGAGGCTCGAAGCCGTTTGCAAGTGGTGGACACGCTGTTGTGTGGCGAGTATCTGCCAAACAATCCATTATCGCCCCCGGTAGCCGACTCGGACACTCAAAGGACACGCCAGTTTGACTTTTGGTACAATCTGGCCGATTTTATCCGTCACCGCGACAATCCCGAATCGCCTCAAGCTCAGCAGGCCCAGGAAGACGTCTTGGGCAGGATGCGCGGCTTGCTCGATGGACGCGAGAACCGTGACGTGCTCTACTCTATTGCTGTGGTTCGTCACTTGTCTCCTCGCTTGGGACCGAACTACGGAACGTCTCAATCGCCCGGGAACGACGAGGCGGAGCCAAAGAGCCGGCTGGCGGTGGCGTCCGGATTCCTTTTGAACCAATCACAGGTGACGGGCGGCACGACCAACGTTGTTCGACGTATAAGTGACATTGCATGCCGCGCATTTGTGAATCCTGGTGTCAACATTGCGAGAAGAGCCTGATTTGAGCGACCTTGTGATACCCACCTAGTGCGTGAGTCCGGGAGTCACCCGTGAGACTCGTATTTTTGCCCCGGAAGAAAACCTGCATTTTGGCGTTTTTATATTTTTATTATATCCCCTCCCCGCCATTGCCATTCCCGTGACGGATGGCGTGGGACTTGGCTGTTCTGGAAAGACAAACGGGCAGAAGTATTTGTGTTGGGAGTTGTACAAGTTTGTACAAGAAACGGACATTCATCTCCTTCATCCATTTTCCTTCACAATTGTTGTTCAATATACATTATCTATTCTTTTTTATTGGCGCGAAGGTTTGGGAAAGAAACAGTTTATAGAAATTGGAGAGCACGTGGGATCTTGCCTGGCGCCACCTGTTTTTGTCTTTCAAAGTCACTGGATTCTCCATTCTATCTTCAAAGCAGGCAGTTGGCGTTTTCGGATTTACAATAGAGAAGAGCAATAAATTGCTGGAGGAGAATCACCTTCAAAGACTAAATAGAGTTTGTAATTATCATCATATATAGCCACAACTGATGTCTCATTGCGTCTTCGCGTTTCTATTTCCTACGCGTCTAGGTTGATACAAGACAATGTGATTGTAGACCTCCAAGAAAATAACAAGGCTCTCACGGCGATGCCATGGAGCACTTTTGTGAAACGTGAGTCTCGAATCTAGAGTACTAGTCCCCCGCTCAGCCATGGTGGTGGTTCAGACGCCGGCACGGTGACCATCTCGATCTATCGCATATGCCGGAGGGCATGGCTCACTCACCTCGGCCGCCTCTGTACATGAAGACGTCGTCGCCAATGGTCCCGTCGCCGGAACGAAGTGCCAGACCGTCGGCCCCGTCGTCGGCGGGGGCGTCGGGTGGCGCGTCTGCGGAGCGAGCTGCCAGCTCCCACAGTACGCACACGGCGGGGGCGTCGTCGTCGTCGTCGTCGTTGTCGGCAGCAGGGGGGCGGTAGGCCGGCGGCTCTCCCAGCACGCAAAGTACAGGTCCGCCGGGAAGCAGCCGACGAGGATGAGCCAGCAGGGGTCGACAATGTCGCTGAGGCCGAGAAACAGGCCGCCCAGCAGCGAGTGGAGCAAGAGCAGGGTGACAATGGACAGCCACCGGCAGTGGTCCGGGTCGTAGCCAGCCTCGCTCTCGTCCTCGGTGGCGCCGAGGATGCGGCGCAGCCGCACGAAGAGCGGCCACCCGCGCAGGATCACGGCGAGAATGAAGACTAATTGGGGGGGGCGCGTTGTGTTAGGGACATGTTGGGAAAGGGGGACAGAGAGAGGGAGAGGGACGTACGGGGCAGGAAAACAGAGTCCATGGCTTTGCAGAGGACAAGGACTCGAGGTCAAGGTAGGATGGGCGATGGAGAGGAGGTGTGAGAATCTTTGGAGAAGAAAGAGGGCATGGTGGGTTTTAATGTCTTGTTTCTGCGCTTTGGATTGACGCGGATTATATTATACTTTACGCTGTTGGCTGGTATAAGTGTTTTTTTGGCGTGGCTAGTAGACGCGCCAAAGACTTTTTTTCTCGACTTTTCAAGGTAGTAGGCCCAAAGAAACTATGGAAGGGTTTACCGAAAAATAAAATGAAAAAATAGCACGGGCAAAAATAATGGTAGTATGCGATGGCGAAATATCCTTTTCAAGACTGGCCAAGTGGACCGCCAGAAATGCTGAAAATCAAGGGGAGTGAAGGACACGAGGTTACGATAGAAAAGAGCAAAGTTTGTTTTTGGGGGGCGGGGCGGGGGAGTGGACAATCAGGTTAACATTCGTCGTGTTGGCTTGAGAAGCTCGGTTACAATGGTCAACTTGGGGTTGCTGGCGTGGTAGTAGTGAACTTGTGTAGGTAGTCATGTGCCTAGTCTATTTTGTACGGGTAGGTATTATGTACACGGGATCTATATACAAAACGGTTATTCTCTAGTATACGGAGTCAAAATCTGATGAGACGCGAGATTATTTGGTGATATGACCAAACCAAAGATCGTCCGACGGACGCATGCCCGTCAAGACGCCGTCTCTGGAACACAGCTCCCTCTGTCTCTCGTCGACGGTCCAGTGGCGAACAGCGTCGCTGCCGACGAGAAACTGCATCACCATGCCGGACTCGGCGTGCCAGGTGTTGTGGCAGTGAAAGGCCCAGAGGCCCGGGTTGTCGAGGACGACGCGGACGATAACCCAGCCGTAGCCTTCGACGGTGACAGTGTCGCGCCGGACGGGGTTCACGAGGAGATGCTCGTGCTCGGCCAGGTACGCGGGCATCTGGTGGGCTTCGGGCGGGTAGCCCGTCTCGCCCTGGACGAGGACGAAGAATTTGTGCCCGTGGAGGTGGAACGGGTGGGAGCCGTCGTCAAAGTTGTTGATCGCGAGGTCAATGGTGCGCGCGCCCGTCGTCTCGAGGACATAGTCACGCGTAGGGTCAAAAACCTTGTCGTTGACAGCCATGGCGGCGGCGGCGGGTTTCGTAGAGGAGGCCGAGCCTGCGTCGGCGGCGCGGATGCCGTCGAGGTAGCGATGCAAGGACGGGTGCGTGGCGTTGGCGTGCCACGTGGAGCCGTTGAAGAAGCCGCGGGCCAGCGCCCAGTCGCCAATCATAAAGTTGGCGCGGACAAGGACGAACTCGTCGGCGGGCGGCGGCGACTGCGCGACGACGGGGTGCAGCGCGCTGACGTTGAGGTCGCGGCAGATGACCTCGGCGGCCTCGGGCCAGTCCTCGCTGGTGGGCTCGGCGGCGGGCAGAGGGGCGTCGTCGGACTGGTAGCGGATGACGGCATGCAGCTCGGGGACAAGGCGCTTGTTCTCGGTGGTGAAGCATTGGGTGACGATGCGGGCGCGCATCCAAAAGGCGTCGGCGGTGGTGACGTTGGTCTCGAGGATGACACTGTAGCGCTGCGCGGGGAGGATATTGAGGCGGTGAAAGGGCTCCGGGTGGACGTCGGTGCCGTCAACCTCGGTGACGTAAAAGGGGTGTTCGTCAAACTGGATCTGGAACTCGGCCATGGCGCCGACGTTGATGACGCGCAGCCGGTGCCGCTGGTTGGCGGCGAGGTCAAAGACGGGGCGGGAGGTGTTGGCGGCGTCACAGGGCCAGCCGGGGAAGTCGGCGCAGTCGCGGACGCCGCGGCCGTTGATGAGGGCATTGTCCGGGACGGGTTCGTCGTTTTCCATGTCGGGCTGGAGGTAGTCCATGAGCAACTCCGAGGTGAGGTTGTGGTAGTGGTCCTGGACCATGACGATGCGGTCTGAGGCGTAGTCGAGCTCCTGCAGGACGGTGCGCTCGTTCCTGGCGTGTATGACGACGGGACCGAGCAGGCCGTCCGAGGCCTGGGCGCTGTGGTGCGCGTGGTACCAGTATGTGCCGGACTGGCCGCTGATGGTAAAGGTGTAGGTGAAGGAGGACCGGGGAGCGATGGGACACTGGGTGACGCCGACGGTGCCGTCCATGAAGTTGGAGCCGTTTTGGAAGAGGCCGTGGAAATGGAGGGCGGTCGCGTTGACGGCCTGGTTGTTGACGTGGACGATGATGGTGTCACCGTCGTTGCACTCGACAAGAGGACCGGGGAACTGGTCGTTGATGAGGTACATTAGGCGGTAGACGCCGTCCGGGTTGAGGTGGGCGTTGGTGATGGTCCAGTTGTATTCGCGTGTGGTGGGCGCGGCGGCAAAGTCCCACGCCATATCGAGGATATACTCGGCAGGGTCTCTGAGCCGCGGGCCGGGGCGCGTCTCCGGCTCCGGCGCGGCGGTCGGCTGCGGCTCCGGGTGTGTCTCGTCGACGGGCTCGGGAGGGGTCTGATGCTCACTGTCGCCATGGCTGCTTGGCGGGGCGGCGGCGTTGGAGGATATGCCAAACGGAATCAGAGTGAGGCCGAGGATCGTGATGACAAAGACGAGGAAGAAAAAGGCCATCTGCCAACAGGACCAGAGAGCGCGGCGCGGGCGGCCGTGGTGGTTCCACGACGAGGGCAGGCCATCGGGGCGCGGGGGCGGCGGCCGGGGGACGTCACTCATGGCAGCGCGCGGGAAGACGTCGGGTTCTGCATGCTCCGTCCGGTATATGATTCTCTGCGGCTGTAGAAAAAGAGAAGAGGGGGCCGGTAATGGACGGGAGAGGCGCGCGGTAGACGAGACAAAGTGATGCCTGGGGAACTTTGAGTCGTGGGTACTCCAAAGACCGTGTTCGGTAACTAGCTTGCTTGACCTACCTACTAAATAAGGTAAGGTAAGTCTGCTCAGTAATAGTGGGCGCTAATTTTGGTGGCGAAACAAGGCCACCTTCCTTCCTTGGTGGTGATAATGTCTGTACGAATAGGGTGTCATGGGTCATGGGCCCTCCCTCTCTACCTCAATGCCAAAATGCGACGTACAGGCGCTGACTCGGGCTTAGCGCCATTGTTTTCTGCGAAAGAATGTACTCCGTCTACGGAGTACTGACTCTTGGCTAGATGGTGGGCGGTAGCTACCGTCTGGGCGCCAAGATGTCGGCTTGATGGTGTGGGATCGAGTGGCGACGGGGTGGCCATTGAAAGCCATGGCATTACGAAACACAGGCGTCGAATGCAGCGGCAGAGATGGACGGTTCATCAATCGGACAGTCGCGCTTGGCAACGTTGGTGTCGATTCGCGGCGTTGCTCCGTGCTGATGTCGATAGTTGGCAGCCACAGCAGACGCCACCACGCTGCGGTCATTACAAGCAGGAGACATTCCAGAACCGGCTGCAGCCTCGGATTTGACAGTGCGCTCCCACGTTGCGAGGTAGGCGGGCCGTTGGCACAATGCGAGAGCTACCTATGAGAGGGAGCAGTCGGAATACAGCGCAAACGGCCACATGGTGATGTGATGCTGGTCGCCGAGCACCCGGTGTTCTCGGTGTACCATCTTGGATCATTGTTCCGGCGAGGCGTCCGGAAGAACGGCACGCACGCGATACGGCTAGGAAATAATAGACTTGGCAGAACCGTTTTTCCCGCGCAGAATATTCGCGGTGGGTGACGAGCATGAGCAAGCCAAACGTGACACGTGGATGCGTTGGGCGTTGTGAGACGGCAGGTTGTGGCTTATAATCTGTACAAATAAGTATTATTATAAAAATAAGTGTCTTGGTGGAGTGGATCCGCCGTCCAACACTCGGTGGATTAGCTGATTGCTGATTGGATAGAACTGGGGTCTCAGCTCCAAATATTTCAAGTGGGGGTGACTCGGGATCAGCCTAGGAGTACTCTGTCTAACATCTAAAACAAGGAAACATGTTTGGTTTCGAGGCCTAACAACAGAAAGTAGGGAATCAAAAGGGCAAAAATAGCAAGACAAAAAGCAACAAAAAATCAACTTTCCTCTTGACTCTTCAGGTGCAGGACAATCCTCGCTGGTCCTCATTCCCCACGGCCAGATAGCGAACCCCAATTCCAGTACGGATACCCCCGCCACCACCGCCACCAGGACCACTCAAGACCGGCCCATTTGCTCTAACCCAGGCACGAGGCTTCCCAAAACTCCCTCTCACTGACTACCTACCTACAATTCGTTGCCGCGCATGGCCAGCCAAGCCAAGAACCTATCCATGGTGTCCTGATCCTGCTAGCGTCTGCCCGTCATGCCGGCTCAGCTGCATACCTACATACCCAGGAACAGAAAATGTCATAAGCGGCCTCTCCGCCCATCTTGACGTCCTGTCGTCACATTGCCCTTGCCGTGACAATCGTCTCCCCCCCCATCTCTCCCTACCTCATCGCATCGCAATCACAATGCGCTTTCAACTCGCCGGCACCATCGCCGCCCTGGCCGGCCTCGTCGCTGCCGACCGAACCTGCGGCGCCAACTGGGAGACTCGTTACACGGCCACGGCCGCCCAGGAGGTCGCCGCCGCCGCCGCTACGGCCAAGACGTCGAGCCCGACCAGCCACGTCCCTGGCAAGGCCTTTGACCGTCTCGTCATCATCTACTTTGAGAACCAAAACTACGACAAGTCCATCGGTGACGGTATGTACACCCGCCCCCAAATCCTTGTCCCTCTCAACTTCTGTCTGTGTTTGACCCCCAGAACTAACTTGCCAAGTCAACTTCAACTACTTTGCCAAAAAGGGCATCCTCCTCGACAACTACTTTGCCCTTACCCACCCCTCTCAGCCCAACTACATGGCCGCCATCGCCGGTGACTACTTTGGCATGCAAAACGACAACTTCATCCGCGCACCGCGCAACATCTCCACTGTCATCGACCTGCTCGAGTACCGCGGCATCTCCTGGGGCCACTACCAGGAGGATATGCCCTACTCGGGCTTCGAGGGCATGGGATTCAAGAACCAGAACAATGGCAAGAACGACTACGTCCGCAAGCACAATCCCGCCATCATGCACGACTCGATCGTCCACTGGGAGAGCCGCCTGTCCCAGATCAAGAACCTCTCCATGATTGACACGTCGCGCTCCGTCTTCCACCAGGACCTCGCCGCCGACAAGCTGCCGCAGTGGATGTTCATCACCCCCAACATGACGTCGGACGGCCACGATACCGACGTCACCACGGCCGGCGCCTGGTGCCGTACCTTTCTCGACCCCCTGCTGGAGGACAAGAAGTTTATGAAGAAGACGCTCGTCCTCGTCACTTTTGACGAGAACGAGACGTACCCCAACCGCAACCAGATCCTCGGCGTCCTCCTCGGCGACGCCGTCCCCAAGGAGCTCGTCGGCACCACCGACAACAACTTTTACAATCACTACTCGGAAATTGCCACCGTCTCGGCCAACTGGGACCTGCCCACGCTCGGTCGCTGGGACGTCGGCGCCAACGTGTACCAGATGGTGGCTGCCAAGACGGGCGACAAGCTGCGCAAGTGGTCCTCGCCCGAGCAGCTGCAGTCCATGTACTTTAACTATTCCCAGGCCGGCCAGTTCAGCACCGCTGGCGGCAACAAGCGCTTCCCCGCGCCCAACCTCAAGCTCGACCATGCCGTCAACGGCCGCAAGATTCTCCCCCGCATCAAGGAGATTTGGGCCAACAGCCAGGCGCCCACCTACTACGAGGACACGGTCGAGGTGCCCGACGGCCTGCACCCGCCCAAGGGATATGAGCCCTCGAAATAGCTAACCGCCGCTTCTGCTGCTGCCGCTGTGCATGTTGACGTGTTGGATTACACAAAATATTGTATATACATGGTGGAAATATTTTTTAGCCTATGGTGATGGCATGAGCATGATGGAGAGACGATTGGAATCATGTAATATTTCCTTTCCGTCATATCAGTTGCTACCACCATTTATGCGCTTTGATGCCTACATAGACTGCCAAGAATAGAAGATGCGTCAACCTCGCATTCTCTCAGTCATACTATTACCTATCGCCCCTGCTATCCCCTACTGTCCCCTGCTATCATCAGTGTCTAGAACCACATAACTACCCATGCCATCCATCCACAACACCCTGGACACCCTGGACTGACCTGCCTGGTCCCCCGCCTTTGTCCACTTGGTGGCGTCGGCTGATCCGCCCCCTCCCCAACAGCTGGGCTCCAACCCACCCTTTGTAAGATGCGGGCTTGCAGGTGGCTTTTTGTCGAGGGGGGCTCTCCCGAATCATGTCCTCGCCATTCCAAAGCCAATGTCACCGCGCACGTGGGGGCTGCGTGCTCACTCACTTGAACAAGCCCACGGAGCCGTGTTGCCGGCTGGCTGCTGAAGCTCGAAGAGCGCGGATGCTGGTCGGCCGAAGCTGGTCTTATTCAACAAACCTGGGCCCGTGGTGGCAACATGTTTTGTTAAATAATAATAGCGAAAAGCTGGAAATGTAGCAACATTTTGTTCAGAGCTGCGCATACAGAGTAATCGGCCCTGCAAAATCAACATGACCAGGGGAACACCCCTGTGTGCAAAAAAGAACCTTCCTGATTCGGCGCCGCGTTCGGTCGGTCACCAAAACGTAGGCCGGCGGCGCAGGACGGATATCATGCGCCGCGCGGTCCCATGAACCACCCAGCAAAAACCCAGCTGTTTTTTCTGCGCTGAAATTCCGCAATGTAGCGTTCTTTTATTTTTCCATTTTTTCTCAGCCTCCTCTTTGTCCAATACCACCTCGCTCCTCCATCATGTGGGCCAGGGCCATGTAGCGCCCGTTCAAAGACCGCGACGCCTCTTGCGTTGGGTTTGCTGTCCTGGCCTCTTGAGTTTTTTTTCTTGTTGCCTTTTCATTCCAATTTGATAATACAAGTCTAAATTCTTCACCCTTTTACTACAGGAAAAATCGTGGTGTTGTGCTTGGCCTACCAACGGAGAGCTTCGCCAAGGTGCAGACCAACCGACCGGTTCCTGCCAGCGAACATTACGGGCCGCCACAACTAATTTGCTTCTCGAGACTCGATGCGGAGCCGTATTCTGCAGCCACTATACAGACTTGCACCAAATTCTTTATAAATTCCAGCGAGGTTGGATCTGACCTCGTTTCCCGGTTGCTCGAGTCCTCTCCTCACGACCTGCCTCAAACCTTGCCGCCTAGTACACGGCACCTGCCCACCATGGCCCTCTCCCAGAGCCCCAGCCGCACGCGGTTCCTGTCCGACTTTACGCTGGGCTTCTCCGACGGCCTGACGGTGCCCTTTGCCCTCACCGCCGGCCTCAGCTCGCTGGGCAAGGCCGACACCGTCATCTACGCGGGGCTCGCGGACCTCTGCGCCGGCAGCATCAGCATGGGCATCGGCGGCTACCTCTCCGCCCTGGACGAGCTGCCGGGGCCGCCGCCGTCCGACGAGGGTGACGAGGAGGAGCTCCGGGGCATGCTCCGGCACCACAACCACCGCCGCGGTTTCCATGGCGACGACAGTCTTGACGAGGAGGCGCTGGAAAAGGGCGACGCGGCCGGCGCGCAGGAGCAGCTCGTCCTGCGCCACCTCGAGCCGCTCTGCCTGTCGGCGACGACGGCCGCCAGCATAGTCGCCACGCTCCGCAGCCAGCCCGGCGGCCTGGACCGCGCCGTCGCCGGCATCCACCAGGTACGTGACGACGACGATGCTGCTGCTGCTGCTGCTGCCGACGACGCCGCGCCTCTTCCCATCTGGCCCGTCGCCTCGGGCCTCTCCATTGCGCTCGGCTACGCCGTCGGCGGCGCCATCCCGCTGCTGCCGTACCTGTTCACCGCCACCGTCGGCACCGGCATGCGCTGGAGCATCGGCCTCTGCCTGGCTGCGCTCCTGTCCTTTGGCGCCGGCAAGAAGTGGCTGCTGGGTGGTGGCCGTGTCAGGTGGCAGCAGTGCCTCTGGTCGGGGCTGCAGATGCTGGCCCTCGGCAGCATTGCGGCGGCGGCGGCGGTGGCGTGCGTGCATCTCCTGGGCTCCTTGACCGAGGCTCGCTGATGTCGGCGAGAAAGCTTTCCGAAGGAGCTCAGGGATGGGTTGTGGTGATGAAACTGGTTTAGCATGGAATGGCGTTTAGCAAGGTTTTTGTTTTTCGGCGACAGTAAATGGTATGAATTGGTATACTTAGTCCCCTGTATATATATCGATATATGTATGTGTAACTTTACAGGTCAAAAATTCTTTTTGGAAATGTGAGGAATGATAACAACGAAAGGAGTAAATCCCTTTCTATTTTTCTATAGCTTTACAGCATTTACTTCTGATTTTCTTTCTTTGGAAATGTAAACAATTATAACAATGAAAGGAGTACCTCTTTCTATCTTTTTTTGACCCTTTGGCTAAATTGCCATCTAACTACAATATCCTCACTACTTTCGGAGCCGCCAGCCGTGATCCAACACTGCAGCTACAAACACCACTTTCATATCTGAAAATCTTAACTCTGGAAACAACATTTATTTGGCTAGTTAGTAAAAAGTAAAACAGAAATATCAGTCTGACAATAAATCTGCTCAAGTACAGCCTTGACACTGTACAACCTCAATAAGCATCTGGCGTCATGCCCCACCAAAAAAGGACCACCCTCTCTCTCCTCGAAGCTGCCCATCTCCATCCTCTAAGGTCTTCCCTTCCACCCATCACAGGCATCCAATCGAATCAATTGGCCGCAAAGCACCCTACGCTACCAACCATGGCTCTTGGACGCGTCGTCTTCCCGAGCTCCCGGTTCGTCTGCCGCGGATGCTCTCGCCGCCTGACACCCACTTCGCGCCGCGCCTACTCTGCCTCCGCCGTCGGCGCGACACCCTCCCATGACATTTACGATGTCGTCTGCGTCGGCGGCGGCCCCGCGGGCCTCAGTCTCCTCACAGCTCTCCGTACGCTGCCATCCTTCTTCTCCACCACCCGTCCGCCCCCCTCCTGCCACCCTACTGATCCCCCGTACCTGCAGGCTCCCACCCGGTCACCGCACACCTCCGCGTCGCCCTCGTCGAGGCGCAGGACCTGTCCAAGGTTGCCTCCTTTTCGCTCCCACCGACGCAGTACTCGAACCGCTGCAGCTCCCTGACGCCCTCGTCCGCACACTTTCTCAACGAGATTGGCGCCTGGTCGCACATGCAGCGCGAACGCATCCAGGCGTTCCAGGAGATGCAAGTCTGGGACGGCGTCAGCGGCGCGCGCATCGAGTTTGACTGGCAGCACCGCGGTGGCGACGGTGGCAGCACCCTGGCGTACATGACGGAGAATCTCAACACCACGTCTGGCCTGTTGAAGCGTCTGCGGGAGCTCGGCGGCGTCACGGTCCTGGACAACTCGCGCGTGGAGAGTATCACCCTGGGGGAGGAGTCGGAGGACCTGGACTTGAGCGGGTGGCCCGTCGTGCACCTTGCAGGCGGGCAGTCGCTCGCGGCGCGGCTCCTCGTCGGTGCGGACGGCGCCAACAGCCCCGTCCGGGCCTTTGCGGGCATCGAGGCCCGCGGCTGGGACTATGGCCGCCATGGCGTCGTCGCCACGCTCGAGCTCGAGGGTGAGGGCTGGGGCGGCGCGCATACCAAGACGGCGTACCAGCGCTTCCTCCCCACGGGGCCCGTTGCTATGCTGCCCATGCCGGGCAAATATGCGACCCTGGTCTGGTCGACGACGCCCGAGAACGCCGCCGTGCTCAAATCGCTGGCCCCCCAGGACTTCCTCGCCCTCGTCAACGCCGCGTTCCGCCTGCCGCCCGTGGACGTGGCCTACATGCACACGCAAACAGCCGGGCAGCAGGAGGAGCTCTCGTGGCGCACGGAGCACACGCCGTTCGACGCGCACGCCGTCCCGCAGGCCGCCGTCGCCGTGCAGCAGGGCAGCGTGGCCGCGTTCCCGCTCAAGCTGCGGCACGCCGACACGTACATCGGCGAGCGCGTCGCGCTCGTCGGCGATGCCGCGCACACCATCCACCCGCTCGCCGGCCAGGGCCTCAACCAGGGCCAGGGCGACATCCAGAGCCTCGCGCGCACCATACAGTACGCCGTCGGCCATGGCCAGGATCTCGGCACGCAGATGGCGCTGGAGCCGTATAATGCCGAGCGATACGCGGCTAACCACGTCGTGCTCGGCGTCTGCGATAAGCTGCATAAGCTGTACTCGGTAGACAGCGGCCCGCTCGTGCCGTTGCGGTCGCTGGGCCTTCGCGCCGTCAACAGCTTCTCCTCGCTCAAGGGCTTTCTCATGGACCAGGCCTCGGGGGCGGGCACCAAGGTGTTTTGAGCAAAAAACTGTAAAATGTGACCCGTTTTCAATGTACAACTACCATGTATCCAACAACAAGCAATAAATTTAGAATCACATTTCTTTTGGCTGGTCTTGTTCCACAACGTCTCAACGCCTGGTGCTATAAAACCAAGATTCTAATCGACTAAAGAAACGTTGTATTGCGGAGTATATACTGAATCTCCTAGCCAGCTATGACTACAAACAAAAGGAAATCAAAAGAAGCCCCATTCTACATTTCTACATGGCCAAACAAAAGGTCTCTACCGATCAACCTCACCTGCGAGAACAAGTTAGCGAATGCTTTGCCCGATGACAGGAACCGTGGGCAACTTACCAAACACGAGATCCATGGTACCGATAACAGCGACGGCGTCGGCAAGCAAGTGACCCTTAGCGACGTGGTCGAAACCACCAAGGTGGGCGAAGCCAGGGGCGCGAATGTGACAGCGGTAGGGGCGCTCGCTGCCATCAGAGACGACGTAGACGCCCATCTCGCCCTTGGGGGCCTCGATGGCGGAGTAGGTCTCGCCAGGGGGGACGGCGTAGCCCTTGGTGTAGAGCAGGAAGTGGTGGATGAGGGCCTCCATGTTCTCCTTCATGGCGGAGCGCGGGGGCGGAGAGATTTTGTAGTCCTCAACGCGGACGGGGCCGCCGGGCATCTGGTTGAGGCACTGGTGGATGATGCGGAGCGACTGGCGGAACTCCTCCATGCGGCACAGGTAGCGGTCGTAGCAGTCGCCGTTGGTGCCGACGGGCACATCGAACTCGACCTTGTCGTAGGCGTCGTAGGGCTGACTCTTGCGGACGTCCCAGGGCACGCCGGAGCCGCGCAGCATGACGCCGGTAAAGGACAGGTTCAGGGCCTCGCGGGCGGGTAGGACGCCGACGCCGCGCAGACGCTCGATCCAGATGCGGTTGTCCGTGAGCATCTCTTCGGTCTCGTCGATGCGGTCGCCAAACTGGGTGGCCCACTGGTAGATGTCGTCGAGGAGGCCGACGGGGATGTCCTGGTGGACGCCTCCGGGGCGAACGTAGGCGGAGTGGAGGCGGGCACCGGAGACACGTTCGTAGAATTCCTAATGGCGAGTCAATGCCGGGTATCTGGTAAAAACGCGCAAGGCGTGGGGTCGGCAAACACATACCATGAGCTTCTCTCGCTCCTCAAAACCCCACAGGAAGGGAGTCAGGGCACCGACGTCCATGGCGTGCGAGAGGACGGACATGAGATGGTTCAGGATGCGGGTGATCTCGCCAAACAGGGTGCGGATGTACTTGGCACGGTCGGGGATCTCAATGTTGAGCAGCTTCTCGACGGCGAGGGCGAAGCACTGCTCGTTGGTCATCATGGAGACGTAGTCGAGGCGGTCAAAGTACGGCAACGCCTGGAGGTACGTCTTGTACTCGATGAGCTTCTCGGTGCCGCGGTGCAGCAGGCCGACGTGGGGGTCGGCGCGGATGATCTCCTCGCCGTTGAGCTCGAGGATCAGCCGCAGCACGCCGTGGGCGGCGGGATGCTGCGGGCCAAAGTTGACCGTGTAGTGGCGGACCTTGCGGTCCTCGACCGAGTTCTCCTTGGACCGCCGCTTCGTCTTGGGCTCGGCGTTCTGGAGGCCGTAGATGTTTTCGTTGATGGCAAAGTCCTCGTCGACGGGCACCAGCCGGGTCCCGACGTGCTCGGTCGTGGCGTACGGGCGCGCGCGCGTCGTCGACAGGCAACGGGCGGCGGCTGTGTGGCGGGCGGCGACGGGACGTAGGGCCAGCCTTGAGGCGGCGGCGCCGCAGGCGGCCAGTCTTTGCAACGTAGCCATGGGCGGCGAAAAAAGGACGGACGACCCGGGGGGAAGGACGGCGATGCGGGATGTATCGGAGGGGGAGGGTCGCGGGGAAGGCGGTGGGAGAATGTCGCAGAGCCTCTTTCTGGGGTTCAATGGCTGATCCAGTCGTAGGATAGCACCACAGAGGCAATTGGCCGATGGATATCGAGGAGCCTTTGAGATCGTAGTGGTCCAGCTTGATTCGCGAAACTGTAGCTTGGTGAGTGCGAGTGGATTCCGTCGAGGCCCGGAAATTTGTTGATGCGTTGGGCTTGGCCAATCACCGCCTGAGCATTAGCACATTTCCTGGCCAAATTAGATACAAGTGATCACGCTGTCATTGCTGCCGAATTGAGGTACCAGTAAGATGGCTAACCTTGTAAAACGCCAGTTGAAGCTTTCAAGTCTCACTGAAGCACCAATTGAGCTGGAATTAATTTCAGCGACTCACTCAACCTACGTGGAGGCACACTCACTGTTGCACTGCGGAGTAATTCGTACTCAATGTCCAACAGCTGCAAACCGTGCCAGCCCTGCGACACCCACCACAAGTGATTGCTGGCCAGCCCGCATCCAATCATGGCTGCCATTGTTAGCAATCGGCGCTGTTATTAGTGCTGGTATGACGAAGGAGCACGCGCCCAGTCAAGCCTCACCGGAGCAAGCTGCAGGAATAAATATTGTGTGGTAAAACAAATATTTGAAGACTTCTCGTTTCTACCCTCGTCAAGTACATTATTTCTATCCCATCCGCCAATATGAACGCTGCTTTTTTCGTTCCTTCAAGCCATCATCACCACCACCACCGTCCGTCGCACGCTCACCTGCACAATAGGAGCAACAATGCGGAACCCGACGCAGCAAATACACTGGACAACATACCGCCGACGCCTACCAATATGACGGAACCTGTTCCAGAGCGAGATACTTGGACCAGTCGATTATCGGTTTCGGAGTCCAGGCTCAGCGCTAATGGTCCACCGTTCTTTCGAGAAGCGACTGCTGCGGCAGGCTCAAACGTAGCTGCCGAGGTAGCATCCATTAACGCAGCTCCCACGCCAGTCCTAGATAGCCGTGTGGTGCTTCGCGTAGGCGAGAAGCAATTCTTCACCACGCGGGCCACGCTCGCCGAAAGTCATCTCCTCACAGCGGTGCTCAGCACAGATGCCACGCACGATGGCGAGTACTTCCTCGATGCCGACCCGGACATGTTCAGCGAAGTGCTCCGATTCTTGCGTATGCGCCGCTTCCCGCTCTTTTACGATCCGTCGTCGGGCTACGATACGGCCAAGTACCTCGAGCTGCTTGTGGCGGCGCAGTTTTATCAGATCCCCACGCTGGAGATGTGGCTGACGGAGAAGCGCTACCTGGGCGCGATGAATATCAAATCAGAGTACAAAAGATTCAGACTTTTCGGAACCGATCAAATCTCGCGTATGCATGAGCTCTGCTGGGACAGGGAGGAACAGGGCCGCATTCTGAGCATCTCAGAGACCAAAGGCAAAGCCCATGCATGCCCGCAGAAGCTGTGGCGGCATGACGGTGACCAGACAAAGTGCATGAAGGCAAGATGTTTTCAGCAGCGCTCAAGTGCGGTGCCTGGCCCGGTGATGATGCGACTGGTTGATCTGACTGTTCTCGTGACAAGATCCGACATTCGCGAGGGCGTCTTGTCGGCAGGTTCATATCCTGACGGCCCGCCGCCATATCAAGGCGGAGAGGACGGATGATATATCAGCTTTGCTCATGACATGGATGGATTCTGTTGCATCGGCATAAGGCAGCGTGTATTAGTTTGAAATGAGGTAGATGTTACCGTTCGTATAACCTTCAAAAATATCGAGCAACGAATGTCAGTTGGGTCATGATCCTAAGAATGAGTAGTTGTTTTCTTGAAATAATCAGGTCGGAGTCTTTACAAAGCGCGCCTTAGCCGGAAGCTCTTTTAGTATTGACATGATGCATTCGTTTCGGCGGATTCTGAGTTACATTGCTGGGGCTGCTGTTTGCTTCAACGGTGACCTGCTTGCGTATTGGCCCCTTGGCTTCAAACCGACTCGTTTTCGTATTAATACCCGGGCATCATCACAATATGGTTCCAATTTCATTTCTTCTGAAGCGTGTTTTAATGCGAAACTGGGAGGCTGATTGATAGGTCTCCAAGTCGCCTCGGCTCGCCGCTTCACCGTGCTGAACAACTGCTCAGGCTGGAGCCTGCTGTCAGCCAACCAACCAGGCGACAAGCACTGCGCGCCGCTCCCGCTTCCGCCTGTTGCCACAGACAACGGTGCTTTCTGTTCAGCATTCAGCAACACTGATTGCCCGCCCACCTTGTGATTTTTGTCCTTTTGCCTCGGGCAACACTTCTTCGCCACCTAGCTGCACGCAGGCATTTCTTGCCCTCTGGCATCTCCTACTGTCGAGCATATCTTCTTTTTTTTTATGCAAGGATACACACTCCCTCCTTCATCGCTCTTCCTGCCAATCCGCTCCAGTCAGTTTGACCCGTGTGCTTTATTAGCCCTGTCTCAGGTTCCTCGAACCGAGAGCTGCACATCGAATTGGCCACGCTACCACGGCTGCAGCCTCTTCCGCACCATTCATACATTTCAGTCCCTCAGCCACGACATCGTCTGCTAGTTCTTGCCCATCATGTCCGATGCCGACGACTATCTTCAGCAAGGGTTTAACCCGCGCAACGTCACTATCCCACGCTTGCGATCCATCCTTGTCACGCACGGCATTGATTACCCATCCACAGCGAAGAAGACACAGCTCGTAGCTCTAGTTGAGGAGCACGTTTTGCCCCGAGTCCCAAAGCTGCGAGCAGAACGCGCTCGCGCAAAGCGCTCCAGTCTTGGCATTGTTAATGCTGGCAGTGCGCAAGATGACGGCCTTTGGGATGACGATGAGCTGTCGCCTCCCCGCCCTACCTCTCGACGTTCAAAGTCCCCGCGAAAGAGTTCCGCCCGCGTCAAGGTCGAGGAAGAGGAGCCTGCCACTCCCATATTCCGCACCGAGCCCAAGCGCAGTTCTCGCGCATCGCGTTCCGTTAGCAGACAGCTCTCCCATGGCCCTGAAGATGATGCCCACCTTTACGCCGCGTCCGTTTCCTCTCGCCGGTCCAGCCGCCGGACTGTTACGCCTCAAATAAAGCCTGAGCCTGAGCCTCAGCCCGAACCTGAGCCTCTGGTGGAGGAAGAGGAGGAAGAATCCGAAGAATCCGAGGAAGATGACACCGAAGAGGAACCAACGCAATACGAAGAAGAGCCGAGTGTCTTTACCCATGATAACCCCTTCCAAGGTGGCAGCTCTTCGCCTCCTATGCAAACGCCCAGCCGGCGGCGAACTGTGAGCGTTGAGCCTATTAAGAGCGCAAAATCTGATCGCCGTCGCACAGCAGTTGCTACAGAATCCACTCGCGCTGCCAGGCGCTTTGAAATGGCGACACCTCCTCGCCGCTACAAGAAGCCGGACCATCTACTCGAGCCGGGTGAGGAGTTTACTCCCGACGCACAATTAGAGCTTGAGGATGAAGCAGCTGCCGGTGACGTAGCAGCTATTCGCCGACAAGCCGTTGTCAAACAAAAGCGTAGGGGCAACATCAAGACACCCTTCTTTGTGCTCTTGATGGCACTATTTGGCGCCTATCTTGCCTGGTTCCGACAGGAGAAGCTGGCCGTTGGATACTGTGGCTTGGGTCGGCCCGCGAAGCAGATCATTCCACCAGATATCCCTGTCCCGGACGCTCTCCTACCTTTTATCGAGCCCGAATGCGAGACGTGTCCTCAGCACGCTTTTTGCTACGAGGACTACACCGTCCGCTGCCAGGATGATTTTATCCTGAAGCCGCATCCTCTTGCTCTTGGTGGACTTATTCCTCTGCCGCCAACTTGCGAGCCTGACAGCGAAAAGGCTCGACGTGTACAGGCAGTTGCTGACAAGGCCGTTGAAGAGCTGAGGGATCGCCGCGCAAAGTACGAGTGCGGGGAGTTGACAAACGAAGCCGGCGAGCAGGAAGACTCTCCAACAATTGCCGAGGAGGAACTCAAAGCTACCGTTAGTGAAAAGCGCAACAAGCGCATGAACAGTCAAGAGTTCGACGAGCTTTGGGAAGCTGCTATTGGCGAGATTACTGGCCGAGATGAAGTCGAAGTCCAAACGACGTAAGTTACCCATCGCTTTTTATGTTTACGCTGCACTCCCTTCCGCAGCGAGTCTCCCGATAAGTCAACGTTCTGACCAGTTCCACTAATCAGATTACAACCTGATCCCACAGATCGCCCGATTCCCCCGGTGTTTCAAACAGAAGAATATCGTCCACCTCTCTCGCTCGCCTTCCGTTCCGCTGTGCGGTCAAGAGATCCATCCGCAGCGGACTGGCAAGATATCGACTCCCAATTGGACTTCTGAGCATGCTTGTCCTTGGTGTATTATATCTAAAAGCCAGCTACCGCAAGCACCTCGCGACCTCTGCTCAGATCCCGGCCCTTGTGGATACGGTGTTGGGAAGGCTCGCAAACCAAAAGGAGCTGGGCGATGAGGATCTAGATGAGCCATATTTGTTCCTGCCGAACCTGCGAGACGACGTTCTCCGCTCTGTACACTCGCTGACCGAGAGGGATCGCATATGGCAGCGCGTCCGAGTCGTGGTGGAGCAGAACAGCAATGTTCGCACAAGCCAGAGAGAAGGTCGCAGCGGCGAGGTCGGCCGTGCATGGGAATGGATTGGCGCCAGTAAGGGCGAGGCCGCGAGACGGCGACGCAGCGGCCGGGTTTCGTGGGCACCCTCAGACATGGGCGCCGAGACGCCCGAGTCGAAACAAGACGTTGAAGTAAAAAAGTGGGAAGAGCCGAGGCCAATATACTAATTGGAAGGCAGAATAATGCGCCCGGGTTGCGTTTGTTTGGGCAGAAATGTACATTGTATGATTTGTATTGCTGTAATGCTACCGCATTGTTTCTATATTACCACGCTTGATTCTAAATTCATACATTGCCGCGCATAAGCGCACCTTGGGATTTGGTGTTTTCGTCGAGTCTACTCGAGACAATACCAATCATATATCAAGTTGACGGAGGGTCCCGCCAGCCAGTAATACACAATACATTCACGTCATCAAACGTCAAGATATTATAAGGGAGACTCAAGTCTCGTTGTATTGCTAATGCACAAGTGTTGTTATATGCACAAAGGGTGTTGTGACAAAGGGAATAGGTGGACCTTGTAATCTATTCTAGACAAGCCGCTTATTGGGCCTTGGAGCTGATGATCTCTGCAGAATGAGTTAGCCAGGTATTCATGAAGCTGTGCCGTTGAACATACTCTCGACGTCAGCAACGCTTTGCTGCAGAATCTGCTGCAGAACCTTGGGGTTCTCGAGCTCCTTCTGGACCTTGGCGATGATGGACTGAGCGAGCTCCGTCTGCTGGCGCTGCTTGACCTGGCTCTCGTAGCGGACCCAGGAGTCGAGAACAGTCTTGGCCTCGGCGGCCAGGGCAGTCTTTTGCTCGAGCTCGAAAGCCTGGGCCTCGAGTCTGGCGGTTTCCTACATCACACGTGCACCGTCAGCAATGACGTTTCTCTCGGCACTCGGTTGCCAATCTCCCCCTCCCCTTTGCGCCATCGCTTACCTTGGACACCTCGAACATGGCCTTGGTGATGTCGACGACGCCGCTCATCTGCTTAACGTCCTGGATACGGGCCTGGACGGCCTCGGTGTGGTCGACGCGGGCCGAGTTGAGGATGTTCCTGATCTTGTCGTTCTGGCTCTGGGCCCACTCCTTGTAGGCCGGGCCGCCGTACTTGATGAGGCCGCCCCAGACGGAGAGCAGACAGACGGCGATGACCGTCTCCTCGTTCATGACGTAGTACTCGCTGCTAAGGGCGTAGATGCTAAGGCCAGCACCCGAGCTGAGAATGGCCGTCTTGCTCAGCAGGCTGCTGCCGGGGAGGCTGTCGAGGATGCTCTGCGCCTTCTTCTTGGGTTCCTCAGCAGGCACGCCGGTGGTGCTCGCGTGGCGGGCGGTGGCGGCGAGTGCCGGGAGGGCTCGGCGGGAGACGGTAGGTCGGAGGTAAGGAGCGGCGCCTGCGCGAAACGAAGGAGGTTCCGGGGTTAGCTTATCGAGGCCAATTGGGTTCGGAAAAGTCGGGCCGCGGGCGAATTGACATACCGGCAGCGCTTCGCGCCAAGCGGGAGGCCATTGTGAGATGATTTCGACGGGGGGCGTATGGGGTAAACGTGTCGATGATCGGGAGCTTTGAATGAGGGTGAGGTTTTATCGCGCTAACTTCTCGGGATGCTGAGGAGGATCACGTGATGCTGTCGCTGTTATTGCGGTCGCAGACTCAGCCTCGGCGCAGTGAGTTTAGCCGATTCTTTCCCGTAGCCAGATCCACCTTTTCGCTCTCGTCGCTGATTGGCCTAAGCTCAGTACCTTGCTAAAGATTTCCTTGAATTTTTGGCTTATCGATTCAACTTTTTCAAGAAAGTTTCACAAATATACCATTTCAGCCAGCTTTTCATTTCTCTGGAGAGTCCTTGCTGCGAGACAAGCTTGAACTCTTGGATACTCTAGGGAAACTTCATGCTCGCCATTTCTAGGCTGTTCTAGCATCTTCCAATCTTGCCATGGCTCCTGCTGGCCACCCAAGCAGCGCCAAGCGCAAACGCAGTGCTCCCTCTGAGAAGGTTACCAAGCGTCAGCGTGCCGCCTCTAGCGAAGATGAGGAAGACCCGAATGCTCCCATTCTCCTCATGGAACAGGAAATTCTCGAGTCCAAGAAGAACTACAACAATATCGCTCTGCTTCTGCAAAAGGCGACCAAGTCTGCGTCTGGCAACCCAGAGTCCATGCTCGCTACCGTTGCCCTGTGTCGCATCTTCATGAGATTTTTGGCGCAAGGCTCTCTTGTATCGAAAAAGTCTCTCTCGGAAAAAGAGAAGGTTGTCGTTGCATGGCTGCGAGACCAGTATAGCCAGTTCAAAGACGTCCTGCTGGATCTGCTCAGGGAGGACGATGTTGCCGCCACTGCCCTCACGCTGTGTATGCGGATACTGAAAGCGGAAGGTGAATATCTAAGGGACAAGTCAGATTATGCATTTCCTCGCGATTTCATGGCGAATATTGTCAAGAACATTATTACGAGTGAGAACGACGACATCCGCAAGATCTACATTGAAGAGTTTGCCGAGCAGTATGATGACATCCGCTACTATACGTTTGCCTGTGTTGCGTAAGTACTAACATGTTAACCAACTACTAAGTCTGCCCCTACTAACTATTTGTTTTTAGTTCCGTCATCAAGGATCTCTCAAAAGACAGTGATCACAAGTCGAGGCTATTTGAAAGTGCCTTCGCTCTCATCTCCGTTCTCGATGGCGTACCAGGATCAGCAGACGAGTTGGAGGACTTTTACATTCACAAGCCGGAAAAGAAATCGCACTCTCTGCGGCAACCTGGTCAGCACAAGAAGCAAGCCCAGGACGCCTGGTTTGCTCTGATGAACATTATCGAAACCAACGACCAACGCAAGCGCGTGCTGGCGCTCATCTCAGATGTGATTGCGCCGTGGTTTTCTAAGCCTGAGATGCTCTCAGACTTCCTAACAAGTTGCTACGATACCAGCGGATCTATCGCACTTCTGGCCTTGTCTGGTGTCTTCTACCTGATCCGGGAGCGTAATCTCGACTACCCGTCTTTCTACCCCAAGCTGTACTCGCTCCTCGACAGCCAAATCCTCCACTCCAAACACCGAGCGCGATTCTTCCGACTCGTGGACACATTCCTCGGCTCGACGCACTTGCCCGTCGCCCTCGTTGCCAGTTTTTTGAAACGACTGGCTCGCCTGTCCCTAAACGCGCCTCCAAGTGCCGTGGCCTTTGCCATTCCTTGGATTTATAACATGCTCATGAAGCACCCATTGTGCACCTTTATGCTTCAAAGAGAAACCACAGACGAAGAGGCAAAGAAGCAATTAAGGGATCACGGCCTGGAGGACCCTTTTCTGGCCGACGAGAAGGACCCGATGAAGACCAATGCCATCGATAGCAGCTTATGGGAACTTGTCCAGATGCAGTCGCACTACCACCCCAACGTCGCCACGATTGCAAAGATTGTGTCGGAGCAGTTTACCAAGAACTCGTACAACATGGAAGACTTCTTGGATCACTCTTATGCCAGCTTATTGGGGGCTGAGATGGACAAGGAAGTTAAGAAGGCGCCAGTTGTCGAGTTCCACATCCCCAAGAAGATCTTCCTGCCGCAGGAACAAGAATCAGGGGTCCCTGATAGTCTCTTGGTGAAGCTCTGGGATTTCGAAACTGTCGATGCCTGGTGGGTCTAGCGGTGCGAACGGAAGAGAACCTGAAAGGTGTATTTGAATGGGCATAAGCGATGTTGCTTGCATGATATCTGGCGTTTATTTTGTATAGGGTATTGTTTTGTATATACATCTGGCACATTTCACTCAAGAGATAGACACGAGACTTCTGTGGTCCTACGAAGCTATCTCATCGCTCACCACCACCTTCCATCGCTTCTGTTCCTGGTCTTCTCCATGGTTATCACCTGCAGAGGCTCACTCTTTTGCAATGCCGGGTCGCAGACCTGGCTGGAGAGACTCGGCCTGGTTCATGCAGCGTCGCTTTTTGCTAGCAAAGCAGTGCGGCGCAGTGTCTTTTAATATGGTACTGAATGGGACCCATTCCGTCACGCTCCTGGATGGAATCAGACGTCGCTCCAGAGCCTCGTTGTTTGCGTGCGAAGCTGGGGAATTTCGGACTCGGCCGACTGTCACGAAACGCTAGGCTTAAGAAAACAAGGCCAATCAGCATAGTATTGCCTTGGTAGTGTTTCTAAAATGTTTAATATACTTGGAACGCTGTAGGACAATCCATTTCTGGCATACTAATCGCTGGCCGTCTCTTGATCCGTTGAGCAACTCCCACTCGTAAGCTCTCTTTAGATGTGCGAACAGCAAAAAAATCTTGCATGAAGACCCCTCCTCCATCTCATAATCTGCAAAGAAGCTTTCGCAGCAGTAAATCATTGCTGTACTGTTTCAGCGCCATTAATTGCCATTCTTCCCAGACCGTATTAACACCAAACACCTTCAGAATCGCCTGAGCTAAAGGCTGCGCGTAGAACCAGGTGGGCTCAAGGTCCGGGGCCAGACCCCAGAAGAAGCGTCGGACCTTTTCGTCAACCAGGGCCGGCTGACTGCAGCACGCGTATACGCCTTCCTCGCGCATGGCGTCGGCGAAGGCAATGTCGTCATTGCCCAGTGACACCTGGCCGCCGTACAGGTTACCAGTGCTCGCGGTAAGGAGGGACAGCCCGAACGCCTCTCGACGGGGGACAACCCGTGCCATTTGCCAGTTAATGATGCCAGTAATGTTGAGGTCTGCGTCGACAAGCAAGTGGTCGCCCACATCATCTACATGTTTGATGAAAAACTGTTCGGGAGCGGACCCTTCATCTGGTGGTATCAACTGTGCGATGTTGTCCTTTAAGAACCTGTATACGAGGTATGCCTTGATGGGATATTCTGTATAGAGCTGTCTGTCTGCGATGAGTTCCAGATGCTGGTCCACAAAGGCTGTGTAGTATGCTCTTGCGTTCGGAAACGGGCCCTCGGGCATTAGAACACGAGACCTGTCACTTGCAAGCGGCCAAATTCTGTAGTATTCACCCAGTACCATTAATGATCCTGCTTGGGTAAATGGGTGTTGTTCGATTTGTACCATGATCTTGGCAAGACTCTTCCAAACTTTGCGTTTCTCGGCCGCTGTTGCCGATTCACGGCTCCATTTCTTACCCGGCAACTCTTCCGTCAGAATGAAGGGGACGCCAACCTGGTGATTTTGTGTCCATGTGCCGTATGCGCGGACTCGAGGGGCCGGAACGCGTGTTTGTGCGAGGAACATTAAGGTTGCGTACTCACTCTGGATGATATAGTCGACGAGGGGTGGAGGAGAACTCGTGTAAGAAGTGACAAATGGCACGCGCATGAGCCAAAGTGGTGAACCATCGTCGAAGCGAATGCGGGCTTGGTAGTTGAGGAGATATTCGGACTCGACCTCCAAATTATGCTCGATTTGGCAGCGTCTATTGCCGTTGAGGCGAGATGCTATGCTGCACACAGCCGCGTCGTTGATTAACTGTCGGAGGTTGTGGAGGAGGACCTTCTGCCGCGCGGTCCTGATATGCGCATCCAGGCACTGTACACTGTGTTAATGATTTCGCTACCCTCAAGTCGAGAGAAAGAGCCAGGCGTCATACCCTGCAAGTGTGAAAGGAGGGGGAATAATGTTTGGCACACAGGAATTGGCCACAAGTGTCACAGCCACCTGTTCTCACGCTGGGGCTATCGCATTGCGGCGCTGAGCAGGTGCAAAATCGGGTAGTCATACTCGACAGCATGCATAATTATTTTTTTTGATATAAGAGAATGTAAGAAGGCTGGCGCCGATGATGTTTTGGCACGCATGCTTTGATCCGCACTCATGTTCCAGTTACAGCTGGACAAACTACTTGGGCAGTCGTTGGCACAAAAAGTGTATTGCGGAAGGAGCCATCGTGGAGGCTAGGCGACGTCTACGAGGCGACCCATGGATGCTTTCATCTCACCGTTGGTTACCATTACAGGGAAGCGGCCAGGATGGAACTAATTCACAGGTCATTTGGGCGCAAGACTGGCTGTGCCCATAGAGATGATGTGGACCAAAGAGTAATGGCTAATAGCCAGCATTCCAGCAGTCGACTCGACCATTGTCAACGTCTTGGACTATGCGGCATGTGCGCTTCCGTCACCGTTGCGGACAAGACCGTTGACGGGGTGGATGCCAAGTACGAGCCGCGGAGCGAACGCGACGCTGATAATGCTGCCATGTGTAGGTGAAAAGGAACCTGTTGCTACATGTGAATCCGTTCTTGATGCGCCGAGGGTAGATGACGCAGAGTTATTTGACGGCGCGGCCGTTGGACTGCAGCTGATAGGACGACGACTGCAGGAGGAAAAAGTCATGGCCATGACAGGTGCCCCGACAGATTGACAGATTCGCCGGCGAGGGAGTTTGCACGTCAAGGGACGGCTTATTCTCTTGAGGGCTGGTGCTGGCGAGGAAGGCCTAGAGCGGACGGAGGCCGCAAAATGTTTCAGACACTGCATCTGACAATCTCAGACACTGTATTCGCTTGATTGATTAGCATGGTGTTGATGAGACGGCCAACGTGTAGCAGTCGTGGCAGTGTAGCAGGTGCCAGGCACAGGAAACGAGAAGGGTGACCGGGCTGACGTAGCATGAGCAGGGGTGCGAGACTTGGGTTTGGTGCGTAGATGTTGATTTATAGTGTCGGTGCTGTACGGAGTAGTGATTGTGTTGAATCGGGAGGGTGGTGGTGATGGCCTGATGGGCATGATGATGGGAGGAGGAGTTGCTACCCAAATTATTATTAGTAGGTAGCAAGGATAACGTTAGTTATGCACATGGATACTTTAGGTCGTTAGTGGTACTTGGTACTTGAGTACTTGGGTACTTTGACCACTGGACCGCTTGTGTGGACCCGCCGCCACGTTGGCCATTCCTGCAGCTAATTGCTGTACATGTTGTCTACAGATTCGGGACACTGGGAAATAGAAATGAAAATGAACATGGGCTGTACGGATACCACCTTACCCTGTACATAGGTATGTAGTTATGCGGCGTCGACCCTTGCCTATCGGAAAAGAAGCAAGATCCGCAATAAATTAAAGGCTCCCACATCCGCTCTTCTTTGCTGATTTTTTTAAAAGCTTTTGCGCTTGAGTGACATCACAAAATAACTGCCTCCTCGTCCCAGTGCCTTGGCAGCTCAACATTGCTATCAGACTAACTTTTTACACAGACTGCTCATCAGCTACTAACGAATCGACTAGCACCACTTCGGGCAGCCCCATCGCCACCACAACAACGCCAACTCTAAACCAACCGCCGAGAAGAGATTGTTCACCCCCATTTCCATTTCCAGTTTCCAGTTTCCTTTTTTTCGTCTTCATTTTCCGTTTCCCATTTCCTATGCCTATTGGCCCTCGCACGAGAAAATACTTCCCGCACCCGTCCTCTCGACGACCACCATTATACCGCATGCCGATCTCGCGAGACAGTTCCCAGCCGTTTTCCGTCGGAGCTGGGCACTTCGGTTTGATACCTGACCATCGGAACAACACACGCAACGCAAGCCACCTGCACTCAGCTCTCGACCATCCATCCACTATATCCTCTCTCGCCCCTCTGCCGTCTACCTGCACATGCGCAGCACCATCAACATGGCCAGCAACCGCTTCAACCCTCTAGCTCCCGCCTCTGCTAGCAGCAATCCCGCCCCGACATCTGCACCGGCACCCTCCACAAATATCGCCGGCCCAGCGTCATCTGCCACCGCCAAGCCTAACCGCCCGCCTCGTAAACGAAAAGGTCACCGCGGCGGCAAGAAGACGAGGTCTCGCCGCAAGAGCTTTGCTCTTCTGCACGACGACAGCCATGACGAGACCGACAGGGCTTCTTCTGCTGGAGGCTTCTATAACCACCCCCAAGGAAACGTCAGTGCTGGCAGCATCGACAGCGAGATCCTGCTAGATCATAGGTGCGCCTCGCCTCCAGCGCATTACCGCCTTCCCGATGGCACATCCACTCACATTGTGTAGAGAGCATACGCCAATGCGCCCTCGACGTCCCTCGACCGTCGCGCCCGACCGATTCCAGAATCCCCTTCCCAGCGCCAACAGCAGAATGCGCTCTATCCAGACCCATCACGGTAGCGATAGATCCGGTCCGGCAACGCCCTGGGATGAGACGGCACCATTGCTCTCCGACTCTAGTCGGCTCGGGGCCACCGCTTCCCCCTGCTACGGAGGCGCCGATAGCAGAACGCAGAAAACAAGAAGCCGAAGATCGTCAAACGTGTCGTCCAACACCAGGCTGGCCGCCGCGTTTGGAAGAAAGGATCCCTACCATGTGAACAACCCGCCCTCCGTTCCTGGGTCTCCTACTTTTGGCACAATCGATCATCACAACGCCATGACCTTTGGTGATGTAATGCTACGCGACGAAATCGCCATGAGAACGGGTAGCCCCAAGCGCGCTACCATGAATGACGAAAATTTCTTCAACGACGAGGATGGGCATCACCATGATGATATACACACTCCGCACCCCGATGCCGAAGCCGACGTCTGCTTCCCTGCCCAGGGCATGTCTGAACTGGGTGATGACGAAGGCACCACTCGTGGCGATGGTGCTCAGCACAAAATTCGCCGGCGCCGACGGCAGTGGCCGGATTTGTCCGTCCTCGAGGAGTGGAGGCAGTTTGAAAAAGAAGACAGAAGCGAGGGGCGCAGAACAAAGAGGATCACAGAACCCCAGCTCATCAACGGTCGCCTGCGCCCCGTTCGCAAAGGCTGGTTCCAGACCGACGAAGAAGTCCCTTATCGCTTCACCTACTTCAACGAAGAATTTCAGAGCACCATCCACAGCCACACCATCTCGGAGCTTGTTCAACCCGGAGGAACCTTTCGCGAGCTCTTTATTCCAGACCACCGTATCCTCTCCGACGACGAGTCTGAGTCCGGCGACGATACCATGTCATTTCCATCGCGAGTGCCCAACGCAGCTGCTGGACTTGACCCTGATTCCCACCGCTCTACTCGCCAACCCTCAATATCCGACTCCGCTCGCAGAGCCTTCTCCCCGCATCACGTTATGCCAACCGCACAGACACAGCCTCTGGTGGACGTGTCCACCCGGGACAGCACCCGTGATAGCTCCAGGGCGCCCTCCGTTAGGGCACCACAAGCTGCTACAAGCGCGCTTCGCAACTCAGAAAGCACAATGTTCAGACCAGTCCCAGAGCCTCTCGATCTGACTCCTAAGCCGGAAAGGCCGATCCGATACGGCGACCGGCCGGTATGGTGGCTCAACGTTGTCTGTCCCACGGAAGAAGAGATGAAGGTCATTTCTAAGGCATTCGGCATTCACCCTCTTACCGCAGAGGACATTATGGTGCAAGAGGCGCGCGAAAAGGTTGAGCTCTTCCGCCACTACTACTTTGTCAACTACCGGACCTTTGATCAGGACATCCACAGCAACGAATATCTCGAGCCCGTCAACATGTACGTGGTCGTCTTCCGCGAGGGTGTCCTCAGCTTCCAGTTCTCCATGACGCCGCATCCGGCCAACGTGCGGCGACGCATCCGCCAGCTGCGCGATTATCTGCTGCTCTCGTCGGACTGGATCTCCTACGCCATCATTGACGACATCACCGACGTGTTCCAGCCTTTAATTCAGAATATTGAGAATGAGGTGGACGAGATTGACGAGGCCATTCTGCGCCTGCACTCGCCCCTGGAAAGCGCCGACGAGAAAAACAAGGACGACGGCGCGACCATGACCGAAGCCAGCGGCGACATGCTCCGACGTGTGGGCGACTGCCGAAAACGCGTCATGAGCTTGTATAGACTTCTGGGCAACAAGGCCGACGTCATCAAGGGCTTTGCAAAGCGCTGCAACGAGCGCTGGGAAGTGGCCCCCAAGTCAGAGATTGGGCTGTATCTTGGCGATATCCAAGATCACATTGTGACCATGACTTCCAACTTGAGTCACTACGAAAAGTATGTCCTTGCCGCTTCTAAAACCCCCATTTTTCATTCAGCTTAAACTGACCCGTATTTACAGGATTCTGGCCCGCGCCCACGGCAACTACCTTGCGCAAATCAACATTCGCATGAATGAGCGCCAGGAGCAGACAGCCGACGTCCTCGGCCGCCTCAGCGTCATCGGCACCATTGTGCTGCCCATGAACCTCATCACCGGCCTCTGGGGAATGAACGTCTGGGTCCCCGGCCAAGAGTACGAGGGCAACCTGCAGTGGTTCATGGTCATCACGGCCGGCCTGCTGTGCTTTGGCATAGCGTGTTACCTCCTCGCCAAGCGCGTGTACAAGATTGTCTAACAGCGACGATACCTTCTCTTCCTTTTGCAATTATTGGCTCTTGATTTAGCAAGACATGGCGTGTTGTTCTTCTTTCTTGTTTTTTCTTTCTCTTTTTACTTGATGGAGTAAATTTGTTTTTGGACAAAGACAAACCATGGGCATTTTTTTCTCACTTTACAGATATAGATAGTATTTGGCGGTATGGCAGAAAGCTGAACTTGCCGCAGTCTCTTCCTTATATCTTCTTGGTTTTTGCAAAAGGCTGGACATTTTGTGCGATAGGAAGGTTGTTTTAGGCAAAGAGGCGGCTAACTATCTTCCCCGACTACGATATGACGGATTGTTACATTTGCGATTGATAGAAATATATATTCCCACATAGAATTTCACATACACGATACTACCAATATAGTATTGCCTCACTGAGAAAGTTTTTCGTTGCTGCCCTGCGTCTAGTCTTCGCTCGGAGCATTATTCTGTATACAGGGGCAATTGGCCACACATCCCAGCAGAGGCAGCATTCCTGCTCGCAACTTCCCGTTGCCAGCATATAAACGCCAAAACGCCATAAACCAATGAGACTTTTGGGTGAAGGACTTATTTTCCCTTTTCAAATGTTTACAAAATGTGCCGCGGAAATCATCGCCTTCCCTGACCGACAAAGGCTGCTCGCAGCGCCATAACTTGTTGTTTTTCCGACTCGGGTAGCATGTCAATCTGTGCCTGGGGGAGCTCCATCAGCGCGCGCATGAGGCCGTCCGTGTCCTGGCCACCCGCAGCAGCGGCTGGGGCGACCGGCGGCGTGTTGGTCGCTTGCGCCTGTGGGTAGCCAGCAGGGACGCCGTAGCTTGCAGGCTGCTGCTGCTGCTGCTGCGGCACGGTGGGGGCGGACGGCGCGCCCGGTTCAATGACCGACTGGATAGCCTCGGGAGACACCAGGCCCATGAGGAGCAGCGCCTGGAACACGGCGTACGCAAGCTGCGGTGCCTGCTGCAGTAGCTCTGCGGCGCGCTGGGGATCCGTCGTGGCCAGCGTCTTCATCTGTGTGAGGATGTCGAGGAGCTGTGCGGGCGGGAGCGTGTTGAGCGTCCGGGAAATGGCATCGGTGCACGTCAGGCCCGGCGGGATGTCTTTGCCGGGAGGCAGCGGCGGCAGCGACGACGGTTGGGCCGTGTGCGAGGTTCCGTTGGACGTGGTGCCAGCATTCTGTACACACGCAGTTTTGGTTAGCTCTCCTTCCTATCAGAGCAGAGCGGGGATTAGGACTGTTTCACGGACAGGTGTGTAGTCATCATCGGAGGCTTTTTGCTCGTGGGAAAAGTCGACGCGCAGCTTGCGGCCCATGATTTCGTAGTCGTTTAGATTTCGGACGGCCGAGGAGGCAGAGTCTAGAGCACGACAGCCACAAAACCGGGTTAGATTTGAGGAAAGACAGGAGAGAAAGCAGGTCGAGGTGTGCTGGCTGGGTGTGCATGTGTATGGGTCGCACCTGTGTCGGGGTACTCAGCGAAGCCAAAGCCTTTGGGACGGCCCGTCTCGGAGTCGTAAACGAGGCGGAAGCGCTCGACCTTGCCAGCGTCGCTGAATATGTCGGTGATTTGTTCCTCCGACAGTCCTGTGCACGCAAAGAATGTCAGCTTTCGTGCAGGGACCTGCGGCACGATCCGGGCGGCGCAAGCCGGCGCCTGGCCAGCTTGCGACAGTTACGCCCCAACGTACCGTACGGGATGTTGCCAACAAAGACAACACGCGAAGGTGGGCGCGTCGACATTTTCTCCCAATCCCTTCTTTATTGATCGTCAAGCGTGAGGCAGTTGCGTATCCGAGGCTTGCAACTGCGACGCACAAAAAGGCTGCCAGGCCGTTCGGGTGGTAGGTACAGGATGTCGAATTGGCCGGCGAATTAGTGTTCGTCGCGTTTCGTCTGCAGGTCGCGGGCGAGTTCGCTATGCCGTGTCCTGGGTCCGAGATATGCGGAATAGGTTGGATTTGATGACCTGGAAGCGCAAAACCTAGCTTGCGTACGTAGCCTTTGACGAAAAGATGGCCGTTGGTGATGGGCGCGCCGTTGGTCAAAGCAGCTTCGGCGATGGAAGCTCCAGGCTCTGCAAGGTGCCTTAGTAGGTACCGGCGATTTGCCGACCACCGTCCCAGGTGACAACGGCGATAACCACTCAAAGAATTAGTAATATCTTTATAGCTATGAAACGTCAATTTAAGAATCAATGAATTCTTTCCTTTATTTAAGCTTAATATGTAATTCTCGTCTTATTAATTACTTCTTTTTCATTTCGTTCTCGTCCTGCTGCTTTGGTACCTGGCTACCAGTTTTGTACCTTCCCATTTATATGGGGTGCGACGGACAGGTAACTAGACTTCTGCTTAGAAATGGCAATGTAGGCACACTTTTTTATATATATAGTAAATAAATACCGTGATAATTGGAATGGACCTTTTCATGACTTTTCCTCTCCGCTCTTCACTTGGCTTTCCACAGGCACACATAAATAGTTGCGTGTTAGGATCGCAGGATGGAAGACCACTGCTGACTAAGGGCCAAGGGTCACCCCAAATTAGCAACTTGGGGCAGTGGGGATGGACCCGTGGCAGCCAGCGTCTAATAACTACTAGTACTTGCGACGGTGGCCTTAATTAGCGACTCTCATACCACTTCGACACCAGCCGCATCTTGACGCTTTTCCTCCAACCTTTGCCATCCCCTATGATTCTGGCAGCCGAGGCCAATTGATTCGAGTTCTTGCAAGCTATCGCTGGTTCTTTTACTGGCACTGCCATTCCTTTTTGGCAGCAACTGTCGCGTCGTGCTGCCACTCTCTAGATCGAGACCATTTCGTCTAAGCATCGCCTATGATGCCGGCCAAGTCAAGATTCACAAGGCTTGACGCCTTCACCAAAACCGTCGACGAAGCCCGAATCCGAACAACTAGCGGTGGCGTGGTTACCATTGTCTCCCTCGTCGTCGTACTGTTCCTGGCCTGGGGAGAATGGGCCTCGTACAGGACTGTTGTCATTCGACCTGAGCTTGTCGTCGACCAGGGACGCGGTAAGTTGCGCAAATAGAACAAAGGCCACCTATCATATTATGCGACTAATGCGAGCGGTACTGCAGGCGAGCGCATGGATATCCATCTCAACATTACATTCCCCCGCATGCCTTGCGAGCTGCTGACCCTCGATGTCATGGACGTTTCTGGCGAACAGCAACATGGCGTCGCTCACGGTGTGCACAAGGTCCGTCTGCGTCCCGAAGGCGAAGGCGGCGGTGTCATTGACGTCAGCTCGTTGAACTTGCACAACGACGCCGCCGAGCATCTTGACCCCAGCTACTGCGGCGACTGCGGTGGCGCGCCGGCCCCGACCACCGTCACCAAGGCTGGTTGTTGCAACACGTGCGAGGAAATCCGCGAGGCGTACGCGCAGGTGTCGTGGGCCTTTGGTGACGGCAAGGCATTTGAGCAGTGCGAGCGCGAACACTACGCCGAGCGTCTGGAGGAGCAGCGCCACGAGGGCTGCCGCATCGACGGTCTCTTGCAGGTGAACAAGGTGGTGGGCAACTTCCACTTGGCGCCCGGCCGCAGCTTTAGCAACGGCAACATGCACGTGCACGACCTGAAGAACTACTGGGAGACGACGGACGACAAGAAGCACGACTTTACGCACCACATTCACCACTTGCGCTTCGGTCCCCAGCTGCCCGAGACAGTGGTCCAGAAGCTGGGCAAGGGTGCCACGCCCTGGACCAATCACCACGGCAATCCTCTGGATAGTACCAAGCAGCTTACTAACGACCCTAACTTCAACTTTATGTACTTTGTCAAGATTGTCCCGACATCGTTCCTTCCACTGGGCTGGGAGAAGATGGCACGCACGATGAACGTGGACGCCAGCGTGGAGACACATCAGTACTCTGTGACTAGCCACAAGAGAAGTCTCACCGGTGGCGACGACTCTGCCGAGGGCCACGCCGAGCGTCTTCACTCGAGAGGCGGTATCCCCGGCGTCTTCTTTTCTTATGTAAGAAATACGTTTGCACGAGTTTCGAGCAGGCGAATTCGCATCTAACATGTATAGGACATTTCGCCCATGAAGGTTATCAACCGCGAGGAGAAGGGCAAGAGCTTCCTCGGGTTCGTTGCTGGTCTCTGCGCCGTCGTTGGTGGTACTCTGACCGTTGCGGCCGCTGTCGACCGAGGCCTGTTTGAGGGCACTACAAGACTGAAGAAGATTCGATCCAAGAACCTGTAAGATGCATGGCTGCGGGGTTGTGTTGTTGTTTTTGGGTATCAAGTCGGAGAGAAAGAGTTGTTGTAGCATTTTGTCAATTTGGCGTTTTGTTCTTTTTGCATGACTGGTTATTGTGTGATTTTTGCGCTTTTGGCAAGACAGATATCAAAAGATGAGGGACAAATGGAGTTGAAGAGCCGATGCATCAGAGTAGCGATGTGCTGCAAGGGGGATCTAGCGCGTTGTTACTAAGAGTGTTATTGAGAGGCTGGGTCAATTGGGTATGCAAGATGGCTGGTCTCGAGGCATTGCGATTGTAGCAATACATATATATGTACATGTTCACCAGTGCGGCCGTCATAGATTTGGAACGGGAAAGCAGGATTAAGTTTGAAGCCATGTCGCACAGAAGCATTTGTTTGTTTGCATCGAGTGATTATTACGGGCCTGGGAGTGACAGGGGAGGGAGGAGCATGTTTCACTTGAGCGTATGCAGGTACGGGAGACAAGACGCATTGTGTCTCTTGCAAGTTGTGCATGACTGATACGACGGCGCCCCAAACGAGTGGCGTGTAAACGAAACTGGAACGACGACAAGAGGAAGGAAGCAAAGGAAAGAATTTGTAGGCCAAGAGCGGACGCTTTGGAGAGTTGCAACGGGACAACTCTTGGCTTTGGAGGGCAGCATGGAGGTTGTTTCTGTTTGGCGAAATGTGGGGAGGACAAAAGAGGCGTTCAGGGGTGCATCTTGCTGGCTTGGCAGGATGTCGATGAGTTGGGAAGCAGCTCTTGATGTGCAAAATATACAATCGGGAAACAGATATCGAGAATACTAGTATCACGGTAGGCACCACGCGTGATAGAAACTCTAATCATCTCTACCGATAACTCAATCTCTCTTCTTCCTCGTCTCTTTTCATCAAAACTCCCAACTCTACTCTCTAGATTTTTTACACTCTATCAAGACTGCATCTCAATGATGCCTTCACACAGAGTCTACACAGACGCTGGTATATACTTATTATACCATATATCTAATGAAATACTAACTGATATTTTAGAATTACTACCATGGACTATCCGCCTCGGCCTTGTCTACCACACTGCTGCACTCATATCCCGACTTGGACAAATTGCAACACGATATGCCGGCCCAAATAAGCTGCTGATATCAATACTTCTCGTCATTGCATTTAATCTTGCGCCAATGCTTAACGCTGCTGTCTGTAATGAGGACACGGCGAACTTGGCGGGCTGCATTCTATGGATTGGGGCGCTTTTCACTCGTGGTGTTGAGTTTATGGAATACCTTTCACAAACTGAGTTGGAATCTCGGGATATTGTGACGGAGGAGTTACTATTACCGGCCTGTGAGACTGGGGCACATAAGGAGGAGGAGTCAGAATAAGGGCGTGTGGACGTGAACAATAATCAAGCGTTTTGCAGTACTACAAGACTGTACATAGTGTTGTTGTGGCTTACGCCACTGACGGCAGATTACATATTGGACAGCGAATTCAATTTGAAGCTTTTTTCTTCCCTTCCTCCAACGATGGCCTGACCCGCAGTTCATAACGCTTATATTGACGAAACTACCGGGCATGTTGTTATTATCATGGACTTGAGAAGGGCGAAAATCTTGACAAAGCGTGGGTGAACTATACTGAACCCGAGGGTCTGCCGTGGAATATTTGAGTGCGGGATGTTCTCCAGAGTTATCCCGTATGGGAACAGCATGCGACTGACTGCGGCCGGGGCAGGACAAGGTACAATGCAGGACAGAAGACACGAGGACACATGGGGACGAGAGCATGCGTGTGCCTGCCGGTTTGCATCCGTGATGGGCGATGGGCTTATTACTGTTTGTTGCAGAAGAGCTTTTGCGCTTGTGCTTTTTATTATTTGGTCGAGGATGGTTAGAGGTGGGGCTGCTATAACGCTGCACGCTGCACGCTGCACGCTGCACGCTGCACGCATTGGCCATCGACGACCGCCACAGAATAATATCAAGGTGGGATATTGGAAATGAGGAATTCGTTGCTAATGTTCCTTTCCGCTGACTGATTGACTGCTGAATGGCTGGCTGGCCCTCCCTCCCTCCCTCCCTCCCCACACAGCCACCACGGCCGCAGGCACAGACAGGCACAAGGCACCCACTAAACAAGGCACTGGCTGGCGACAAGCACAAAGGCCTTGCCAACTAACTAACAGCTGGGTAGGTACCCAAACGGTTCTGATGCTGAGGTGTAGCAGTCTGCCGTAGAATACGGCAATTTGATTTGACCGTCCATTTTAGTAGTCTTTTTAGCCCACTATTAAAATAAAGGGACCAAAATCCACATGCAGAAGCTGACGTGCTGTCTGTTGTCCCCCAATCTGCGCCCCCCTTTCCACGCCGTTTTGGCCTGTCTCTCCTCTGTCCGGGGGGAGACCTCACACCATTGCCCTGCTAAACTAATTTGTACATTCGTACCTTGTAGCAGGTTGGCGGGTTTGTTTTCGGAGGTACGAATAGCGCAAATCTGCCCCGGCTAACCCCCAATTTGTTCCCGTTGACACATCTCGCTCCGTCTCCCTTCCGCTTCTCCCACCACTCCTCTGCTTGCTCCTGTCGTTTCTTTTCTCCCCCCCCTCCTGGTGTTTGTCCCCCTCCGCTGCAGAAATCGCTTCCTTCCGCCTCTGCGCCCACGCGGATGCACTGTCGTCCCGTTTATGCCTCCAACAGTCTGTCGTGTCCGCACCTGCAATAAAGCAGGTTCCCCCGACTACCCAACGTCTCCGCATGCCTTGACAGCCAACCCACCGTCAGAGACTCCTCGTCTTCCAACGTTTGCACCTGCCATTGTGCACCTGCGTCGACTCTGCTCTTCTTCCTCTCATCGGAAATCTTTCATCGCTTCGCTCACTACTCTTTTCTCGTCTCGCGCCATCGCGCTGCGCGTCTTCGTTTCTTGATCACGTTGCGACGCCATATTCGACGACATCTCAACCATCATCCCGTCCGCTACATGCGAGCCCTTACTTTTCTACTCCAACTTCGCCCCCTGATTGTTAGGCACTCTCGCTAGTTAAGGCACCCGAAATCCTGTCGCAGCGCTGCCCGACCCCCCTCCTCGCCTGCCTCAATTTAGTTTTGCGAATCGACCGTCCTGGCCAGTGGCCTAGTCTCTCACCATGGGCGACAGACGCCCAACCCTGTTAGACCTGCGAGCGAACTCGCAAGCCTCTGGCTTCTCGAGCGCCTCCAGGCCCCTTCGCTCCCCTCGCTTGCATATTGCTGGTGAGGTGCCTCCCGAACTTTCACCTCTCGACGCCTTTGCTCTCCAGAGTCGCCTCCTCGCCAAGCAACTTCAAACTGGCGATAAAGATGGCAACAGGGTCAGCCGCCTCCCGCCTCTCACTCTCCAAAGCCCTTTGGTCGTACAGGGCCGATCCGAATACTTTCGCTCCATGTCCCAGGAGCCCCCGGCCCACCCCGCCGACTCGCCTAATCGCTCCAACGACTCCCTCGGCTTGAAAACTGCTTTCGAGGATGCCTTTGAATCGAGCGACCGCCCGGTTTCCATGCACCCGCGCATGAGCCGTATTCCGCCTACTCTCAACGACGCTCCTCCCATGCCGGGAGCCTTTCCCGAGATGCCTCGCGGCCGCCAACAACTCAACCCCGATGACCACGAGAGCTTCTTCGGAGCTCGCACCCGCTCTCCGTCGCCCATTCAGAGCGATACACAGTCGCAGTTTGAAAGACGCTCGGAGAATTCCCCCGTCCGAAATATTCCCGGCGCGTTCCCTTCCACCCAGCTCGCAGTCTCTCCCGAAAGACCACGCCCATCCTTTGAAGACACTGGCCTTGTTCCTCCAAGGCCGCCCTTCTTGACCAAACGAACCTCGAGTATAAAGTCTTCCCCGCCAGCCTCGATAGACGACGATGTCACCAGTACTCCCGCCAGCTCTTTTCATTCCACCACGGCCCGTAAGCTGTCCTCTGCAAGCAGCGCCTTTGCTGCTCCCGGCGCTCTCCCCAACAGCTTCCAAAGATCTCCCTCCGTAGCGTCCGATTGCTCAGCCCTTCCCCGTCCATCGTTCAACTTTTCTCGCCCGCTCAGTCGTGCTGGCACTCCCTCTTTTGACCTGCCTTCTAGACAGGCCTCTTCCGACAGCCAACCCTCATTCTTTCTAGCCGATGATGCCCATACTCCGGTCAGCATGCATAGCGAGGCATTCCTTGATCACCAAGCAGATGAGGGGAGAGGCACTGGCCAGTCTTCTTATATTTACTCCAAGTTTACTCTTCCGCGAGGAAAGGCTGTGCAAAGATCAGAGCCACCCGAAAACTATCCTCTCACGCCTTCAACCTCTCATCCACGCAAAATGTCGGGTGCGCCACCTTCTCCACCAACTCGCCCTTCTAGTTCATCAGCGAGGTTCATGGGAGACGACGCCTCTAGCTTCATTGCCCGGCCTTCATTCGATGCAGGCAAGACGAGCCTGGACATTTCCCGAATGGCTCCCGCAGGATACCCATCTCCAAATTCGAGCCGGCCGTCCGTCGAGTTTGCCCTTCGCCCAGAAGATGTTGCTCGCGGCCGAGACTTGCAATCCACCCTAAATGACGCACGTGGAAGAATGCCAGCACCTACTGTTACATCGGATAGTGCCGGGACTATTCGACCGCCCCCGACAGCGACGTCCTTTTCATCTTCTTTGCCAGAACTCACAGCCGAAGACCATTTGGACAAGGGCATTCAACTGCACGAAAATGGCTCACTCAAAGAATCTACATATCATCTGCGACTTGCTGCCAAACAAAACAACCCTACCGCCATGCTGCTTTATGCTCTTGCTTGTCGCCACGGCTGGGGAATGCGCCCTAGTCAGAAGGAAGGCGTCGAGTGGCTTCGCAAGGTTGCCGAACATGCCAGCGTCGAGGTTGCTGATGATCAAGACCATGTCAATGAGGGAAAGCATGTCGATGTTCTTGAACGGCGAGCGCGTAAGGCACAGTTTGCCCTCAGCATCTACGAGCTTGGAGTTAGTCATATGAACGGCTGGGGTATCGAGCAAGATAAGACACTTGCTCTGAGATGTTTCGAAATCGCAGGCAGTAAGTACACGTTTCGGACTTGGTACGAAATCAAACTAACAGAGCCGTAGACTGGGGTGACGTCGATGCACTCGCTGAGGCCGGCTTCTGCTATGCTCAAGGTGTCGGTTGTAAGAAGAATCTCAAGAAGAGTGCCAAGTTCTACAAACTTGCCGAAGCCAAGGGTATGAGCATGGTTGGCAATAGCTGGTATGTCACGGCTCCAGAATCTCCATGTCTTCTTTTAACACAATGCCAGGATCCACAAGGCCAAGTACAACGACGATACTGCCAATGACGCCCCCTCCAAAGACACCCAAAAGGCTCGTAGCAGATCACGGGCGCGGACCATGTTTGGTTTGAAGCGTTCAGTAGATTAGCAAGATCGCAATCTCACCAATGATCCGCGACTAAAGACGCCGCAAAAACAGCGGGAATCGACCTGCGAGCAATAACGATGATGAAAAACTTTGCCAGCATTTTCAACTTTTTTGTTTCAACATTATACTCTACGTCCCTTACTTTTTCACATCTCTTTTCGGCATAATCGACATTGGAGTTTTGCAGGCGCGATCAGCTCTTGTCACAATCGCTATTACTAGTTTCCTTTTTCTTCCTTATACCACACTGTCTTCTGCTGCCACTTGGGAGTCTAGGCAACTATCTTTCTTAGCTGCTTTGGGTGCCAGCGCTTTTTGCAGCCTCTGTTTCTTTTTAATGTTGGCGGATCTATCCTTTGACTGTTGGCCAACAACGGCTACAACGTTGTGCCATGCCATGTACATTACACTCCAAGTTGGTGTACTCCCTTTTTATATTATCTAACTCAACATATTCGAGATAGCTACACGTTATCCACCTCTTAGATACCTGGGCGTTCGCTTCTTCTTTAATCTGCCAATGCATCTATTGGGTAATATAACTATTCCATATGTTAGATCACATCTTCGATAGAAAGCATAAGCCTACAGTACGGTGTATCGATACGGTAATTGGTTCAAAACGGTGATATTGTTACAGCTTTATCGTCCCCTTGTATCTAACCGCATATCATGGCTGCCAGGACAGCGCGCAAGTCTTCCTCGCCAACTCTTTCCGTGCGTCTACCCCCTTACGTATCAACCTCCATCTGGTCACCCTCCGCGGGTACCTCCTGAACCGTGATATATCTACCAATATCATTCTTCTTAATAATACGCTCGTCGAGGACGTTGGTGGTGCCCTTGGGGAAGACGTAGCTTTGCAGCTTGAGCGACTTTTCGTTGGGCTTGATAAAGTTGCGAAGGAGCGTCGTCTTTTCTTGCGTGATGACGGCGACATCAACATTGGAGCCGGAGCCGAGATCGTTGAAGATGCCAGCGAGAATGGCGTCGCTGGTGAGCTTGATGGCCTCGTCCCTGGTGAGGTTGGCCTTCCACTGGGTCTCAAAGACGCTCATGGCGGCGAGGGAGCCGCTGCCCATGGTGACGTAGGGCAGTTTGTCGGTGCTGCCGTGGGCGTGGACGGTGAAGAGGTGGGTGCCGGTGGGATCGCAGCCGGCGACGACGAGGTAGGCGCCAATGTGGCCCTGGTAGCGAAAGAGGTGCTGCTTGAGCATGGTCATGCAGGTGACGACGCGTGGCTTACGGCCGGTCGAGAGCGAGTGCAGTTCGAGCTGCGACGAGATGAGCGCCGTCGTGAACTCGGTGTCGGCGGCCGTGCCGGCGCCGGCGCACCAAATCTGCGGCGTAATGTAGTGCAGCTTCTCACAATTCTTGTCGGCGACGATGGGGCCCGACGTGGCTCGCGTATCGGCGGCAATCTTGAAAGAAACGAGACATGTTAGAAGGGGGGTTGATGGTGCACGTTGGCTTGGGCTTTGAGGGGGGGGGTATCAAACGTACCACGACACCACCATCGAATATGCATCCGACAATGGTCGTGCCGGTACTGGTGGCTTTTGGCAGAGGCACGCCGCGTGCGTGCAGGGCCGCATTGCGGTTGTAGTTGGTAAAGTCAAACCCGGGCATCGTGGCTGGATGTGGTGGGCAAGCAAGCGCGAAAGCTTACGATGAAGCTCCGTTTGCTAGGGTTTCTATTTTTCGTCGCGGGAAAAAGGGCGGCTAGGATCTGTCAATGTTGTAGATACCAGCGCTCTGTTGGTGATGGCTCCAGATTGACGCGGTCGGGTGGTTTTGGTTGGGCAAGACGTTGACAGGCAGAGAGCTGATGACGAGGCTAAAAGGTGCCTCTACCGGCGCAAGAGTACCGACTGTCCCTTGGGCAGCTTGTCGACCGACAGGCGCGTCGCTGATTGGCTGAGCTCCCCAAGGTTGCCAACGCTGTCGCAGCCTCTGGGGGCTGGAGTGCTGCACGTGACTGGAGAGCCTCACCATATTAAACGGAAAGAAGACTCGACACTCGCAGCAAGTATAGCGTTTAGATAGAAAAGTCAGGCAACAGTGAAGATAACTTACGCATGACTTTCAACTGTCAGTTTAGTTAAGCTCGTAGTAGATTTCCCTTGTTTTGTTATAAAAGTCATCTTCAATGGCAGGAAGCGTTCTGCCCAACAGCCCCCAAGCTAAAACGGTAGGTTACTGCCTCTACTGGACGGGGCTGGGCATGTGCAGGGGTCCGCCAGCAATCTGTAGAGCCTCCAACCTTTTTCGAAATCCCCATTTCTGCCCATCGATTCACCATCGCGTTTTCGGCCCAGGCGCCTAGCACAGCCCTTCCGGAAAAGGGATTCTTCTTCTCAGCGTCATTTGGCATTTGTTTCATTTTACTCACGATACCGACGCGTTCTTAACAGAGACTGGCTTGCTTTTCGGTCCTTTCCAGCGCCTCCAGGCACAGTGTCCTGCCAGTGCCGCCGGCCAGGGCAAGAAATAACAGGAGCTGGCTGGTGCATCGATTCACCACTTCGTCCGCAGTCAGCATCGAATTGAATATCGAAGCAGGGTGTCAAGTTTGGATCAATAAGACGGAGCAAAGATGGCTTTCAATGCCTTCTCACAAGGCGCAACAGGCGGAGGTGGCAATGCGAGTGGTGCTGTAGATGGGCAACCGCTGCGGACTATCCAAACGGAGGTACGTTGACCCTCCTCGCGTTCTTTCCACTGTTTCAACCCCAATTTTAGTATTCTACGTCTAGGTACTACCTTACTGACACTATGCTTCCCAGGCTCTTGGTTTCCAGACTATTGCAGGCGACTCCAAAATCCGCCTGACGAGTCCATGGTCCCAACCACCACCCTCGACGGCCGCGCTCCTCAGCATCGCTCCGAAACGGGGACTTGCCGCCGCCGCCGGCCCCGACTACATTGCCTTTGCCACGACCGAGTCCATCCGCAAGGCCTTCGAAGCGCCCAAGGAGGGCGAGTCGGACGTGCGTGGCTACGAGCCACAGCTCAAGATGCCCATGCCCATGCGCATCTCGCAGCTCGCCTTCACCGCCGACGAAAGCTACTTGCTGCTGTCGGCCGAGTCGGGCGGCGGCCTCGCCGTCTACGAGGTACAGGCGCTACTGCAGGGCGCGACTGGCCCGGCTTTTGAGCTGCCCACCGGCGGCCAGGCCCTCCGCGCCCTCGCGCCCAACCCAACCGCCGAGAAGGCCGAGCTGTGCGCTATTGTCACGCAATCGGGCGAGCTTCTCATGGCGAACCTCCGCGAGCGGCAGGTGAGCGACGTGCTCAAGTCGCAGGTCAGCTGTATCAGCTGGAGCGCCAAAGGAAAGCAGCTGTGTGCTGGCCTTGGGGACGGCTCCATCCGCCAGATGACGCCAGATGGACAGGGCAAGGCGGAGATCCCCAAGCCTCCAAGTCTTGGTGAATGCCATGTTTCCTCTCTTACCTGGCTGGAAAACCATCTTTTCTTAGCCATTCACTCTTCCAGCAACTCGCCCGCCGCTTCTGCGTATCACATCATCACCAGAGAGCCGCCTTCGTCTTTTCAATTTCGAAAGCTCGCCGATCCTGTTGAGCCTTTTGGTTCCGAAAAGACGCCTCACCACAGCATCCTGCGTCTACGAAATTTTGATCCAGACCTGCAAGACTTGCTTATGATTGCCTCGACAGCTTCCAGTGACGTCGGCCTGTTGACTCGATCCAAACGGCCGCTCGCCAATGAATGGCCAGCGGACCAGATTTCAGGCGTTTTCACCACAACTGAGCTCCTCGATGATACGAGGCGCCCGACGCTTCCTATGACCGATTCTATGGATGATTCTACGCCGGTCGGTGTAAGCCTGGACCTGTCGAGTAAAGAGAGGGTGTACCGTCCTATTCCCTCCGACGAGGAGCTCAAGGAGTCTCCGAGCCCGCTCCCGGGTCTGTGGGTCTTGACACATGAAGGCATTCTATGTGCTTGGTGGCTCGTGTATACGGACTCGATCAGACAGGGAACTACATACTCTGGCCTCGCTATTGCTGGCGACTCGGCTGCTATGCCTCCTCCCGCACAGCCTGCCACTCCGGTAGCCTCTCCATTTGCCCCTGCAAAGCTCTCTGCCTCTGCCTTTGGCTCTACAACGCCCGCGGCGCCGGCCTTTGGGGCCCCGTCTGGACTGGGTCAGTCTTCTCCTTGGGGCTCCGGCGGCGCAGCCACTTCTACGCCGTCACAGATGGGAGGTGCCGCATTTGGCCAGAGCAGTTTCGGCAACGCACCGTCGACACCAGCGCCTGCCTTTGGAAAACCTTCATCTATTGGCTTCGGCCAATCCTCCCAGCTGGGCATGAGAACCTCGCCTTGGAATGTTGGCGGCGGTAATACTGCGCCGGCATTCGGACAGTCGAGCTTCGGCAGCTTTGCCAGTGCAAATAACCAAAGCCCGTTCTCAAGTACAGCAGTGAACTCCAATATTGACGGAGCCAGTTCCACTACACCTGCCTCGGGGGGTTTCTCCGGCTTTGCCAAAAACACCAGTGGCTTTGCGGCCGCTTCAAATAGCTCTGGTCCGAGCGTTTTTGGCAGCGGCGCGGCGAAACCAGCAAATAACCCGTTCGCCTCCACGACGACACCGGCGGATAACCCTTTCACGCCCAAGGATAAGGCGGGTGGAAGTGTTTTTGGCTCTACTCCCTTCAAGCTCGAGAGCTCATTCAAGCCGGATCCATCGGCCAAGGATGATGCTAACCCCCCTGCAGCTTCTGGATCGATGTTTGGTAGTGCGTTCGGGTCAGCTCTAACAGGTGCCGGGAATGGCGCAGACTCCTCCATTGTCATCGCTAAGGACGATGAGATGGGCGACGATGACGCTCAGCCACAAGCACCGGAGCCGCCAAAGTCGATCTTCGCGACCAAGCCAGCTGAAGTATCGACAACACCAACCACTACACCTGCGCCAAGCCGTTTCGGAGCCGTCACCTCCCCAGCTACGGGCATGTCCGTCTTTGGACAGCCCACCGGGCTTGGCAGCCCGTTCTCCGGCGGCAGTCTATTTGGGTCCAAGCCTGACTCGAATGAGGCCAAACCAGCATCTAGCATCTTCTCTCAGGCTTCCTCCACATCTAAGACGGAGCAGCCTGCTAAGAAGGAGCTTGAAGCACCGCTGCCTCCTGACGCAACTAGCAGAATATCGTATCCTCTGGGTGAGTCCTCGTCGTCTTCTGTATCTCCAAGTTCCACTAGCCAACTGTTGGGTTTTACACCTCCAGTAAAAGCAAATGAAGATGGGACCCCTCTGCCTCCCTTCTCACTCGCGCCAAAATCTACGAAGTCGGAAAAAAACAACATTGCCGATGATGCGCCCTTGCCTCCATTCACCATGGCGCCGAAGGAGGCTACGACGGCTGAGTCCGCGCCTCTCCCACCGTTCCTTATACCAAAGCCAGCCAAACCCGAAGAGGCGCCGCTACCACCATTTACCAAGACAGCAAAGGTCGCTGAACCACCCGCACCTCTCCCACCATTCGGAGCAGTCAAGTCAACGAAAGCTGCTGAAGCTACCCCTCCCCCCCCGTCAACAGCATCAAAGTCGACAAAGCCTGCCGAGTCTAACCCGGTGCCTCCTTCAAGCCAAAAGCCGAAATTTGGGATGTCCCCGTCGCTGTTTCCCTCTGGAGACACGTCGGTATTTAAGTCAACAAAGCCATCAGGACCAACGCCAGCTTTTGTGGCGCCGATCGGCCCTCCTCCCACTGACTCTGACGATAGTGACGATGACGACGATGGCGAAGAGGATGATGTAGAAGAAGTTGAAGCAGATGACGACGGCGCTGGATCGGAGGGAAGTGGTGTTGATGTTGCCAAGGATCTCAGCCCAAGTACTACTGGTCTTGTGCAGACGCCTGGTCTTACCCCTCAGAGCTCGTTTGGTGGAATGACAAGCACGACTCCCGCAACAGCCCGCCCTGAGCAGAACGCCGGCCGGGCCCTGTTTGGTGAGGTGGCTCGTAATGCGCCTTTGTTTGGCAAACCGAAGAATGGAGTCAGTCCTCGATCTCCAAGCCCTTTGCGTGGTGCTATTCCAAACCGTGTCATTCGCTCCGAGGCCTCTAGGTCTGTCAGTGCGCCTGGTATGGCCTCTCAAATCCTTGGTCACAAGAGCACGCAATCACATCTCGCCCAGTCAATCACGAGTCGCCAGCAAGAGAGCAGCGACCCATTCCTGTCACACCAGCGAAAGCTCCGCGAGCAGCAAGAAGCAGCAGAGACGAAGCCACTTGTGGATAAGGAGGATGAGGAAATCCAAAAGATTTTATCTTCCGAGGTGGAGCCCGCACTAGAGCTGGATGAGTTTATCGCCCACTCCAATGTGGCTCCTCCAGCGGAAGATAGCATTCCAGCGCAAGTTGAGGCCGTGTACCGCGATATCAACTCCATGATCGATACTCTCGGTCTTAATGCCAGAGCTGTCAAGGCATTCACGCAGGGCCACAGCGAAGTTCGTGGTGAGGAAGGCCGCAATAAGGAGGATCTTGAAACTGCTGATGAGTGGGTTCTTTGCGAAACAGAGGATCTGGAAAACCTGCTTTCAGTAGACCTTCGTGATGCCCTTGTTGACGCGCAGGTCCAAGATCTTCCCGAAAAGCTTGAGGCTTGCCAGGAGCTGGCTAGAGACATGCATCGGCTACGTGCTAAACAGGAGGATCTCAAGCGAGTTGTTCTGGCACGAATGGACCCCGACCAAGCAGATGTTGCCCGGTCGTTGCCGCTCAGCGCAGAGCAAGCCGCGCAGCAGAACGAGCTGCGCCGCGAATACGCCAACTTTACAAAGTTGTTAACCAATGCAGAGGAAGCCCTTACCCTACTCAAGGCACGTCTCGCGTCCGTGTCGGGTGCTTCGGGCAAGGCTGTCGGCTCTGTGCCTACGGTTGACGCCATAATCCGCACCATTACCAGGATGACGACGATGGTTGAGAAGCGTAGTGGCGATATCGACGTCTTGGAGATTCAGCTCCGTAAGATGAAACTGGGATCCGTTAGTCGTGAAGGTTCGCCGATGATGACGCCCCAAGCCCGACGCAGTCGCATGCTTTCACCAGAGGCGACGCCGTCGCGCGCGATGCGCCACAGCATTTCATCAACCAACGGTCTACTGTTCGGTCAGTCGATTCGCGCGACGCCACCCAGGAAGAAGCTCAGCGGTTTCAGCCAGGAGGAAAAAGGCGATCTCATGGACAAGAGAGCCAGGAGAAAGGCAGTGTTGGAGAAACTCAGGGGCAGCGTGGAGAAGCGCGGCGTCAGCGTCTGGAGCATGGAGGACGTTGAATAATACGAACATATCATGCGTTGACGCGGAACGAAACATTTTTTTGTTTCACACTTTGTAGTTTAGATAAGCAAGATGATATAGGCCCTATGGTTCAGGATGGTTGTATGTATGAAATTTTTATGCCAATCATTACGATGTGCTCGGCTCTTATCGGCACTGTACAGTCCCACCAGGCGGTTCGAAAAAGATGCTGGCTATCGAAATTTGTCTTGTAATCTAGTGGTTTTTATCACACGCAGTTATGGTGAATATTATGGTGTATATAGTTGACTAAGGGTTTCCTTCGCATGACTGGGCAGAAAGAAGGAATTGCAGGCCAAAACGGGCATGTTTGAGTTGAACTAATTCGTAGTATCGGATTAACCTCCCGGCAACTTCAGAACGCCAAATAAGCGGCCGCAGCAAGAAAATCCGGGCCTGTGGTCTAGGGGTATGATCCTCGATCCGCACCTGTGCAGCTCTGAGTTGCAATACAGTTGGTTATTGAGTGGTCCGGGGTTCAAATCCCCGTAGGTCCATATTTTTGCTCTTAAGCACGATTCTGCCAGTATTAACTTTTTTGTTCTCTTTGATCGAAGATTTGGGGGGTTTTTTTTTTCAAATTGCATACATCATGCAGTATCGTTACAGTTTTTCTCATTTACTCATCTTTGGGCATCTGAAAGTACAAAGAAGGGACCTGGAAGCTGCGACTAGCGTACAAGCCTTCTGGCGGAGCGCAACACCATCAACACAACTTTTTGGAGGGGCACTCAAAAAAAATTCCAGCCGTCGCAACATACAACTTTCATCGAACCAGTTCACACACCATGGCTCCCTCGCAACAAGCAGCATGGCGCAGCGCGCCCGATGCCGAGGAGCTGGAGCGTCGGAGGGTATGTCATTCACTTTTTTTCGCACTGCGAAGCACGGCATGGCAGCAATGCTGCAACTTGAGCAGCCTAGCGGCAAGAGAAGCCGTTGACGAGTGCGAACTGCAGACCAGCAAACCTAGGCAGCGGGCAGCCTGGCTAACCACGCATCAATCTCTAGACTGTCAATATCAACAAGGAGACTGTGACCGACATTAGCTCCATCGACTACCCTGGCCACTTCCCTGGCGAGGATGCCGCCTTCACACTCGAGCGCTTCCAATCGGGCTTCTCCGTCGACTTTCACCACAACGATCAATTCCACGCCGCCTTTTCGCTCATCGGCCTCGACGCCTCCCTCGCCAATGCGTTTCGGCGCATCCTCATCGCCGAGATCCCTACCCTGGCCATTGAAAATGTCTTCATCGAGAACAACACCTCGGTGATCCAGGACGAGGTGCTCGCGCACCGCCTGGGCCTGATCCCCTTCCAGGGCGGCCGCGCCGGCCTGCAGGACTTTCTCAAGTGGTACAAGAAGCCGGCCGATGCCGAGGATGACTATGCGGGCGGATTCGACTACAACACGGTGCGCCTTGAGCTCAACGTTACGTGCACGCCCAACAAGGACGCCGCACCCGGCGAGACGGATCCGACCAAGGCGTACCACAACGCGCACGTCTACGCCCGGGACATTGTGTTTGTCCCCATGGGCGAGCAGGAAACGTACTTTTCGGGCGCCGACGCCATTGCGCCCGTTAACCCGGACATTCTCATCGCCAAGATGCGCCCCAAGCAGACCATTAACCTGTCCATGCACATGCACAAGGGCATCGGCGCCGACCACGCCAAGTTTTCGCCCGTCGCCACCGCTTCGTACCGCCTGATGCCCGTAATCAAGATCCTGCGGCCCATTGTCGGCGCCGATGCGGAAAAGTTCCAGGCCTGCTTCCCAAGCGGCGTAATTGGCCTGCAAAAGGTCACCAAAAAAGACGCCACGCCCGGCAGCGGCCTCGAGAAGGCCGTGGGACAGATGCGCGCCGTCGTCGAGGACCCCATGCGGGACACGGTCAGCCGCGAGTGTCTCCGCCACCCCGAGTTTGAGGGCAAGGTCAAGCTCGGCCGCCGGCGCGACCATTTCATCTTTTCGATAGAGAGCACCGGCCAGTGGGACAGCGACGAGCTGTTCCTCGAGTCGGTCAAGCACCTCAAGATGAAGTGCCAAAGACTCGAGAAGCAGGTCCTCAACATGGCGCGGTGATTTTGCGAGGCATATATTGTTGGCGTATTCTTTTTTTGTTTCTATTTTGCCTTGTCGTTTCTTCAGCTGGCGCAGAGTTGTAAAATCTACAATAGGTTCTCTTTTTGGCTGTTCTTACACGATTAGATATACACTGATACCTTGGCTCTTCTGAGAAGAATAAAAGAATGGCTTGAGTATACCTGAGCAATTGAAAGGGTTGTATCACAATCAGTCATGTACCAAATCTGCTGTATTTGATCTACTGTTTTTCTTGATCAAGGCATGAAAAATCCAGAAAGTATGCATCTCCCCAACACCGCTTTAAATGCTCGCTCCTCTCCTGGTGGTCTTGTCTCTATACATGACTCCTCGAGGCCCATCTATGCCGTAAACTTGAGGAAAAAGTTAAACTCGAGCGGATACGCAGGATCGGTGACGACAACCTGCTGGCCATTCTCCAGCCCGAGCTCCACAATCGTCTTTTCCAAATTTGGCCGCGTCTGCTTCTCAAGGCCTTGGGGGAACTGCATGTACAGCGTCTTGCTCTCGGCGCGGATCGAGGGCCGCTTGAGCTGGGCCTCGGGGCGGGTGGCGAAGGAGTCGAGCAGGTCCTGCAGGGTGAGGCGGGGGTCGACATCGAGCGGGCGGGCCTCGTTGCCGCAGACGGGGCAGTCGTCCTTTTTCTCGTGCTTGAAGGTGTAGGTGTAGATGCTGTCATTTCCCGAGTACATCATGTAGTTGCTCTCGAAGCCGAGGCAGGGCGCGGCGGTGGTGGCAATCTTGAAGGCCTCGTTGCAGCAGGCGGCGGCGACGATGGCGTTGGTGGAGGCGATGGCGGGGATGATGTTCTTGATGGTGCCCTGGGTGAGGGCGTAGGTGACACCGGAGATGCCAAACTCGTTTGCGCGCGCCAGCGCCTTGTGGTAGAGCCAGGTGACGTGCTCCGGGTCGTCCTTGTCGAGGGCGGCAAAGGGCTTGTCGCGGTCCCAGGCGATGACGTGGGCCCACTCGATGCAGTGCTCGGGTTGGCGGGGGATCGAGGCAATGGTGCAGAGCGGGACAGCGGCGCGCGGGGCGTGCATGTCGAGCTGGCACTCGATGCAGGACGTGATGGTGGGCAGGATGACGCGGGCCTGGCCCTTGAAGCCTTCGGTGCCGCCGTCGACGAGGGGCTTGATGCCGTCGGCGTCGCCGGCCTCCTCGGCGATGCTCACGAGCATAGCGTTAATCCAGCGCCGCGCCTCGATGCTGTCGAGCCCGCACACGACGAGCTGGAACTGCTGGTAAAAGGCGGCGTCAAAGTCTTGGATGCGGGCATTGTGCGCCGTGATGGACACGCCCCGGACGCGCTGCTCGACGAAGCGCGCCGCAACCTCGGCCTTGTACTTTCCCACGTCGGTGCTTCGGAACAGGAACTGCCGGTTGAGGTTGGAGATGTCAATCGTGTCTGTGTGCGTGTGCGGGTGTGTTATTAGCAGACGTTGCGGTAAGCGCGGTAGCATTGGGACGCCGCACCCATGTCTATGACGTGAATGTCCTTGAACTTGGACATGGCGAGATTCTTGAGTATTTCACATCCTAATCCGCCAGCACCGCTGGAGGTGTCCTGTTAATTCTTAAAGCCAGGCAAAGACCTGGCGGTGGCGAGCTGGTACCTACATTACTCTAGAGCCCTGGTTAGTCTCTGGTGCGTCATGTATGCGGCATCAGTCTACTCACAAGATTTTGAAGTTGCTAAACATCTGAAGAGACATTTCCGATATGGCGTCTGGGTCGGTATACGGACCCGCCGTCTTGCGGATTGTGTCAATGTACTTCCTAGACTGTCGTGTGAGCTTCGCGGTACCGTTCGCGGCAAGGTGCAGCGTAGCTCACCATCGCGCGGCCTCGCTCCCAGCCGGAGCCGCTACGTCTGCAGCCATCTGAACCAGTGGCAGTCGGATTGGTCTGTCACAAGAATGCGAGATGATGCGTGGGCTGTTTGGAGTGCTGAATGCGATGTAGATGCAGGGTGCGAGGTGAGGATGACGACTGCGGGTAGTGAATCGAGCATGGTGGAACCTACCTAGGCACGACACTCAGGCCGGCCGCCTCTTCGGCCAAAACTGGTCCCCCACAGGCCAAATTACCCATCATTTTATCCTTGTTTGATGTAGGTGCAATTTTCCGCTCAATGATATTAAAATACTTGGGTATCCTCGTAAGCACCGTCACTGATGTGACCCTACTGCAGCTCTGTCGAGGAGTAGTGGCACGCTTTGGTGGGGCAGCGCTTGACGACCTTCATCCCACAGCACCAGGCTAACTACTACTTTTCAACAAACCATCTCTACGCTCACTGCACTGCACTCTCTACAACATCATTGTACTCACCCGCCGGCCACATGTCATGAGTCCCCATTCCAAATACTAGGCGCTGCAAGAGCAGAGGGTACCGCGCGCCATGGACGAGTTCCTCACCCCAGTCAGCACCACGTACCTCAAGGCCAAGGACGAGGTTGAGCCGCTCGTGCTTGAACGAAAAGGGCCAAAGAAACCCCATACTGCCGCAGTCATCACGAGCTTGGACGAGGCTGTGGAAATTCTCAAAAATCAGCCAGATTATGACTGTTTGCTATCTACTCTGCATTTTTTGTGCGACAACCCCGACACCATCACGGGCAAGCCCAGTCCGCAAACCGCAGCTGTCATCCATTTCCTCGTTACCGAAATCACTCCAAATTACTGGACTCTCCTACTAGAATCGTCTACGGCTTCTTCCGATGGATCCATCGCCGAAAACAGCGATGCTGATCTATTATTGCGCTCTTTAAGCAACGTCACTGGACTCAACGCTGCTGTCGCTCACATCAACTCGCTTTTGGTCGAATCTCGGCATAGGAGAAACGATGTCACATCACAAGATATTCATCTTCATCTCCAAATCTTTCTACATGTCACAGCTTCGCTTCTCAGAAGACCTGGCTCCATCCGTCAGATATGGGCAGCATCCGTGCAGCCATTACCCGACGCTGCGCTGCGAAAGATGCAGTCACAGACTTTGATTAGCTTGCTGGCAAGTAGCCGCGTACTTTCTGTTGCTTCGGAAGCTTCCGCTGTTATAGGACTTGACAAGCTCAACGCGACCACCAGATTCATCGCCGATGGCGCAGAATACGTCAAATGGATTGCCATCAGCTTGGCATCTTGGGCAAACGCGGCTTCTACAGAAGTGGAAATTCGATCCTGTCATGATCTTCTGCAAAAGGCAATGTCTCTGGGATATCAAAACGTCTTGGTCACATTGCTTATAGACGAGCTTTTGCTTCGGTCCGACTCAGATCCTGCTGCCTTCATGCAGGTCTGTTTCCAACAGCCCACCACATTCAAGAAAGTAATGCAAATTTTGCTCGACTACCTGGCGCAAAAGTTTCTGAAATCTATTTCTATCGAGGATGGTTCAGACAATAAAACCGTTTCCTCTGTGGCTGGCATCATTAATATGCTCATCAAACATGATCCCGCAAGACTGTCTTTTTTGGTGTCCTGGTGCACAGCATCGTCTGGCGCAGGCTTGGGCGACAGCATTGGTATTCGTCGTGCTGTACTAGCGTCTCTAGCAACAGAAAAGGATGCCATCACCTCAGTCCTCGAGAAGAGCCTTAATCAATTTGGTGATCAGCTGTATATCAAGCACGCGCCGATTTTGCAACAAGAGGTCCACACACAGGTTCTATTGCTTAGCGCTGGATACGTGTCCAGGCTTTCGCCTCTCAGGCTGACCATGCTTGTCAAATCCGGCGCGTACATGAGCAGTATCTCAAATCGTATCGCGTCTACGCAGGAGAGGGCTCGAATCCTTGGCATGATCGTTGGAGAGTCCCTATCTACTCTTGTTGACAAGGGAAAGAACAAGCTCGACTTCCACATGGACGAAATGGAAACCGAAGAGATTGAGTCTCTCAAGTCCTTAACCAATGTCTCGGATTCCATTGGTCCGTTTGATGACTTGCGTGAAGCCTCTCAATCTGTAGCGCATGTTGCATCACCTACTACGCTTCAGAAGCGAACTGCAAAGCCAAAGAAGATGAAGCCGGTACCCAAGACCTCTGCGGCTGCAAAACTACCCAAAGCAATCATTGAGGAATTAGACTCCTCTGATGATGGGGACGATGACCTGGCCCCTTACGCAAAAGGCTCAGACCCCGAAGACTCCGAGGACGATGCGGAGCTTGTTCAGCGCAACAAGGTGAAACCGCCAGTATATATTCGCGACCTTATCACCTACTTTAGGGACGCAGACAATTATGACAAGCAAAAGTTGGCGCTTCATTCGGCACCAACACTTGTTCGACGAAAGGCAAACTACGGCACAGAAGTCAAAGATCACGCCGACGAGCTGGCAGGTATCCTCGTCGGCCTACAGGACAAATTCGAGCTTGAAGGCTTCGCCGAAACACAGCTAGAAGGAATGGTTGCACTCATAGTGGCGCAGCCCCAGAGCATGGCGCCCTGGTTCGCCAGAACATTTTTCGAGGGCGACTACAGCCTGTCGCAGCGGACGGCCATTCTCATCTCCATCGGTCTGGCGGCGCGAGAAGTGGCCGGGTTCGACACGGGCACCTTTACAACCTCTGCCGGCTTTCCCTCCAAGCAGCTGCCCGAGAAGATCCAGCAACTATACCTCGACGCCGACCAGGCCCAGGCGCCGGAGTCTGGCGGCCGCCACCTCAAGGCGCTGCCTTCGAACGCCATCGAGTCCATGTCGCGGGCGCTCACCGCCGACTTCCTCGCGCCCCTCGCAGCCACGGCCGCCGACGCCGCCACCGGGCCCGACGTCCTCAAGCTGCAGAGCTTCACCGCGCGGCACACCACGCGCAAGACGACGAGCGGTGGCAGCGCCCGGCCGCGCGTGCGCGTGCGCGCCGTCCCCAACACGGCCGCCGCCGTGCTCGCGCATGCCTTTTTCGCGCCCCTCACCGCGCACTTCCAGGCGGCCCTGGCGCGCCGCCGCCACAGCGTCGCCGTGCGCAACCCGGCCCTGCTCGCCCTGTACCTGCAGACGATCGGCATCGTCGTCGCCGCTGCCGCCGGCCCCGCAACGCTCGCCCTGCCGCAGATGACGGCCGAGCTCTGGGACCTGCTGCTCGGCGTGCGCGTGCCCGTCCTCGAGGCCGGCCTGGGCGCGCTCCGCGGCTGGCTCGTCGCGCTCGCGGCCCTGCTGCAGGCCCACGACGACGGCGTCGGCGGCATGCGACGGTTGTGCGAGGAGCACGGCCGGGCTCTCTTTGAGACGCGCGAATGGGTCGGCGGCGTCTTTGAGCGCATCCGCGGGGATGATACCGGCGGCGAGGAGAATGACGTCAAGATGCTCGCGGCGGGTGTGCTCATCAAGCTGGGCGAGGCGGTGGACAAGTATCAGGCGCTTCTAATGGGAGACATGGCGAGTTTCTCATGATTCATAGGACAGAGTACCATGTTTAGTACATATTGATACAATACTAAAGCCGCTTTTTGGTCTCTTTGCACATCTTCATACTGTACATTCCTCATCTGCAGTGTAATGTCACCTTGCCGGGAGCTCCTAGCTCATCGTCCAGCGACCGATACTGCTGCCCATTGCTACATGACGCATATAACTGACTATACCATTGTAGCCAGACAAACAGAAACCCCATAGCACTATGCAGACAACATGAAAACTGGGTTTAAGAAAAGAATCTACTTTGTACATGCATTTCATCGGCCTTGCCCGCCTACGATTCCTCGCCGTAAGACTCCACGCGTATTGTGCTGCCGCGCCGAATAGGGAGGCTGGACAGGTAGTTGTTGGCAAAGTTGAGGTGGTCGCCCAAGCTCATGGCCATACGCCGCAGCTCGTACTTGACAGCGTCGGTATGGGCTTGGCCCTGCAGCACCTGCGGCGCGGGAGCCGCTGGCAGCGCGGGGAGTCCTGGCGCGGAGTCCGTCGACGAGATCTCTGAGAGTGAGTGTTGCTGCTGCTGCTGCTGCTGCTGCTGCTGCTGCTGCTGCTGCTGCTGCTGTTTCTGTTGCAACGGCTGTGTGGGCGGCTGAAAGGTAGCGGCCGGGAAGCTGCCGCCGCTTTGTTGTTGGGGTCTGACGAGGGCCGTCTGGGGCGGGGGCGTCGTCGATTCGGGCTCCGTGTCGGCAAAGTCGCTGAGGGAGTAGGGGCGGGCGTTTGCGGCCGTGGTGCCCGGCTGGTCGCTCGAAACGGAGGCGTCGCGCTTGTGCATACTGAAGCGGTCGTCGACGGTGGTGATGGACTCGTGGCCGCCGGTAAAGGAAAACTCGGAGCCGTCGGAGACGTAGATGGAGGGCTCACGCGTCGATGTGGCGACGCCTGCAGTAGCGGGCATCACGTACAGCGAGGCATGCTTCTCGAGCTCAAACGGGTTGTTGGTCGGGCCGCCCATCTCGGAGCCGCTCATGGAGCCCACGTCCGAGTGCGACGTCGAGGGCCGCGTCGCGTCCGCCGCGATGGGGTCCGCGAAGCTCATATCGAGATCAATCAGCGAGCCGACGGATGCGCGGTGGTCAAACTGCCCGTGATGCGCGCCAGCGGCCATGTCGTGGAAGCCGGCCGACGGCAGCACGGGCTCCGTCGGGCGGTGGAGAAGCGCCGGCCGGCCGCTGCCGCTACCACCAGAGTCGGGCGCGGGCGGGGTGTTGTGGAACGGGAAGCGAAATACTTCGGGGTTGGCAGAGGCGGGCGGCGCCGCCATGCTGGGGAACTTCCACTCCCGCGTCAGCCGGTTGTTGGCGCTCAGATCGGCCGGGTCGCTGAGGGGTCCCGAGGTGTAATGCGAGTCGATGAACTCATACTCGAGGGAGGCGCGCAAGTCGAGAGGCCGTGCCTCGCCAGCTCGCATCGTCGTCATGTCGACAAACTGCGAGAGGTCGCTCCCGTGGAGCGAGAAGTCCAGGTCAATCAGCGATTCTCGCACATCTGTTGCCTGTGCACTGTCATCACGCAGCGGCAAATCCGATCCGTTGCCAATGACTCCAGTCGCGGGCTGTTGAGGCGGCGGGGGCGGTTGAAACATCCGTCCGTAGTACGCTCTCGAGTTGTCCTCGTAGCTTGACAGCGTGTTGGGGTCAAAGATCTTCTCCAGCGGTGCCTTGAAGGCAGCAAGGTGCTGCGGCGGCGGCCGGCGGCGCGACTTGGGCTTTGGCGGCTTTGTCGTTTCGAATTCGGTCTGGGCATACTCAACGTCTGACCCGTACACGTCATACACATCCTGCGCGTCGCCGTCGTTCAGAACCTGCTGATCAAATGCTGCGGTTGTGCTGAAGCTCCATTCTTCGTTTGCCATGGCGGCGGGGGAAAGGTCGGACAAGCCCTGGGCGCCGCCGGCGGAGAAGAGAGACCGGCGGTCGCCGCCTTGAGCCTCCCAGAGCTTGAATGCTCGAACCAAGTGTGCGAGTCCTGTTGTGGGGAACTCCTTGTCAGTATTCAATATGTATCTGTGGCGTTGTATTTGCTCAATGGTTGGCCGTTTGCTTGTATCATGCTGTAGGCAGTAAGCGACGAGGTCTTTCAAGCCAGTAGAGTAATCACCCTCCAGACGCGGGCTATGTTGTTTTAAATGGGTGCCTAGTTTCGAAAAGTCCATTCCAAATGCGATGTTTGGGGGTAGACCAGAGGCAATTTCGTAGATCATGGCACCGAAAGCCCAAATATCCACTTCGGTACCATACGACGCCTGTTCATCGAAAAGTTCGGGCGCCATCCAGTGCGGTGTCCCGATAAAGGTGGTTCGCTTGTCGAACTTGGTCTCAATGACGCCGGCGACACCAAAGTCGCAAAGCTGGACGTCACCGACCTCGGTGATGAGGACGTTGGCGCACTTGAGATCGCGGTGGATGATGCCCTGGCTGTGCACCCAGTGGATGGCCTCGGCGACCTCGCGCAGGATGGGGATGATCCATTTCTCCTGCAAACCGCCCGGGGCCGTCGGGCGCATGAGGGTGGCGACGCTGCCGCCGGCGCAGTACTCGGTCACCATCCACATGGACTGGCCGACGGGCAGGGCCTCGAGGACGTGGTTGATGTTCTTGGCGCCGCTGTCGCTGAGGCGCTGCAGGGCGTTGATCTCCTTGAGCAGGTCGCTGTAGGTGTCGGCCAGCTTGGGGTTGACCGTGTCGCTCTCCTCAATGTCAATGATTTTGACGGCGACGAGGCGCCCCGAGGCGAGCGACTTGGCCTTGTAAACGCGGCCGAAGCTGCCCTTGCCGATGAGCTCGGAGAGCTGGTACTGAGGGATCTCCTTGCCCGACTTGTTGCAGGCCTCGATGACAGCCTTTTGCATCTTCTTGGCGTCCTCGAACGCCTTTTGCTTGGTGGCCGAGTAGTCCGGGCCGCGGACCTGCAGTGAGGCCATCATGGTGGTTGCGAGTCAGGCCAGGCCTGGGGCAGGCACGAGGACCGAGTGGGCGGAGGCGATGCTCGAATGTGCAGTAGAAGCAGTCTACACGGCTCACATAATTCCTTCAGGTCCAAGAGATGAAAATGTCGGCCTGCTCATTCCACCAAAAGCTGAGAGAGGGCTGTGCTGTGTTCGAGGGTAAAGAACACGGAGTTGAAGAGTCTCAGAAGCAGGGGAGATGCGATGATGCGACGCGACAGCGAAGTTTAGCCGGACAGATATTAAGTGGAGGGGCAGCTAACTACAACATGCACCATACTAGGTAGACAGGGCACGCACTACCTGTTAACACAGTGTAGGCAACACGTCGTTTTGTAACTAATAACAGCGTTGTAAGAGGGACTTTTAATACATTATTATATTACCCTAGTGACTAGCTAGTCTGTCTAGTACTTCTATTGCTTGTGAGTGTAGGGAAACAACTAGGTAATCTAGAGGAAAAACTCCCACTACGGGTACGGGTTCGTTGGGATCCCTGACCGATTCCTTGTAGGGGGCGGTAAGCTCTCCTTCTTCATAAAACAAAATAATAGCAAACCCCCTTATCATCATGTGATTGGCTCTGCATGTTCCCCTTTATAACCCCACGAATATTCCAATCCATTTAAATATTTTTTTTCAACTCTTCTCCACGATTCGTTTTGATATAATATACCCACAATGAAACCACGTCTTGCGTACGACGACAAAGCCTGGGAAAGAGGAACGATTATCTACAAACGCTGGTATGAATATCTCGGGGAAGACGAGCCCTTTAATGCAGTTGGTCGCTTTCTTGCAACACATTTTTATCCTCGGGAATGGTGCGAATTTGATATCTTTTCGTTGGGTGGATTCAATATCTGCTTTCGAATGGGATTTACCGATAACACCACCACTATTCTCAGGTTCCCATTCCCTGGTATTGTGATGTTTCCCGAAGAGAAAGTCCACAATGAAGTCAGGGCCATGCAGTTCATTTTGGAACAAACCCAAAAACCACACAAAATTCCGGTTCCGGTGCCTTCTATCTCTCGCTGGGGACAGAAGAAAGAGAGTCCCGCAAACCTAGGTCCTTTTATCATCATGGAATGTATCGAGCACAAACAAAGTATCTGCAGGCTTTTTGAGAATCCGGACTCAGATCCAACCGTCCGCTCAACTTTGAATCTCAACCTCAACACAGTTAGGCTGGGAGGCCTCTACAAAAAATTGGCCAAAATTGTTCTTTCGCTATCCATTCTTACGCTCGATAAGATCGGGTCTATTGAGCTTGACCCAAACAATTCGAAGTGGAAGGTGTTGAATCGGCCCTTGTCCTATTCTATGAATGAAGTTGTGCAACTGGGAACAGTACCCCGATCGAAAATACCGAACAGCACGTACTCTGAAGCATCTTCGTACTTTGACGCCCTGGCGGAACTGCAGCTTTCGCACCTCTTCAGTCAAAGGAACGATGCTGTTGACTCGGAGGATGACTGCCGGCGAAAGTTTGTGGCGCGACTTCTCTTCCGAAAACTCATTCGAGACCAGAAATTGAGAGAGAAATGGTTGCGCCATGAAACTGGCCCATTTCCAATCTGGTGCGATGACTTTCGACCAGAGAATGTTCTCGTCGATGAAGCTGAGAATATTATCGGGGTGGTGGACTGGGAGTTTACATACACGGCCCCTGTCGAATTTTCCCATGCACCGCCTTGGTGGCTTCTTCTTGAAAAGCCGGAGTATTGGCCTATGGGCCTCGACGACTGGTGCATACAATATGATAAACGACTTGAAACATTTCTTCAAGCCATGAACGATTGCGAGGATGAGGCAATTCGCGCTGGTCAACTGGAAGAGACTCAGCGTCTCTCTGGCCCAATGCGAGACAGCTGGAGGAGCGGCAACTTCTGGATCATGTATGCCGCTCGGAACCATTTTGCATTCGACTCGATATATTGGCACAAAATTGACCAGCGATTTTTTGGACCGGCTCAAAGCATTGACGCCGACGATGTCTGGAAGGAGAGACTTCATCTATTGACACCCAAGGAAAAGGACTACATTGATGAATGTGTAAAGCGGAAATTTAAAGAGATGGACACGAGAGATCTTGCTTGGGACCCGGATGAGTATACTCGAGCATACGATTCTGAGTGGGTGGGTGGGATGAATGAGTAGTGATTCACGAGCTTTTCACATTGTACTCTAGAGGAACCTTTGACCTTTGCGCTACATTGGACACGTCCTTGGTTTGCAAAACGAGGGTCCTCTCAAGTGGCTGACGCAGCCAGGTAAAAAATAGGAAGATTGTCAACACGTCCTAGCAGCCTAACAGCCTTACTCGACGGTAAAATATTATCATGTCAAATTCTAGACCCTATTCTAGCCCTGTCCAGAACACCCCGCGCCCGTACCTAATAATAAGCCTGCACAACACGCTACAGCGACAAAGTTTCAGGCCAACTGGCATCGGCTCAGGGCTACTAAAATAATACTTGAATTAAAAAGGCCGTCTATAATAGTATCATCTATATATTACTTGTAGTTCTATCAGCGTCGAAAAGAGCTCTCTACAGCAAATCCATCTCCGTCCGTGTCCTTGTCAGAACCGCTCGCAGCCGGATAGCTGTCCTCGGACGTGGCATCAATCGCCGACTGGCGGCCCGGAGCCTCATCCCCATCCCGACCCTCCCCTTCCTCTCCGCCCCCTCCAACCTGCGTGTCCGGCACCAGCTGAGCAAGCATCATCTCCATGCGCGCCATGGACTTTTCCATGGCCCGCAGGCGGTCCTCGAGGCTCTCCTGCTCCTGCTCGGCCACCGAGAAGGAGCCGCGCGGCTTCTTGCGGATCCCAGGAAACGTCGAGTCCCGGCGGCGCGGCGGTTTCCGCGTCTCCGTGCTGCTCGCCGTGGTCTGGCGGGTAAACTGCCGGCGGATGAGGTGATGCGTCATGGGGTCGTCGACGGCAATCTCGTCGTGCACGTCCTCGGACGGCGGCTCGTCAAAGACGGACCGGATGTACCGGCTCGCCGACAGCTGCCACTTTTGCCAGAACCACTTGCGCCCCGTCGTCTCGTCGCCGCTGCCCGGGTTGTACTTGTAGTCGTGCTGGTCCCAGCTGACGCGGCGCTCGGCGACGGCGATCATGAGCAGCAGCGGCAGGTTGACGAGCCGCACCGCGGCCACGTGGATCTTGTGAAACCAGCGCGGGCTCACGATGAACTTGAGCGGCAGAAAGATGAAGACGGCCAAGATATTAAAGGGGGGTTGGTAGGCAAAAATGGCGTCTGCCTTGACGCCCTCGAGCGTGAGGACGGCTCGTCGGAACTGTATCTCGGCAGTGGCGTTGGCCGAGATGACGCTGAACGTATTTGACAACATGGAAACGAGAATCGTGAGAAACAATGTGTTGCCGAGAAACGCAAATGCCACCATAAGACTCGGCCCCAGCAACCAGTGGAACTCGGCCGACCTCTGAATCCCCGTTCCGTCCAGCCCGAACCAGATAAATATCATCCATTTAGAAATTGTGAGCCAAGGATGGGCGCCTTCGCCCAGCCACAGGAGCGACAGCAAGAAGCCAAAAAAGCACCACGCTGAAAGCGCAGTGAGGAGAAAAAAGTCGGCCATCATCGAGCGCAGAGACAAAAAGACGAGGTTGTCAGAGAGCAGGGTAAAGGCCAGCCTCGGCACCAGCAGCGGCGCAGCCAGCGCAAGCACGTCAAACGACTGCTCGCCAGGCCCCGGCAGCCCGGTGCGGAAGCTGTGCACGCGCAGGACCAGGTACACGCCGTAGATGGAGACGAAGCCGACGTCGAGAAAAGACCAGAGGTTTTGCGTGTACACGTTCCAGCCGTGCGCAATCAGCGTCGCGAACTGGTCCAGGCCCCATCCAAAGGCGTAGACGGCAAAGAGGCACTCGGTCACGGTCAGCTTGTCCTTTTCGCGCATCACCATGAGCGCCGAGTAGAGGGCGAGCAGGATGGCAAACTGGATGGCCTCGAGGATGGTGCGCGTGCGCGGCACGATGAGGCGGTACTGGTTGAGCAGCGGGGACCCGCGCGGGTCGTAGAGCGAGATGGGCTTGAGCTTGTAGTGGTCGGGGATGATGTCCCACTGGGTCGAGGGCGTGTAGATGACGCGGCCCTCGTAGATGGCGGCGACAATCTTTTGGCAGGTGGTGGAGCTGAGAAAGTGCTTGCTCTCCGTCAGGATGGCGACCTCGAGCGAGGGCAGCGTGCGGTGGTAGCCGCGCCAGATGCGGCGCTCGGCGGCGGCGCGCGTGCGCGGGGGCGCGTTCTGGTACGGGTCGAAGCCGGCGACGAGGACGTGGGCGAGGAAGAGCAGGCCCTCGCTGCCGTCGTGGTCCTCACCAAAGCGGCGCAGGATGCGCGTGGCAATGATTTCGCAGAGCGTGGCGCGCGTCCAGTTGACGTTTTGGCGGTTGCTCGAGTACGACTCCTCGTCGAGGAACTGGGCGCGGTTGACCAGCAAGCAGTACACTGTTTTTCATATACCAGTTAGTTCTATCGTTCCCAGAATCAGTCTTCGCAAGGGCCAACGCACCGATGGAGAGGTCGTCGAGTTCGTAAAACTTGTCGACGAGCGGCCGCACCACGGTAATGTTGATGCGCACGTCGCGCAGCTGCTCCAGGCTCAGGTAGTCCTCGACGACGCTGGTAATGTCGCGTCGGATGCGGTGAATGGTCGTGTACACGGGCAGGTGGCTGTGCGGGTTGGTGACGCAGCTGTAGAGGCCTTCGTCGTCGCCGTGATCCGTGTACATGCGACTGAGCAGCGGCCGGCGCTGCTCCTCCTCTTCGGGGGGCAGCGTGATGCGCCGCCGCGTCGGTCGCTGCGTCATGCCGCGCCTGTATCAAGAGGGCTCTTGTACTAGCCTTGTAGATGCGGTCGCGGGATTCGAGAAACACGGAGGAGGGCGAAAAAAGGCACCTTGGTCGTTGGTAGGTTTTGGACTCGGATTGACGTTTTGTCGCGGGTCTGGAAAGAATGGCAAAGACTACCCTGGCCGCCTGTTACGTCTCTGCGGCGAGTAGCATGATGACGTGTTGGAACTAGTTAATAAAGATTCGGTTCCTATAGTGTCGATGAGGCTGCGCGATGGTGCTGGGTGCTGGGTTGGGTGTTGGAGGGCGAGTTGTGCATGGGGGCTGCAGGGTGAAAGTGAAACTTGGCTGCAAAGTCACGGACCGATGCTGGCGGGGTGGCGGTCGAGATGTTCCGTCGTCAGTGGCGCACCCACTAACTAAGCCTGCTCATCCAACTCTTGTCGCTGAACTCGACACATCACTGACATGGCCATCACAGCAAGTTGTATATGATTTGTTGTAACTATATTTATGCCATCCGGCCTATATGTTTGTCTAGAATGTCCCTCTTCGCCTCTTTACAAATGCGGCTTGCCTCCCCGCTGCGCTCGCTGCGCCAGCTGCCAGCCAAACTCGGCCATGGGTATCCGGCCAGCCGCGTACACCTGCGCCTGCGCGCTGCTGGCCTGGCGCACGGCGTAGCGCGCCGCGATGCCCTGCAGGATGCCCGCGAGCTTGTAGAGGCTAAACGACGCGCCCCAGTCGAGCTCCGGTCGCGGGTCGTAGCCCGCCGCCGCCGCGTACCACGCCACGATTTGGTCCGGCTGCGGCAGCCCTGGCGTCTTGCCGGGTAGAAAGGCGGCCGACTCGGCGTGCGCACCGCCCGAGGCCTCGGCCAGGTAGAACTGGGTGAGGAAGTTGCATACGTCGGAGAGCGGGTGGCCAATGGTAGCCATTTCCCAGCTGTGTTTGCATGTCTTGGTTAGCATCATCCATTTCAGTACTTCACCATCCGTTTCAGGACTTCATCATCCCGTCACAGGACTTTCCGAGCCCGGGGGGGAGGGGGGTGGCTTGTTGGGCACACTTACTCTAGAATACCAATAATGCGGGGCTCCGTCTTGTGGAAGATGACATTGTCAATCTTGTAGTCGCCGTGGATCAGCGTGGCCCTGTCCTTGGGCTGCTGCTTGGCGTCGCCGAAAAAGGCCATGATGTCCTCAAAGTGCGGCAACTGGCCGACGGGCTCCTTGGTCTCGACGTCGGCCACCTGCGCCTGCATCTCGCAAATCGTCGTCCACGTCTGCACCTGCCTGTCGTAGAAGCCCGTGTGCTTGCCAAACGACGCCAGGCCGACCTCGCGAAAGTCGACGCGGTGGAAGCGCGCCAGCGTCTCGATGGCCGCCTTCCAGAGTGCCGTGCGCTCGGCGGCGCCAACGCCGGGCATGGTAAAGTCCTCAAAGATGCGGCCGTCGAGAAACTCCATGATGTAAAAGGGCGTGCCGATGACGGTGTCGTCCTCGCACAGCGCGTACGCCTTGGGCACGGCAATGTCCGTGTCGCGCAGCGCGTGGATGATGCGGTACTCGCGGTCGACGCGGTGCGCCGTCTTGGAGATGATTTTTCCGGGCGGCTTCTTGCGCATGACGAAGTGGTGGCCGACAGCGTCTGTGATTTGGTATGTCGGGTTGGACTGACCAAAGCCAAACTAGAAGCGTGGAGGTGAGCATGAGCGAGTGCATGGTGTTTGTCAACGGCTGCGTGGTTGGCATACCTGCTTCAGCTGCAGTGGCGTCTTGATTTGGGGCACATTCTCATCGACATACTTGGCAAATGCCATTTCGTCGATGGGCTGTCTGATTTTGCCTGCCATGGCGTCCAATGGCTCTCTGCCGAGAGGAGGTGATGAGATGCGGACTTGACGGTGGGGTGAGAAGCTCTCCCCAGAGGAATACCGGTTATGTACCTAGGTAGGTATGTAGGTAGGTAGGTAACCTCCTAGTTGCTCGTATGGACGACTTGCCGCTCCGACGCGCAGTCAATTATCTCAGAGCGCTCGAGCAATAATTTTCCTAGTCAGGCTGTAGGCTTTCGCGCGACCAGAGATGAAGCAAAGAAGCCCAGGGAAGGTAATGTTAGAGACAGAATCTGCTCACGCGCCTCTCATCCCAAGGTTAAGTATTAAAAAGGCATCCAGAGCAGCCGAGGCTACTTGCCTCTCTCCGCGGAATGTCATTTGGCAGCGGATGCCCCACAGCTTCCCCCAGACTACGACAAACGACGGCTCCAATTCTACGAGATGCAAAAGGCCGATTGGATTAGACAGAACCGGCGATTCTCCCAAAGTCCGGCTCTCCACCCATTTCTCTCAACGTCTCAAGCATGGTTATAACCACAACATGTTATTGACCGCGGTTATAATTACTGCTTAAACTACAAATACCCTCACACCACACTACACTACAAGCCACATGCCATTCAGAATACAAAACATCAATTTGGCGAAATATCATCGCAGCTAAGTAGTGTCCTTCCCGAGGCGTGCATCCGGCGACGGACCAAACCAGCCATTGCTTTCTATAACCCGCCACCCAAAAATAGAGAAATACCAGTATCCCATTTCCCAAACGTAAAAAACATGCAGAAGAAAATAGTGTATGTGAGCGACCCGGCACTCACCATCTTGCTACGTGATAACCCCTGCACCCATATAGCAGCCCATCAAGTTCCGTTAATTCCGTCATTGCTCCGCGTCTGATCAACTCTTTTTTTGGGTGTTTTGCCTTTCGGTTTTTTGTTTTTCCTTGTTGGTTTTCATTTCATTGTACAACCCAGTGGCTGTCCCCGAAGCATTGGCCGCCTTTGGCTAACTCTAGTTCCGGTGTCGCTGAGCAATCAATCGGGTTCGCCAGAGCCAGGTCAAGACAATGGTCCCAGGCAAGCTGTGGTGAGGTATCCATCGCGTCAAAGCCACCCCAAACATCGCATCCATTCGTCAACCCGTGGTACGCCAAACACAGTCAAAACTCTGTGCCCCACACTGTACCACAACCTATACCAAGTCATCATGCCCCTAAAAACCCCCAGTACGCCTAAGCACGAATCGGAGCGCGAGCATTGCAAGCGAACCGAGGAAGCTGGCAAATAGGAAACGGCAAATGAGTCGTCGTGGGCTTCTCGGTAACTCGTGCGTTCCATATATCCCACGACGCTGCAAGGTGCCGATATCCTCGTCCGAAGAGAGAAGAAAAAAAAGCTGAAGAGAACGGGGAGGGCGTAAAAAGAATGATAGCCTCCCTGTAGCGTTCGTAAATCGTAACAAGCACTTGCACAATTCCAGATTGGTGTCTGATTGTCATGTACAGCCAGTTCACCGGCCAGTTTCCGCGGTGGCCTGAGAGCTTCTCTCCTCGGCATCGTCATCTCTTCTCGCTTTCTTATTTTGCCCATCAGGTGCAGATTCTGACTTGCGCTTCGTACCAGCTCCCGCACCGCTCGATTGCTTGACCTCTTCGACATCAGCTTCGACTTCTGGGCTATCCTCTGGGCCTTTCCCATCTTTCTCCAGGGCAGCAACCTCTTCTGTGGTCAGGAAGCGGCCACCGGGTCCACGAGGTCTCCGCATAGCATGGTTATGGCGCGATTCATGGAGGTACGGGCGTCTACCCTTGGAGGTAAGGCGAAGCTGCTCCTCCAGTCTTTGGCGCGCTACGCGACGCTTCAGAATGCGGTGGAATTGCTTCGCATTGACGTAGAGCGGCGACTCTTCGACGCCGCTGGCGGCCATCTCGGGAGACTGCGGGTGAGCCATGGTCATTTGCGCCTGGGGCACACCAGGTCGGCCCATCATAGCTTGCGGGTTGGGGACTGTGGACTGGCTGACCCGGCGCGGTATTTGGCTGTTCATTCGGGGGGAGGCACGGCCATCCTTCTTGCCAGCCATTCGAGGAGATGTGTGAGGCATGTTGGGGTCGGAATGCATGTAGGGATAATTTGAGCCGGATGCGGCGGCGGTGGCGGCCATGGCGGCCGCTTGAATGCCGTTCATATTGTAGGCGACGGGCTGCATGCCTTGTTGTGGCACGCCATACTGAGGTTGATACATGCTGTGCGCTTAGACCAAAATTTGGTCCAATGTCGTTGTGTACTGGCGGCGGGCGGCGAGGGAGTGAGATCGATTGTGCGACGCGTTGACGCAGCGGGTACTTTGGGGTGCAGAGAGGCGGCAGTATATGAGACGCCAGTGGTGGCGTGTACCTAGCTAGAGAGCGAGGCGAGCAACAACGTGGACAAGTCTACAAATGCCGAGTACGTTAGCGAATTACAAGACGGGTTTATGAGTGGTTAGGCACGGATAGGAGGAGAGTGAGCGCATAGGTTGTCTGCGATGGCACGGCCCAAGCCGGTGCTAGCGGGCTGTGGCGGGAGTGTGCCTTGGTGGTGGTGCCCCTCCCCCATCGATGCGCTGGCAAAGCTCATGCAGGACGTGACAGGTACTGCACGACAGCGGGGGATGATCAAGCACCCTCTTGTCTTGAAGAGCGAGAGGGGATGAACTGGCGACGGAAAGGCCGGCGCGCGGCGCGGTTTAGGCCAAGGTGCAAAGAGGCCCGATGCGAAGGATGGCGGTATTGGGCCGCTTGTTGGCCCAATAGGGAGATGAGCGCTCCAGGTGCTCATGCACAGGTAAGAAGGGTAAGAAGGGTAGTGGTTGTGACGGGAGGCGTTCTGCAGCGCGCCGAGAAGCAGGTATCTGTGGTGAAGCTCAAAGCGACATGACGTTGTCGCAAGCAGCCGGCTCCTCGCGACGAGGATGAGAGTAGGCTAACGAGCAAGTAGACGTGCTTGGGGTAGGGTGGTGCAACGACACAGGCAACACAGAAGCCGGGCGCGTGGTATGACGAAGGAGGGTCGTGAGAGGTCAAGAGCTTGACAAGAGTGGTATATAATCGCAGTTGGGCAGGGCCAGACGAAGACGGTGGAACAGCAGAGATGAAGCACAACCGTGAACTTCTGTTGTGTTGGGCCTGATGTAACAGAGCGCGCAAGGAAAAGCGCGCAGGCCAAGTGCGCGGCGCGAAGTGAGGTCGGGCCAGAGATGGGTAGGAGGGTGAGGAGGGTAACGAGATGGAGAAGGATGAAAAGATGTATGTGAGTACAAGAAAAAAGGCAAAAGCTCACCTTGAATCTGTGCGACAGTCGGGTGTTGGGCCGTTGAGTCGCGCGTCGCAGCGGCTCAAGTGAAAAAAAAAAGCGGCGAGAAAGCGTGATTTGCTGAAACTGAGAATGGGGGTTGAGAATATCAAGAGTAGATCAACGAGACGCCGCAGACGCGCCGTGTCAGCTGACGATAATGAGTGATCCAATGGCGAGGAGAATGAAGACGACAGCCGAGACGATGATAGGCCTCTTGTATCGCGAAGATGCGATGGCCTCGAGAAAAGACGCGGTGCGAGAAGCTGATTTGCTGGCTGGGAGGGGGCCGGTTAGCGGATGGAAGAAGGTGGTTGGTGCGTGAAGAATTGGAGGAGCGAGTAGTTTTTGGAGGTTTCAGCGGGCACAGTGGGCTGCAGATGGTGCTAGCAGGGGGGAATGGGGGAGGCCTGCCGCCTGTAAGGGAGGGAGGGAGAGAGGGCAAAGGAAAGGGCTGACTTTCATGCGCCGTGCAATTGCTGCAACCAATCATGCAACTGGGTTGCACCCTTTCCTGGGGTTGGTGGTGATGCTGGTGATGTTGAGGATTCTCTCGGTGCTGGTGCTGGTCCTTGTTCTGGTGCTGGTACGGTACTGGTGCTGGCTGTCACCAGTGTCACCGCCCACAGCTCGGAGCTCCCACGCCCAACCCGCCCTCAAGCCGGCGCATTACCGAGCTCTGTCTGCGCGCTGCGCGGAATCATTTCGCCGCAGCGGAAACACCTGTGAGGAGGGCGGGGGTCACGGCACAAGAACCAAACGCACTCGGACAAACAAGAAAAAGACAGGGGAAAATATTCGGAGAGCAACGACGGCAAGAGAATGCAACGGCCAACATACTTGCAAGAAAAGTCGACTATCTCTCAACGTCGCTGCACCTAGCCAGTGCTGAAAGGCGTCTGTGGCTGCACCTGCTTCTGTCTGCACTCGCTACAGATTAGCACCTCGGATTAAACTCGGGTGTGGAGCGGGATACCTACCGTCGCGGTTGGTCCAAGATTCCGCCCGCCCGTTGGTGGTAGCTGGTGTTGGTAGCTCTGTCGCTTTGGTCGAAGCCACACGGTACTGGCCAGCGCTGATTCGTCCAACGTCCTTCTTCTTCAACAGCTTGTCGGTATATATTTTTTGGTTTCGATATGCGTGTCGACAGGTTGTGCAGCCTCGATGCGTGCTCCTCTGTGCAACCAGTGGTTTTTCGTAGCAAAGCACAACGAGAAACAGGCCTAAAGGATTGGATCAACTTGATTGGACCGTGCAAGGAGGAGAAACCAAAATGCCTCAACATGATTTGAGGGATGGGGGGCTACACGTCTTTTAAGACCTATGACTGGCTGATTCAGCTCCGATATGGGGCTGCCTGCCTGCCTATGTCCGACTCTTTGATTGGCTAGACGCTCTTATGTACGTTGTGCCACTGTTCCACATCCCTCTGCTGCTCCACACTACGTTACTCTTGTTCGCCTATCCGTGCGGTGGTGCAGGGTAGTTACAGTACATACTCCGTATGTTAGTACCTAGTGACCAGGTACCTGCTTCCTGCTTGCCTACCTGGCAGTTGACAGCGACTCAAGCTCGCCGTTTGCCGGCTGTCTCATCCTTCCACCTCATACCATCAACTCATCACAAGCTTCCACCAAAGGCCTGATTGTACTAGTTACCGACTGCTTCAGTGCTGCCTCATCGAGAGATTTATCAAGGCTCCCACCACCATCCCCATTTCCCCTCCAGGCTCCCACCACCACCAACACCAAACAGGCATACCACACCACCACACCACCGCCGGTGCTTCGCAGCATTTCTCCCGTCCGCCCCCGGTGCGCCCCGTCATCAATCCAGGTTGCCAGGGCCGTCATGCTTGCCTTCTAATCAACTTAAGCACTCGGCCATCTTGAGCAGGAACAAGGAAAATAAAGAATGACGCTGGTGGCAAAACATATTGCCGAATTAGACGCCCCCCCGTCTCGCCATTTGCCAAACGGCCCTAGTCTGGCTCATCTCCGGCCAGGCCATCACTTGTCAGCCAGCCATGTGCCATGTGCCATGATGCCATGTTCTGGCGCGCCAAGGTGGCTGATAATAATATCCTTGCCAGGTGGCCAGCCTCTCAGCCTGACGCGATGCTGATTCCTATGGCAAAAGCCCCCGTTGCCTGCTCGCCCTTTTAGGGAGCGATCAACATGCTTCCCGGACATCTCTACCCAAATGGTGCTCTGAGCTGGCAACTCAGTTTAATAGCCAGCTAAAAACGACAATCGACAGTGCTGTAATAATACGGAGTACACCCGAGACGCACCACGTACGTACTGCGACTGCCGACCTAACTAGGTTTCTACCAATACGCGTAATGCACTCATTGTCTTGTTATGGAACTGGCACACTGTGCCTGAAATTGCACCGACGCTGTGCTTGTGCCGTGGCGATGCGTCATCCTCTTGGGCTAGTTACCATAACTACACATTCGTCGGGCTCCCCCGTCGCACACAAGCCTCCGTCTAACGTCCAACCCAGCTTGGCCTGCTTGGCCATGCCAGATAGGCGAAAAGCGAGAAAAAGCTCGTTCCGACAATGGCTTTCATTAAGGCGGTGACTGCGGGACGTCGTCATGACCATCGAGTCCCCACTATTGGGCAGCCGTGAGGTGATGCCTTCTACGCCATTTGGACATGATATAATAATACGGATTATTTTCTGACGCGCCGCCCGGGAAAGTCCAGAGAAAACACTCGCTGGTTGGCAATGGATCGTTGCTTCGCCTCCCGACTTTCTAATCCGGGCTCTACCACGTGAGGTGTTTGACGTGTGCGCCCTCTGCGCTCCGCCTGGGGAGAGCCAACCGTGGAGTATTGGAGTGACAGTGGCTGATCAGGGTGCTCTGTAAAGTCGGTGAGCCAATAGAATCTGCGCACTTCGCCCCCAAGTCCTTGTGACGGGCCTTCCGCCTCGGTCACCGCAGCCAACAGTGGGGGAGTCCGAGTTTCTATTCCTGGCTACATCGAGGTTGATCCTTGGGTCTATGTTGGATGGGCGACGAAATTGATGAGCCCTTTGCTCGCCAAGATTCTTTTCCACCTTGGTGTTCGAATATGTGACGTCGCCTCCAGGTCCAATTTCGAGTATGCGAGACGGCCTATATGATGACGCGCCGCAAGCAACTGCTGCTCTCACAAGACTCACAACTATCGACACGCAACTCGAGACCCTGCGATTTAACGAAGATACGAAGCAACCCCGTACTTCTGCCACGGAGGATTTGCCAACTACCGGGGCAGTATTTGGCTGGTAAAAAAATGTGAGCAAGTTGTACAGGGTAGGTCAACTTACACAGGGCTGACATCGTGGGCTAGCGGTCGCCCTGGGCTTCCCAATTTGGCGCAGGCCCTCGTCGTCATTGGACATGCTGCTTGAGAGCCCATGGCCCATCCACGGACCAATTATCACCACCACTGACTCCATCTCCAATCTGAGTTCCCCGCATTCAGTTTCTCATCCGCGATGGGAGCTTTTGCCAGAAGGCGAGGAATTGTGATGCGACAGGACTGCTCACTTGTCAAAGTAAGGACATGTACCGAGTATGCGTGCGGCGAAATGCGACGCGTATTTTGCGGCCGACTCGCCGCCGCCCTATTTCTTTGTGATGCGCTGCGTGTGTGGTGCACTAGGATGAGCGTGGCTACCTCTCTCGACGAGATGCCCATACATGTTTCGGAGCGAAGGGCTGGGCGTGTCGTGACGGCAAGCTTTTCGTGTCGGCATGTTTGCTCATGATACACACCTTCGAGGAAGCACATGGACGAGGGCGGCGCAATACCCATTGAGCGGGAATGTGTGTTTCAAGTACATACCTGTTATCTGTCGCGTGACAAGTTGTTGTCGAGGGGGAAATGGCAGGCTAGCTCATGACGAGACGGACCGATTTATTCACGGCAATGCCTGACATTCATGGTGCGTTTTCCCACTCATGTCAGACCAACGACCATGGACTTGCCAACCAGAACCGGCTTTGCGCTAGACACTTCTCAAGACTAACACGTGAGCTCATGAAACGTTCTTTCGCCTCTGCATTGGCTCCCCATGGTCTCGGAAACAGTTGCTCTCGGAAACAGTCGGTCATGGAAGGCAAGTGAGCTAGCTCGCCGAAAGCCGCCTGTCTTGCATGAATGGGAACTCGGTAGATTTTTGGCTGGTTCGATGGGGCAACTATAGACAAGGTTAATTTCAGAATATAGGAAACATTCTTTCTACCTGGTACATACTACTCTGCAACCAGCAACCTGACAGAAGGATGTCCTACCTGCTGAGAACGGTCACTGTGAAGCATTGGACAACAAAACGGAGCTCAGGTGCAAGTTTTGCTTCGGAGACAAAAGTATGAAACCCATGACGTGGACGGCATATACTTTAACTAACGCGTTCCATCCAGTCTCTGGACAGCAATCCAGACTGGCAATGCAGCAAGCCACCACGGTCGAGACACTCTGTGGTCACATTGGCGACCCCCCGACAAATATTCAGCGCAAAACCCGAATCTCAATGACGCCTAGTGCTGAAATCGAACTAGAAAATTTGCGAAGATGTTCCATCGCTGCGTTAGGTTGCAACTCAGGACGCGCAGCAAATCGGCCCATTGTGAGTGGTGGTGTTTCAACTAGGGCGTAACTTACACGGATGCTGGTAAGACTCTAAAATCTGACCGCAAGGCGGAGAGTTCTCGAGCTTGTTAGCGCAAGGCGGCGAGTCTCGAGCTTGTTAGCTCGAAAGTTGCATGGGAACCATCGCGGCTTATTTCGGCGCTTACGAAGCGTCGTCACAAACCCACAAGTATACTACCGAAAGCCACAATCCTCCGTCTACTCCTTCTCACTGTTTATTTAATCCGGGGGCCTGAGTTAGCGTGAACCTAACTGCAAGTGCCCTGAAGCCGGGGAAAAGCTGGAGCTGCGTGGCGCGCGCCGTCATTATTCGCTCCGCCTGTCCGGCAACCAACACGCCTGTTCTATCTTATCATAGGGCTCAGAATAAGTCATGACGATAGTACTAGTCGTTTCTACCATTAGCGCTTTGCAACCACGTTGTGGCGCACAGGGGGATGGAATGCACGCGGCGGAGCCACGTTGCAGTCTCGCAGAAGCACATTCTATTCGAAGGCATGAATATGTTCGGACGAAAATGATTAGACGCCGGAAAGGGACATGCAGCCAGACATAAACTTATAAATGTGACAAACACCCCACACAAAAGGCAACGTAGAGTTGAGTGTGATATCCGTCGCTTTGCTAGTCAGTGTTCTCCTGCTTTTGGTCTGCCCTTGCTTGCTACTGGTCTGCTTCTGCTTGCTGTTGATCTGCCTCTGCTGCTTCTTTCCTCCAGTTTCGCGATGCCGTCGAACAAATCCCTCTTGTCTGGGGCCGTGACCGGTGCTGCCATCCTGGGCTCGGCGCAGGCGAACCTCTTCACCGTCAACTGCTCGCCGCTGACGATTCAGCGCGGCGACCCCATCATGTCCCCGGGCCAGATCTCGGCACACGTCCACGTCGTGACGGGCGGCACCGCCTTTCAGCTTGCGCAGTCAAATGCACAGGCACGTGGTGCGCGGGCGACGACCTGTGACAAGATCCTGGACAATAGCAACTACTGGCAGCCGCAGCTGTACCACGAGCGGCACGACGGACGGTTCGAGCTCGTCACTATGCAAGGCAATGTGAGTTTTCCCCGGGCATCTGAGGCCCTCTGTCAGTGTGTGTGCTTGGCTATATACTGGATGCTGACAGTAAGATGCCAGGCTGCCTACTACATCAAGCGCGCTTGCGACTATGCGCCCGGCAGACGAAATTGCGATGGCGCCCCTGCCCCGATTGCGCCTCCACGAGGTCTTCGTATGATTTCGGGAGACCCTGAGCTTCGGTACGTTCTGAGAAGCTGTGGCGAACGGCTCTTGGTCCGCACAGGTTGACAGACCTGTCCAAGCGAGCCGGAAACCGTCGAGATGTTGAGAACCTGATAGAATGCTAACGGAGTCATGATTGTGACACATGTTCTAGCACATACAATCCGTCCGATTTTGCGCAGCAGGCCATTTCTCACTACTGCCTTGAAGGACCCAACGAGGGGGAGACGCCGCACATGAGCCGCCTCCCGTGCGGCCGCATGCGTGCCCAAACCTTTTTCCCGTCCTGCTGGGACGGCCACAACCTCGACAGCGGCAATCACAAGGACCATGTAAGCAAAAGACGACAACCTCGCTGCCGTCCACGGGCCTGCTAACCTGTGTGTTTTCTCTCTCTTTTCAGCTGGCGTTTCCCGCCATTGGCGCGTACAATACCGGAGTGTGCCCGCAGTCGCACCCCAAGGCAATCCTGTCCGTGTTTTACGAGTTCTTCTACGACACGGGCGCCATCCGGAACCCGAACCGCCTCGTGTGGGCCATGGGCGACCCAACCGGCTACGGCCTGCACGGCGACTACCTCCAAGGCTGGACCGACCAGCAGCGCCTCGAAGAGGCCATCGCCACCTGCGCGGGCCCACACGGCGTCGACGACCCGGGCTGCAGCCTCAACGTCGGCCCCAACGGCAGCCCGGGCCGCGCGAGCGTGCAACAGCTAGAGGTCCCGGAGCCGGCGGAGCCGGTCGGAGAGCAGGGCCCGCTGGACAAGCTCCCGGGCGATAACCCGGTTACATTCTGAGAAGCAATTCGGGGGTCTGCACATGGGAAGGGGTGGGTAAGCTTTCATCGGAATGACGCGTTGGGACGATGTGCGTATGTGTGCTTTGTGATACCAGTAATTTGTATTGATAATGTTTTTTATGCGGATGACTTTCTATCGCGAGACCTTGTGAGGGAAAAAAAGGAACCCCTTGAGTCGAGAAGAAAATTATGATATTCCAGTTCGCAGTTCTGCACAAATCGAAAAGATTAGTTAGTTAGACATGGATGTCACTTTACAGATGTTGTGGAAGCGCAATCTTTTTTTTTTCGCGAGTTATCAGTAATCAAAAGGTCTCACTTATAGTCGAACCAGCTTCTAGTATCCTTGTTCCGTCAAGTCTTTAGGATTCCCCATCACCCCTGTGCTGCCCTATGACCCAAAAATGTGACGGGAGGACATGCGGCCGAGACATTGTCTAATTGTCCGCTACAAAAAGGAAGCGGCTGATCTCATTGTTTTTTCTTGCTTCATATTTCGCAGACATAAAAAACTGACGACTACTCAATAGTGTCCAACAATGGCTGTCATCACACGTGCAGCCGTCATCCCTTGGTAGTGACACAAAGGAACACAAACATAGCGGTTACGTTTTATTCTCCGTCGGCACTTTTTGCTTCCGCTCATCACAATCATGAGATGGGCACGGCAATTTCCGATTGCTACCTGCGGCATGCGCACTTGCAAGGCCAACTCAAAATAGGCTTGACCCAGTCTGCCGCCAATGTCTCATGCGACCGACCAACCGTGTCGGGTGAATGACCTAGTAACTAACGACCTAGTAGCTGACTCCAATCTTGTACGGATAGACTTGTCATATACTCTTAGAGAGGGCTCGGAAGACGGCCCCTCGCTTCGCACCCGACCCTGCGAGTCTGTGATGGACGCCGTGGAGTTGCATGGTGGTGCCCAACGTGTGGCACCATTATCCATTTCCTCAAATTGGTCTCATAACTAGGGAACTCCATCTTCCGCTGGACAGGGCACATCAAGAAAAAGGAGCTGAGCAAGTGGAGAAGAAAGCCGGCTCGCGGAGAAGGACAGAGGGAACGGGTTGATGAGCGGGAAGAGATATATATCACATTCCCAGAGCTCCGTCACTTATTCGGCTTCTCTTCTCTAGCAACCTTCTTTTCACTCACCTCCATACACTCCTTTACATTTCCACGTTGCACTCGCCAGCTAGCAGACACTATCTTCTTCTTCGTATCTCTTATACCTCATAAAAAAACACTCGCACAACCCCACCATGAAGGTCTCAACCACCAGTCTCCTGCTCGCCAGCCTCTGCGGCTCGGCCTTTGCAGCTCCCGTCACCGCCGACGTCGATGCCGACGTCCACGCCCGCGGGCTGCTCGACGGCAGCACCCTGCAGAGCGTGACCAGCGGCAGCCCGGCCGGCCTCGGAAACCTGGCCGGCGCCACCGGCGGCCTCGACAACGCGCTCAGCGGCGTGACGGGCCAGACCGGCAGCGGCCTCCTCGGCCGCGACATCGACGTCGACGCTCGTGTGGACGCGCGCTCTGCCGTGGACGGGCTTGTGCCCGCCGGCAAGGCGACCGATGTCAGCGGACTGCTGTCGCAGACCGGTGCCGTCGGTGGGCCGCTTGTCCACGCGCCTATCGATGTCAACATCAATTCTCGCAGCGCCGATGCCGCGGTCGATGCTACGGTCGATGCCAAGATCAGCGCCGCCGTAGACGCCAAGGTCACTGCCGTTGTTGATGCAAAGGTTGATGCC